GTGTCCGAGAAACATACACTTTCATGCCAGCCCAGAAGGCGGCAGAAGATTTGTGGTCCCATGTGTACACAATGCAGCTCCGGACATGTTTCCCTGGTGGAACGGATCAGTGGAGGTAAGATGACAACATGAGGGCGCGAATAAAACTGAATAGAGGCAGGACGATAAGGGAGAGCAATCCATACGTTTCGGGGCGGTTTCCTCTGTTATAGCGCTAAGGTCAGTCACAGGAACCAGGTACCAGAGTGGGAGAGATACTCTGGGCACGACTTACCGATGCTGGTAGCTTTGCGAATGTTAATCGCCAAATCTGCCTCCGTGCTAGTGATTCAGATCAGTTAGTTATCTTATTGCTGCAAGTCCCGTTGCTAAGCGTCCCAAAACACCTACCGACTCATTGTGACGAGCTGCAGACCTGTCGATTACCGGGGGATCAGGGGAGCAGACAACTATGTGCGGCGGGAGCCGGTGGGCCCGAGTCCGAACGGCGCAATTCGATTGTGCTCTGAAGGGGCGGGAAACTTGCGTTGACCGACAATGAAGGGCGATTGAAAGGTCAATGGAGTTACAAGGGAAAAGGAGGTGGGTGACAATAACACGGAGTGTAGAGCAGGGTTTAAAAGCATCTGTCGAGGAGCATAAATGACGTTTGGCGGGAAAGCTGACGCCTGCAGTTCATCGCGTGTCTTGGCGCGGCTTCGTCACCTCCTGAGTTCCCTCCCCCTCTGATTGGGCACATATATATATATATATATATATGTACTTGCAGTATACTACGATTCTCGCCCTTTGCCACTACAGGATCTACTTTGATGCCTAAAATATTGCTCTAGGCAGCCCCCCCCCTTTTCTTTTTTTTGATAAGGAAAGGAGAGGAAAAACAGAGCTGTAAGAGAGCCATGTATTCACCCGTATGTCCATACCCGGGACCAACAGTCTAAGTTAACACCGGACTATGATAGAATCGAAAGTTGAACATCGCTCCTTGAACACCATCTGATAATGCCGATCAGATCATATAACTGGCCAGAGGGTATACATAGGATAAACGGCCATGTCGCAACGCGAGTAAGAGGAAGCGAAAGAAAAAAGAGCATAGGAACCACACTGGCAAGTTGAGCAAGGAAATCGATCATCATAAGCTGAAACCGGCCGCATCGATACCGGACAGCGTCCAGTCATAATCACATCGCCCTTCACGGGATAATGCCATCGGTTGCTGACAAAATTGCCATTCCGTGTTTGTCAGCCTCGGCGCCCTCGGCCAGGGAGGATCGGTCGTGTCCATTTGCTTTCTCCCAAAGATCACTAGGCCTTTTCATAAGCACATTGGACGTGGGTGAGTCCCGCTGTGTACTAAGCCCGGGCAGAGCTTTGTCCGGGGCGGCATCAACAACCGGACTATTAGGGCCTGAGTCGTAAGGGGCTTCGACAACCAGTAGCTCATCCGGATGGCTCTCCGAGTCCCCTGAGTTGAAGATAGGCTTTCTTCTAGGCAAAGGTGGCTTTGAGACACGCCTCTTATCATCTCCTTTGGGCTGCAGCTCAGGAGATGCATTATGCGGGACAGGTTTCCGTTTGGTTACAGAAACAGTGTTCCTCTTAAAAGCAAACGACTCGGGGCGTGGCAATGGGGTTCCTGGAGGCGGAAGAGGATGTCCCCGGCCTATCGGCTCCTCTGGTGTACCTGCAGGCCGGGATGACTCGTGGGTAACGTTATGCTCACCTTTTCCGAACATATTCCAACCCCATCTCTTCGCAACAGAAGTTGCTGTGCCCAACGAGAGAGAAACCTGAGACTTTTCCGCGGCAGTGGAAGAAGTCACTGAACGTGCCAGAGTCTCGAGTGTGCTTCGTCTGGGTTTGTTGACATTCAGTGAAGCGGTGGAACTGGCAGCCATACTTCGAAGAGACGAACTACTCGTTTTATGAACAGCAGAAGGATGAACAGAAGAGCCGGTGCTAAATTCCCCCACACTCTCAATAGAATCCACTATGGATGGATCTCGGCTTTGAGACGTATCGTCTTGGGGCATATGACTGTCGGTAGGTGGCGAGCCACTGGGTGATCTGTTCGGTGACCCTGGTGGAGAGCGGTTCGATATTTCAATCATGGCACTAGCAGCACTGCTCTTTTCCGCGTCTTTGCCGTCATACACGACTTTGTCGATCTTTGCATTATCTGCTGTAAGCACGGGATCAGCAGCGTTGGAGAACGTCTGGGATCGAATGGCCCGCGGTGGTGAGCTGCCGAATTTCTCGCTAGCGGTATATGAGGCGCTTGAGTTATTCCTTTCGAGCTCTCCTTTGGAGCCCTTGCGGGATTTCATTGTGATAGGTATAGACTCAGAAAGCACAGGCGCGCTCATTGTACGTTCGTCTTTCGGTTTTAGCACATCAACGAAATCTCCTTTCTCCGTTCCTGTTGTCTGGGGTTGAGCGCCACTTTCGTCTGGTATATCGACCTTCGTATCCGGCGTCGGGATGTCTCGTTGCCAGATTCCTCCACGGAAACGCTGGGTGGCGGTGTCTAAGAAGGGAATATCATCCCAAAATGGCTGAACAACGCTTTCTGCCACAACCTCTCTTATCCGACTTTCAATAGTGCGTAGAATAATACCGTATGTGATTTGTTTTGAACTGACAATGGGTTGAATATCCATGTCCATGCTTGGCATCGTTTCGAAGGAGATCCAGGCTCGATTGCTCGGAGGAGGCTTGAACCGTATCAACAGATGGCCATGGAGTTTTTTCAACACCACGGCAAGAACAATGTCTACTTCCCTGGCCTTGAAACGAGGTCCAAGGTCAATGCGCACTGTAGCCGAAATCTCCACTCGAAAGTTGCCAGTATACTGAACGTCTGTCTCTACACAACAGTTCCCGTCAACCGTTAGATCTTTGAGCCTTGGATTGATGATAAACGGTGCCCCTTCGCCCATGTCAATCCTCTGTAGGCCAATTTTACTGATGAAGTTCGGCTTGTTAACCCGAGAAATTTTCTTCGTGATCTTTTTTCGGACAAACTCCTCCATCTCCGGCGTTCTATACATGGCAAGAAACAACCTCCCAAGGACCGCATTAATCCACCGCGTCTGCAGCTGTTCTTCGGATGAATGCAATCGTTGAACAAGGGTGACGATATGCTTAACATCGAAAGGTTGATGCTTGGGAGGGGCGTCGGGTGAGTTCCACATCCTGGATTGGTTCTGGAGCATAGCAAAATAGAAGTCTTCCTTTTCGGACAGATTTTCTGAGAAAAGAAAGAATGGGGGTGTCGGTCCCCCTAAATCTGCGAGAGACTCCAGTCGTCGCGAAAGACAGATAGCATTTCTCTTTAGCCACAGCTCGCCTTCCTGTATTTCCCCTTCACCACCACAGATATTTACGTCATGGTGCGCAAGGGAGATAACATAGCGCACCTCAACCTGGTTGGCATCATCGTAAAGCATCAAATGACCATGTCTATGCCCCGTACAATGATGATCAGCATCCGCAAAGGACCTAGACGCGAGGAAAGGAATAATTACCGCAGGACAATGTAAAATACATTGCGCGCCCTCTTGCCGCTTTTCCCATTATTCTTGGCTGGTTCAATCGTTGGCGTTTGCTTCCGATCAAACAAACTTCTATACATCGTCTGGTAGACGCTTGGGCTCTCCGCGGCGATCACCTCGCCCGCCGGCGTGGTTCTCTCGGGTGGTTTTCCGTTGACTCCACCGGGCACATATTCGCGACATACGGCAAAATAGCCTGCCGCAACATCCGACTCGTGCGTACGATGAAATTTTTCTGCTAGCTCATCCGTGCCGGATTTCAGGCTGTATTGGTCGTCCCCAGGACGCCGCAGAGGATCCTTGGCCAGTTCGCATCTATGCTCGACTGGCGGAGGCGATGGGAGGGTAAAATAAGCATGCAGAAGAACTAACGACAGGACCAGTGGAATGAAAGTCAGTCCGCCGAGGATGTATACAAAGAGGAAGCTGCCGAAGGAACCCATTAGGAGCCGGTCAATCAAAATAGCAACATCGAAAGGTCCATCATGAGGATATGACGGAAACAGAGAAGCTGTGGAGGCACCGAACCAGACCAAGCTTTGACCAGTAGCACTGGTAAATCGGTATATGGTAAAGAGAGAGAGACGAAAGGGAGATGCTGTATGGGAAAGGACACGATAAGAGGAAAAGGTAAGAAGAGAGAGAGTGAGAGTAGAGGTAAAGCGGACAGTACCTCACTCGTATGGAAATCAACCAATACCATCCCCTTACCTCACCACATTACAGTTACAAGGTGGCCGATCCTATGACGGAGTGCGGGTGGATCCCTGGAACAAAGTTGCCCCCGCCGAGGTCGTTTGTCTCGCTCCACTTGCATGCAACCGTTCTTGCCGTACTATAGTACTACTAGTAGTATATCCAAGACGTTGTTGTTTGCATCTTTGTTCCTTCCGACTAGCACATGACTGTGGTACTGGCAGTATACGATTTGTATTGTTTGTACTTCAGAGTGTGGCAGTGGTTCCAGAAAGTGGCATTAACGCCGAGAGTCCGACCAAGTAATATTTTTGAAACTTCCTGCAACCCTGATGCATCAAACGTGGTATCAGCGCTCGGTCAGATGACCTATGGGGTACGTTTTAATCACATCTTACTACTAGTACTACACTAAGTTGAGTTATATGACCTTCGGCGGAAAAATGTATGGAGAGCCTTCAATTTCCGCAACCTAATTCACTTGATATTCTAGATATATTTACAGTTCACTAATCTTAAAAAACAGTGGGCCCTCTCCCAAGCATCTATGACACTTGCGTACTGTCATTGAATCCAACAGACGCGTCAAGCATGAAGAAAAGAGACACAAATAGGCAATGGTACAAAAACAACTGTAGTGATACAATGGACATCAACTAGAACGTCGATATAGAAAGTCCAGCCCCGCATGTGGCTACGGTTGGCGCAACGATACCTAGACATCCAACCCACCGCGACGTTAGGCGCCTACTTCCTCCGATTCATCGTCTTCTCACACATTTGAAGGAGGCCATCCTTGGCTTCGCTGTCGGGGAAGCTGCTAATAGCAGCTTTAGCCTTATCAGCATACTCCTGAGCTAAATCACGAGTCTTTTCGACACCGTTACTTTGATAAACAAGCTCACGGGCCTATAGGTCAATCATCGTCAGTCACATACTTCCAATACTTCACATTAGATTCCAGATCACATACCCGTTGAACATCGCCTTCCTGACTGAACTTTCGGCCAACCAGCGGTCCCAGCTCAGGGTTCTGCTTCCAAGCAAACAGAAGCGGGGCAGTCGCCAGACCCAGCTCCAAGTCCGCTCCTGATGGCTTGCCCAACTCAGCATCACTAACGGTGTAGTCCAGCATGTCATCCACTAGCTGAAACGCAAGTCCCAGGTTACGTCCATAGGCATACGCAGCCTCGACGACCTGGGGGGTGCTATCACCGAGTAGCGCAGCCGCACGGCACGATTTACTTATCAAGCTTGCTGTCTTAAGATATGTTTTCTGCAGGTAGTAAGAGATGGTTTCATCCGTAAAGACGGGGTTCTTTTCGTCGGAGGCGGTATTCTTCAGTTGCATGAACTCTCCCTCCACTAAATTGGCAATGACGGTGGCCAGCAGCTCGGTGACTTCAGGATCCCTCAGACGTGCCAGAGCAACGGATGCACGCCCCAACAGGAAGTCACCCGCTAGCACAGCCATCTTGTTTCCGAATTGCAGATTAGCAGAGCTGGAGGACCGGCGAGTAACAGCATTATCGATGACATCGTCGTGCAATAAAGATGCGGTATGAATGAGTTCTGTGATTTCGGCGAGTCGTCGTTGAGTGGGCAGGATATTTTCGTCGCCAGAGAAGTCGTATTTGGCTTCCGCGGAAGAGGATACAAGCGGGTTTAAGTCAGGGTTGGTATCCGCAAGGACGGATGGGGAGCTGATAGGATCGTTCACAGTATAGGGCGGTGCAGAGCTCCATCGACCGTGCCGAGGAGTCAGCGCAGTTGCTTGGGACATAAGCAACACCAAAAGCGGACGCATGTGCTTGCCCTCGCTCTTGGTGTAATATTTGGCCACCTTATCCAGCGTAGGGTGGCCTGATCCCAGCAATTGACGAATGTTCTTCGTCAAAAATTTGAGCTCCTTACCCACAATCCTCAGGGGATCTACCGAAATCCCCGGAGGAGCTTTTGGAAGTCCTTTGAAGAGAGTCTGGGCGGCGGTGACGGCGGCGCCAAACGGAGAAGCGGATTTCCGGCGGGTAGGATGATATGCTCGCGTCTGCGAATTTCTTTGGACCGAAATAAGATCATTGCGGAGGCAATGCCAGCATATTGATGTCGAAGGCGTGACTCGTGATGGAAGGACGAGACCAGAGGCCGGGACCGCTCGAGCCTTCATGCTCAACAGACGCTAATTGACAGAAATGAATTAAAAGATAGAATAGAAAATAATATAACTATAATACAAATGGGGAATGGAAGCTAGAAAGAGCGCAGGCCGAAGGAGGGTGCAGCTTGTTGGGGCGAGAGGCTGCGTAGTTAAGGAAGTCCACAAATATCAGCCGGCCGAAGATTTCAGTTGAGAGCTGCCCACTGCCGACGGAGTTTGGCTCGGGCCGGAACGGATCGCTGAAAGCAGATACCTACCAGTGATAACAGCGGCCTTTACATCCGCATCTCCATCATCATGATAGACAAGTCCACTCTGTACCAACGGAGCAAAAGAAAAGGAAGAGAGATAGGTGATAAAATAAAAGAAAGAAGGGAAAATCTTAGTCTAGAATATTGACGGGAATTACCAAGATCTCTCGGCCCACATGCCCACCAAGACCAGGATGGACGAGTTGATCAGAACAGCTACAAGATGAACGTGCCCTAGTGCACAACGGAAATGGTTTGGTAAGAATATAGGAGACAGGGAACGTCACGCCGGCAAAGCTCAATCCTGCACATTCCCCTCCTACGCACCCGAAACAACAGATTTGCAGATAAAACACAATACTTGAAACCCACCCCGGCCCATTTGGCCCAGTCCCAACACATGGCAGGATTATACGTCGCCGTGTGACAGTTTTCGTAAGCATTAGATGGCGTCAAAATCGGCGCCAGCATCCTCATCATCCATATCACCATCCTGGATCTCCTTGGCCAGTTCCCGTTCGCGTTCCCGGGCCTCCTGTGCACTCTTCAGTTCCAGGCGGTGCTGGTTCATGGGAAATCTCATAGCCTATCAAATACATAATGTGAGTAAGCGCTCTACCTAGTCCACTGTACAAGGATAGATACAGAGGAATGAGTCAGGGTAGAACTAACCTTGACGCTCTCGTCGTGGAGACTCAAGCAAGCTCTGATTCGCTCGTGGAATGCCTCGCCAGGTTCTCTAGTCGCATAGATATCTCCAACTTCCTTACTCTTCATAAATCCTCGCTCATGGTCCAGAGTCGCCTCGATCACACCATCCCGGATCGCCTTAGCAACGATGTACTCTGCTGATTCTTCACTGTCCAGCCCCAGGCGGAGGCAAATGTCTCGCAGGGAGATTCGAGAATAAGATAGCGACATCATCCGGATTCCGGTCTTGATAACATTTTGCCTCAAGCGCAGAATGAGGGTGTACGTGCCATCCTTGCGGAATGTTGTACTGTGCGTATTTACGATGCTCAAAAAGCCATCCAGGTCACCTACACTTACGGCTTGGACAAGCAAGAAGTAAGGGTGCATGGCACGTTCCAGAGCAGGCTGACGGAAGATCGCACGGTCAGGGATGTCTCCCATAAGAAGCTCCACCACCACGAGCAACTTATGAGAGGCTTGGTAAAACCCACGCGCACTGTGGCTGGAGGGTGACTTTCGGGTAGCGCCGATCAAGTGTCCGTGAGCATCCGTGTACTGTAATTGGATAGCACGGATACGGCCCAGGTAGTACAAGTACCGGGCAATCTGATTGTTTGACGCGGACTGCGGGAAATGGTTGTGAGAGATAAGCAGATCTGCTTGTGAGATATGGGACGTGGACAGGTAGTTGCGCAGGAGCAATGTCATCACGGTAGCTTGGGTGTCAACATCCTTGCGAAGCACGGCCGTCCTGAGGGCTGCAAGCAATGGCTGGCGAATCGTGGTAACCGTGGCAGCAGGAGACGGGGGGAGGGGAGCAATCTGCTCAAAGAAGAGGGAGTAATAAAAATATACGCGAGCTGCGAGGGAATCGAGAGTGCGGCGATTGATAGTCCGCAGACGCTCGATTAAGCTCGTTGAAAACTTAGCACCACGCTGAATCTCCTTGCTGTCGTAAAGATAGATCTGAACGAGTATAGACAGATAAGTATCGATCTCTGGCAGAATCTCCTTGGAATTTGACTTGGTCTTCTCCGATTCGACGTCCATCTTGGAACTAGCAACCGCACTCTCGAAAGCACCGGCTTCACCGATAGCTTCAAGTAAGAAGGATACGGTGGGACTCGATGGGGGATAGCTCTCAACAAGGATTTCCGCCAGTACATCAGATGTAATATGCTTGCGCATCGAGGATATCGACCGCAAGACACGGAGGGTAAATCTGGGGTCGAAATGGGCGACGGCTCGCTCGAGAAGGGTAAAGTTGGTCTTGATGTCTAAAATGAAGGCAGGGTCGTTAGCAGGCTCCCATGGCACTGTATGCATAGAAGATATACAAGAACACCAACCTTGGATGGCCTTGGCTCTAGGATCAACCTCTGGCTCGGGCTTCTGGGACTCATCGCCCTCCGCACCTTCCATTGCGACATCACCTTCCTGGTCCTGACCTTTATCGCCGGATAGCCTCGAACCCTTGGTAGGGGGCACTACAACAGTCATCTTCTCGTCACCTTTCCGATCCTTACTGGCGTTGAATGAGGATGTAGGCGCACCTGCCGTATCCTCTCCCATCTCAACATCCTCAGAGCCATTCAACCCATTTTCCGTCGGCTCCGAGCCGTTGGTGCGTGGCTGATCCCGCTGTTCACCCATGCCGGAGTTCGAAGTGTTGTTGGAAGAAGCGGCTCTCGTGCTTTTGGTCTTACTGGCAGCCGCGCGGGTGGGCGCGACCTTGTCTTTATTGGAGCTTGAGTTTTGAGAAGTCGAGCGTGCCTTTTCACCGTTAGCAGATGAAGAGCTATCCGACTTGCTGTTTGATCTCAAGGAACGCCTCTCGGCCGGCATATTTTCGGTTTCCAGCTGTAAGCTCAGCTGAGCAATGAGGACCGCGGTACCGGGAACAGAAGGGGGGTGATAAAATAGAACTTAGGTCGGGGAGGACCCTGGAAAGTACTTGAGAAAAACAAAAGAACTAGGGGTATGCGGGTAGGAGAATGGTGGAACAGTGAGGATGATGAAGGGGGATGATCGTTGGGGGTGGGAAGAATGTTGATGAGGTGGTTGATGTGATGTCAAGGGTTTGGGCTTTGGGATGATGATGATGGACAGCGAGAGAACCAACCGGGCTTAGTCAGTATCAGCAGCTTGTTAACTACCTAGTAACGACCTCAGAAGCAACAGGTCACCTGCGCAAGGTACAAGCTTCGCCTCACAATAGCAATTAGATGGTTGTCAGATGACTCTGTTTTGCTTAAGGCATCTCACGTAACGGATGATCAAGGATGATTGTAACGAATTCCCTTTTCCCATGGCCGACCGCTGCTGGGTTGCCACTCACGGTCCACGGCCGTCGCCTGAGGCATCAAGAAAAGCAACGCAGCTTTCGGCAGGCCCTCTTGGCAACCGCACTCGGCGGCATGTTTACTCCTACTAACTACGACTTACAAAGTACGCAAGCATAGCACCGAGGTAGCATCAGGATTACAACCGCGATGTCTTTGCTTGATAGCCATCTGGAGCAGATTATACTCTCCTCCAATGCCATTGCTGAACTACCGTTAGTATCCTCCATCCCAGGATTCCAGCAACTTGCTAATCGACCCCCTCCAGTTTTCCCCCACCACGGATCTTCACAAACGCTCTCTTAGGCCCCCACGACATCACCGCTCTTATTCGCGATACAGAGACCCATGAACGAGCTCTTTTCCAAACAGACCCGTCTGTGAAGGCAATCAATGCTTCACAACGTCGGTCAACCCGCCGAGGAACAGTATTTCCATCTGAGATAGAGGGGGAGTCAATGGCCAGTCGGATCTATGCAGCCAGGAATAACAAAAACCAATCCGCTGTTGCAAGAGTCTTAGGGTCGGATATGATGGAGGAAATCAAACGCTCAGCAGGTACTTCCTCTAGAGGGCGTGGCGAAGTCGATGTTGAAGTGCTTCTCCGAGGCGCAGAAATCCTCTGCAACGTCTAGTAAGTAATCATAGCTTCACTCTTCTGGCTTGTAGCACATGCTTACTTATCTGGCTCAAAGTCCGGTCTCAGGGGCGCAAGAAAAGATCGCGAGTCTCCGTTATCGTCATCAACTGATTACTGACTCGATTCTCGACCTAGAGGGTCGGGTGGCGAGAAATACCGCAGAGTTGGAGAAGATGAGCCACTCATATGGAAGTGACTTTGACGATTATGAATCTTCAGGCACACTACAACCAGATATAGCCGATGTAACAGATGCCGATATTGAACAGGAAATGGATGAGATCCGAGAGCTAGAGAAAAGGAAGAGAACATTAGAAACCCGTGTCAGTGGTATGGAACGAGACTTGGGTGGCTTGATTGGATGATTGGCTCTTTACGCTCTGTTTCAGTGACTCAGATATCATGCAAGGGAGACAGATCGTAAGTCTTAGCCGACCGTTAATCTCTGTCAAAGTTCTGCCACGAGCTGCAAGTCCCTGCAGTGAACCTTGCTTGGCCCCGACGGTTCAACATTCGCCCTAGGGCTCGTGCCACATTGAGTTCACATAAGGTATCAACAAGATACGGCACTTTAATCCCGTGAACTCATTCTGGGTCTGACAAACATGCCACAGACGAAATCCTTGAACGACTTATCTAGTTTTACGCTCTTCGACTGTCATGAGGATGCGGTCGTTGCGCGGGCTACAGAGTCAAGGCTGCTTGGAATCATGTTGTCAGTTTGCCCAATTGCTGAGATTCCCATTCCATTCTCAGTGCTATGCCCGGCCTATGACGACTCGCGTCAAGCTTGCGAGGCGAATGGGATGCTTTGAATCCTTTGATACACCGCTTGTCGGGTCTTTCTCATATCTATTGGCCCTGATATGTGATTCATAGCAAGGTGATTGCTGATCGGTTATTTGGTAGCGTTGCCACTTTGCTGGACCAGTGGTATATCGTGCTTTCCAGAGGATTTCCTGCTGTACTCGTCATCAAGAGCTCGGGCTAATAGCCGTTTTGTGGAGTCCGTCTTATTATATTGGTGTTGCCATCCCTGACGTCCTAGTAGTCTCACCAATGCAACTACTTCCATGAGGACTGTAGTACAAGACAATAATTATCGTGCAGAAAGGTAGCACATTCACGTCTGTTGAAAGGAGCATACATAGTATTTGATAATGGATTCTGGATGGTTTACAATCTGGGACCGAGGTCCTGAAAAGTAGGAATCAGGTAAATATATGACATAAGGAAAAGAGAAAACAGAAATCTTCGAAGGTAGTGTAAGGGAAAAAGAAGAAGAAGATTATATGATGCTCGACTGCAAAAGGTGATACCAAGTCACTGGACCCCAGATTACCGCTTTTGGAGCAACACCGAATGCCAAGACCTGAAGACCTAAGGCTCCCAAACTCTCCGCCATCCATCGTTTATTCTGAGCCCGAATCGCTCGTTCAATCTATCCCTTCTGACGGGGACTGCAGTGTTTCCTGCCAGCTATCGCCCCTCACGCCATTTACTTGACTTGAACTCTGCCAACGCTTGCCCGGTCGCTTCGTGGCCTCCTCCACGTAGCTTAACGATTCAACCGTCGCACGGGTTCAACCCATCATTCCCTTGTTTTCAGGGTTACATCTACCCTCGGCCCACCCATATCGATAGTAACCCATACGTTCGCTTCTGTTCTGTGTCAAATTTATCATCGAGAGAATGGACGGCTCACAGGTTCCTGCGGCTCAGCCCATGGTTACCCAGCACTCAAATCTCATCCGGACCGATCAAGTCCAGAAGCTCCCTCATCTCACCGAGCAGCAGAAGAGTCAACACACCCAACTGGTGCGCAACTTTTGGGAGGTCCTCAATAACCGCGACCCTCAGAGCACAGAATATCAGCACGCGCACTCGAGGCTTACTCAGATATCCCAAAGTCTGATGAAAGGTATGCGAGCATTCCAACAGAACCGCCAGCTTCAGCAACAACAGCTCCAGGGACAGCCTGGCCAGCCCGGTCAGCGGCCGCAGTCGGTCAACCCTCAGACTTTCAATCAGCTCCTACCTCAGATCCAACAAAAAGTCAATGGTCTGCAGTTCTCTCTTCCTCCCAATATTAGCCAGGAACAAGCGCAGTCATGGCTTCCGGAGGCCAGGTTACGATACGGCATTGCGCTGCAGAAGCAAGAGATCGGTAGAGCGCGCGTAGCAGAGCTACGTCAGCAGTTCAGCCAGCGCCAGGCCGCCGGAAATATGACCCAGGAGGAGCTACAGGAATTCAAAAATCGACAGCTTGCGGCAGAGAAGCTTTACCGAGAAGGAGGTGACTTCTTGACCAAGTTCAAAGAACAACAAGAAAACTTCAAGGCGCAGCAACAGAGGGCAGGCGTACAGAACGTTACAGGTCAACCACAAGGTGCCAGTGTCACACCAGCTCCCACTGTCCCTGCTGGTTCGGATGGTCGCCCCGCAAACACACCCGTGTCAATGCATCCTGGACAGGCCCCGACACCTGCCCCTCATACTATCACTTCTGCGGTAAGTGCCGCACGAAGCCAAGCTAGCCAAACAGCTATGTCACCGTCAGTATCCCAACAAGGTCAAGTACCCGTTGCACAGGCGGCCCCGGTGGTCGCTCCTGCCGCTCCTGCCGCACCACCAGTCGTTCCTCCCCAAGCGCAGTCGCAGCCGCAGCCGCAGCAGCAGCATCCACAACCGCAGCCGCAAGCCCAGTCTCAGCCAGGAGCACCTGGCTCACAGGTCACCTTCACGCAAGTACCTAACTTGGACGGCTCTACGCCTACGCCTACTACAGCTCAGCCAGTTAATGTGCAAGGGCCCCCACGTCCCTTGTCCCAGCAAGCTGCTATGGCTCAGGCTGCTCAAAACTATACAAATAACAACGCAAACAATAACATGGGCCAGCAGCAGAACATGCCGCAGCCTGCGACCAACTCGCATGCGCATCCTCAGGGCTACATTCCCAACAGAGCCACTGATAACTCGGCACGAAATATCAATATGGCCATTCCAAAAACCCTGAATGTCCCTCCTCCGGAGCCTGTCACTATGGCTCCAGCGCGGCCAACCCTGTCAGGTGGTCCCAGTCACGGCGCTATGGGTATGATGGGTCAGCCTGCTATTCAAAAACACCCAGGGTACGTCCTTGAAGGCGAAGGCCAGCGAGTCCTGAGTAAGAAAATGCTTGACATCTTGGTTCGCCAGGTGACTGGAGGAGGGGAGGGTGAGGGACTCACTCCAGATGCTGAAGATGTACGTTGTTCCACTTACCCCCTTCAACGTTACTAATAAACCCCGGCCGCCTTTTCTATGAGACTTATCTAACATTAATCAGTTCATCCTCCAAATGGCCGATGACTTCGTGGACGACGTGATCACCGCTGCCTGCCGTCTCGCCAAACTACGTCCGTCATCTACCCTTGAAATCCGCGATATTCAGCTTGTTCTCGAACGTAACTACAACATGCGCATCTCTGGATTCTCGACTGATGATCTTCGCACCGTCAAGAAGCCTCAGCCAACACAAGGCTGGACCCAGAAGATGTCCGCCATCCAAGCTGCCAAAGTGACACAAGGCAAGGCTGAATGATTCTGCATCTACTGCGCTTCCCCTCTTTTCACCTTCGCAGTCATCGTCTCCAAGCGGGGTTATGTGCCTTCATTGATAGCCTACGTATCAAACGCCTCCTCACTCGGTTGCCCTACTTCTTTAATCTTCTAGGAAATTGTCTTAACACCACCGTTCTAACATTTATTCCCCACCTTTTCACTTTACAGTTCGGTAGTTGGCGTCACTGGGTGGCTTTTTGTTCATTTACTCTGCTTGCCTTTATTTTTGTCGCTTTACACTTATTCCACCGGGTTCTGGCTGCACTGAACTGGCATGTAGAATGGCGTTTCTTTCATGGATGTTTTTCAAGTAACGAATGCTATACCCACTTTGAGAGTTGGATGAACTGGGGTATGGGCTCGAAAAGATGCTTAAAATAAAAACAGCGGCACGAAGTCATTTGGTACGGTTTCAATGGGGTCCTGATCGGATTATCACGGCTGGAAGCCCGCCTTTTGTCGCTATTTTTTTAATACCTGGATACAGGTTTAAATTTCTACAATAAGCAGATAGCAGAACCGGGATCTATGACACCTTTGTTCCTGAAACAAAAGCGGATTGGTATCAATTCTCTAGGAACAGCGCCTATTGTGCGTCTTCTATCAATCTAACAACAAAATAAACACAGAAAACACACATAATTAAACCGCTCAGACCTGCTCATGCAAAAATTAAAGCATTCGCTTCTCCCATCCATGTATACAAAAGACAGCAAAAAATAAGCAGCTAGAACAATGGCGGACAACGTTCAGCCAGCGACATACAAGGTAGAAAAGCAGGGGAAAGGGAAAGATTAACAAAAGAAAGGGAAGAGTCGAAAGGCCGACCTTTGACTTCAAACAAAGGAGAAGATGGTACAGTGAATATAGAAGCAGTCGAGGGGAGGCTAAAGACAAAGCCAGAACCAGTCAGCGTGGATCAGACTCCAACGCTCAAAGCGGCGACTTCTCGAGTCGCTCTTTCAAAAAAGGAGGGTGATAGAATAAACACGCATGCACACACAGACAAAAAGGAAAGGGTCGCGAAGAGATAAGGAGAGAGGGTAGGTAGATACTTCAAAAATGTTGAGACACATGATCAAATACCGCTTGCCACGCTGGTTAAAGAAAGTACGGTCTCATTCTTGAGACCAAGTCGGTCGAAAATAGAAGCTGAGAAAATATGGAAGGGCAAAAGGAGATGTCCTGTGAAGACAGGCACAGGGTGCCTGAGAGCGAAACTCACATCAATCGTGGTAACATGGCCAGTATCACAAGAGTGGTTTCTTCCGGAGATTGGATGGAGGTAAATGGAAGAAGGAATGCGTTACGCAGGCAAAGACGAGAGACCCCACGGCGCCGAGAATAAGATAGATAGAAGGAATTTTGAGCTGCAAAAAGGGTATCATGAGAATCGACCGAATTTCATCGCCTTGAGGTTATGGAAGATCGTTCGCTGAAAGGGAGCAGTAAAACACGTTTCAAGCGATCGCCATTCTCTTCCCGTCGGGTCGAAGATGGTCTTGATTGGGGAGTGGTGGTAGTTTCTTCTCCGATGCTGGCGGAGCGCCATGTCGGCTATGTTGACTTTGTCCACCAACGCTACTGGCCTCGCCGGCCTCGTCTACGATCGGTAGTGTCGAAGTTGGACCCGTTGAACTAGTGTCCGTTGGGTCCCTAACTGTCGATAACGTCCGAGGGTGCGTAAACGATACGTCCTTGGCCGCTTCTTTCTCCGCCGCCTGTATTGTGCGTTCAACGGAAGGCGTACGCTCAGCAGATGTTCTGCCTAGCTGCCGGGATTCCCGACAACGTACCGCTTCTTCTTTAGACATAGTGATGCCCTTGATGAACTTCACAAAGCGATCACCATAACCCTCCGGGGGAACTGGTGAAATTTGATTCCGGTCATGTGACAGGCCCTTGAAGAAGTGCTCTAATCGTTTCACCATGCCATACTTATCTAAGGTCAGCGTTGTATCCAGGATACTCTGTCTGCATCCATCAAGTATTGACTTACATGTGTCAAACAATCAATAATTCCAAGGTAATAGATCTCCTCTCCAGGCTGGCCATTCTCATGAGTGGCTCGGAATCCCCCATCGTCAGAATAGAAGACATGAAATTTTCTTTCGTCGAGAATTTCTTCCGGCATCTTTGCGGTTGCTTTGTCCAGAGGCACTGGGCGTTCACGTTTGAGGGACATTCGTAGCTCACGGGCCTTGCGTTCATTTTCCAATTTCGACGGCGTGCGCATAAGCATGTTCGGGTTCGCTTCTTCTTCTCGATCACCACCGGGTTGGAAAACTTGCAGAGTCTTGTCACGAAGCTTCTCCTCATTTCCTCTCTCTCGATCATGGATGCCCACTAATAGAGAGTAGTCCATGATCTTGAGCCGCTTCAATAATTCAACATCCCGTTCCAGTTGTGCCAGGAAAAATTCCCGTTTCGATGGTCCACACTCGAGGTGACGCTCTCGTCGGACCCAGTTCAGGTCCTTCAAAGTGGCTCGTGGGTTCTTCTCAAGGTCTTCTTCACGCAAGTCACGGCCGATCGTCGAGCCCTTCAGATCAAAAGTCTGATGTATATCCCGATGAGGCGGGAAGAGGTTGTTCATGACCACAAAGTGGATCTTGCGTCCATAGGCCATCTTGACACGGTGAAGGCCATAAAACTGCGAGATCAGCGTGTTGGGATTCTGCTCGACGTGTTTATAATACTCTGGAAGAATCTTGCGTAGCAGCTTGTGCTCGGAGTGATGTATGGTTTTGATGATGTATTTATAGTCTCTCGAAAAGTAAAAGAAGCTGCCACTTTTCCCAGGCGAGCCCAATTCCGAAAGAATATACTTGCTTGTGAGAGACATTAGGTAGTCAGCAGGGTCAATCCGGAACTTCGTTCGCAGATGTCGGAAGACCCAAGGCGCATAGTCTTTGAATTTGAAGTCGTATTTGGCAGAAGGTGTTAACTCATTGCCAGTACTGCCCACGGGTCCAGTGTAAGTGAAAGAACGAGTGACCATAGAATGGGGGATGGGGGAACTAGGGCATACATGTCAAAAGAAAATTTATGTTTGGCCTCAAAGTCCGCAGGCGTGAGTTCCCGGTCCATCTTCGCATTAATTCTCGAGACGGTAAACCGAATTCCTGTGAGCATGTTGTACGCTGTAACCCAGTTCACATGATTTTGATCCACCTTTGTTCCCACGATGACACGGTCGTCATCGTCGTCATCCCGGCGTCTCCTCTTTGAAGCCCTCCGTTGCTTGATGGCTTCTGCCCACCTGGCTGCATCTTCATCAGGATTAGCTTCTTCCAGGAAGGTATCTGAGCGATTGGTCTTGCTGGCCCGGCGGCCAAGACTAAAAGAGGTACGACGAACTCCTCCTGTCGGAGACAATCGTCCGCTGCTATATGCCGCATCCTCGGAGTGGTCGCGACTACTTCGACGGCCGCTAGTGTTTCTTGGAACCTGTAGCGTATGCCGATGTCGAAGGCCGGAATTCGCCGGTTCTGACTGTTCTGTGCCAGAGGGGAGCGGTGGCGAAGAATACCGATGGGGGCTTTTCTGCGACGGGGATAGACAGCCAGGGTCAGGTGAGAGGCGTCCTGTGTCGATGGGCTGCGATTCCGAAACGTTCCCCACCGAATCCGAAGAAACCAGTCCATCGGCCGAAGGTCGAGCATAATCCCCATTCATCAGAGGTCTTCCGTTTGGTGATCGTGGGTTGAGTGATGTGCCATTAGGCTGTTGGCTGGCTATCGACGCCGTCGCTGAACCTGCTCCGGCACCTGCATCGGTAGATTTCCGCGCGAAATCCTGTTCGTGCGTCATGGAAGGCCGTCCACCATCCCGGGGGTCCCGGGCTGATACATGGCCTAATGAGTGCATGCTTCCATCTTTCGAGTGTGACAGATCCCGAGTGTAAGAACTGGCGCTTGACCGAGGCCCATTCAAAGAATACACACTGCCGTTCGCGAGCGGTTGGCGGTCGTTTCCGGGGGTGTCAAGGTGACTGGTGTCGCCATTGGGCCAGTTTGTCCACAGAAAAGTATTACCGACGGGAGTTTTGTCGTGTGGTTTCCCTGGCGGCGAGTCAAAAGAACGAGGGTGGGTAGCCGTGGCAGTGGCCGTCTGATAAGAGCTGTCGTTAGAAAAAGATGGCATGGTCGCTAGGTTTCGACTCCGGCGCAAAATGGAAACGCCAAACGGTGTGTATATAAAAGAGGGGATAGAACGGTGACGTGAGACCTGCGTGGGCCTATTAAGCTCAGCAAACAGCCAGCGTGCTGGGCGGGAACCGGGGTCGACTGTCTCCGGCCAACGACGGGAGGGAAGATAGCGAGGAAAGGAAGGGGGATGGAAGGCGGGAGTGACAGCGACCGATCAATGGCAGGGTTCAAGATGCAAGTACAATGTCCCCGAATCGAGCTGAAGCCACCAGCCGGGGAGGGCGTGGCATAAATTTAGCGACGGATTGGCATGTTCATCAAAAGAAAGGAAAATGGCGAAATGTACGTCGACCAAATACCGGCACAGGCAAACGTGTTCGGGTCCCAAGACGATTAATGAGTGCGAAAAGAAAGAGAAGCCGGACAAAAGACGTAGAAGGGACGAGCTGTTGATTAAAGGCCGAATTAGAGAAGGTGGGGAGGGAGGACGAGTAGAGAGTGTGTGTGAAAAGTAGACACAAGTCGGGCGTATGGGGATGATGGGTTGGGGGGAGACTTTGGACGAGGAACAAGACTGACGGTATTATTCTTAGGTAGAGAAGGGAAGGAGGGAAAAAAGACCTCACAACTTGGTATGGACTGTAATGTAATTCTGGGTCTGGGCAGACAGAGGCGGGAAAAAAAGAAAAAAGGAAAAGAACAGAAAAACCTTACCAAGAGAAAAAAAAAAAAGAAAAGGTGCCTAGAGAAGGGGGGTATTACACTGTATGACTTGTATGGGGTATGTATGAGGTGAGGTACCTTGTATGTATGTATCTACACACTCCGTACCTCCCGAGTAGTTAGTAGTGGGTATAGTAGGTAAAGGGGGTGTATATAATGCAATATAAGTATGGACGCAGAACCCTTATTGTTGGCGGATAAAGAAACAGATGGATATTGCCCCGTGGCAGGCAGAGAAACTAAAGTGCTTTCCTTTTCATTCTTATCTTTCAAGTTTCCCTTTCACTGGACACTTGGTAAAGGAGGCTGGTTGGTGAGTAGTACTCCGTAGTGCTAAGAAACCCGAAGAGGACCCATCTGTGTCAGTTATTGTTCCTGGTAAGGATGGATCTTTTGCTCCACAGCTTTGATGAAGTACTAGTACTAGTCAGCTTTAATTACTTCCAGCAACGGGGAAGTTCTGCGTATTGTAATTATTTATATAGGTAAGTAAGGATCGGCTCCCATCCCTCCCCGGCTGTATCATGGAAGATAAGGACGTCAGCCATGTGCTGCTTTATCTAACATTTGATTCCACTCCTCCTAATAGTTAACTACTGGTAGTTAGTCATAGTTATATACAGTGACAATTAGGTAACAATACTTGTACATTACTAGTGTTGATTTGATCTATCTAGGTCATACGATATCCACACAGCGTACGGAGTACTATGCACGGATATATGTATGTACATACACACAATATGTCGGGTACAAAATTCAAGACAAGGTTTACTCTGGACGGAACCTTAGTAGTAGTACATACGGCGTAGGACACTTTTTGCATAAAATCTATAGACCGATTGATCGGATTCCGTTCCCAGAATATATCCGCCAAGATCAATTAGAAATTGCCCATCCCGAGTCGCCTTGATACTCTGCACACTGAAACAACGGTTACATACATCCCGAAGTACCGTGTATGAGTATGTATCACGATGACAAGTGACACTTCACGGACACATGGCGGCAAACTGCATAATCTATGCAACTGTACTAGTGGCAATTTTAGTCTATTGTATACATATATACAATCCTCGTGAAAGTATTCTAGAGGTCTCATGCTACAATTGTTGCTTCCAAGTAGTATTTGAAACATGGAATGAAATGGTTCGGCCAAGTTATGTTTCCATCACCGAGAACGGAAATGATTATTGTATTGATAATGATAATTTCACCTATCAAACTCAACTCCTTTTCCTGTGCTCTGTCGCTATCTTCCTCCTCCAGAGTAACTCACAAACTATTAGTATGAGCATTCGAACAGAATTACGCCATAATCGAGTTCCCAGACTCAGCCTGATCCTCCTTATTCCACCGCGGCGGATATTGTGCTAATGATCGACAGTGCCAACGTCACACCCAAACGATCCTGTCCTATCCTGACGCAATGAACCCCTAAGCGTATTGCCCATCATTCTTCCTGGTATGTTAGAGTACTGGACAGACTCATATGTGGTGTATTTGATCAGAAGTTTGGAATGCAGTCTTGACACAATCCTGGGCCTGGCGAAGTGGCAGACCCGCCTGCTGATGATGCCTCCATAAGTAAGGTGCTTACAAGGCTATTCTTCGAACACCTACGTACATACTAGTACTTCGTACTGCTCACCGAGTGGATACTTTTCTATCTTCTATTTTTGGAATTGGCTCAGGGAGCTTGAAGGAGTCCACCTATCCCCTCATGTGAGAACCTGTACTTGGTTCACATAAAATCGAATATGCATCGTTATATTATACTATGTACGAGAAACCAATACTTAGGAGCATTGACCCAATTGACAGTCCCAAGCCCCATCTCTCCTTGAATTTGCAATAGCTGGCGCTCATGTTAAGAGTCAGTAAGATGCTTCTCACGTAGCTGTCGGATCAACAAGAACCTTCGGCATCCCTTATTTATCTGGACTCCAGACCACAAACCGGGCATCTACGATTCTACACTGGGTCTGGATAGGGGGCCTCTCGCTCAAGAAGCATGGCTATCAACTCCATTCCACAACGTAGCACTGTCCGCTGACGCGTGCTTCCAATAAATATCAAACACAAAAAAAGATAAGACGTTTCCCATATCCACCGCAAGACGCCAACCCTACCGATAACGAAAGAATAAGCCATCAACATATCCCAGGAGCAGTCACCGCATCGACAAAAGATAGAGATAAAAAAAAGAAATTACAGCCGAAGAAAGAAAGGATACAACCCAAAAAAAGAAAAGATACAGTCCGAAGCCCACGTCAAGTCAACCAAATCGAACAGGAAATCAACTAGTCGCTCAAAAATATGATCTGCCAGGCATTGACTTTAAGCCTTCTTGGTAGACTTCTTGGTTGCCTTTTCAGCAGGCTTGGCCGTTGTCTTGGTCACACGACCGGACTTCGTCTTGCCGATGACCTTGGGTTGGTCGACAACGGCAGGAGCCTGCTTGGATGTCAGAATACAATTCCGGGATGTGGGCGACCGATGGTAATACATACAGCAGTAGATGCCTTGCGAGGCTTAGCGGTGTTCGCCTTGGGTCTGCCGACACTCTTCTTGGTAGTAGTAGTGCCAGTCTTCTTGGTGGTCGTCTTGGGCTTCTCGGCCTTTTCGGCCTTCTCAGCCTTCTTAGTAGTGGTGGCAGTAGCCTTCTTCGGCTTAGCAGTAGTAGTGCTCTTCTGATAAATATTAATCATGTTAAAATCTAAACAGAGAAGATACATATCACTTACCTTGACAGCAGGCTTAGGAGCAGCTTCCTTCTTGGCGAGCTTCACGGGTCCAGAAGGACCTAGAGATGAGACGCGTCAGCTCACCATTTATCAAAACAAAGGATACGCGACGGTATAACAGATTAGAGGGCGCACAAAATAACGTGCTCAGTTCAGTGGCCACAAGGGGAACGACTCTTGGATGCGCGCGCAATAAATTAAGACTTGAAGACTTACCCTTGGGCTGGGTGAATTCACCCTTCTCAACGCCTGCCTTGATAGCCTTGTTGAACTGGCTATCGAAGGCGTTGGTAGATGCAGGTGCAATCTTGTTGTTTGCCAAAACATATTTCTTGATGGACTGGCGACTGTGATGGGGCGATCAGGTTAGCCTAATACGCGACTTGGATGCCTTCTGCGGTTGCCACGTCGCTGAACGGGGCCTTGCGCGGGGAGACGAAAACAAAACTAACATACCTGCTACCATTGCGCTCTTTCAGCTAGAGGGCGACATGTTAGCGACCAGCTTGAGATAATATTCAAGAATTTCTGACGGGACGTTGGGATGATCCAGCACCGTGCAGATGTGTCACGGTCGGAGAAGTTTGGACCCAACATCCGTCTCCCAAAGCGACTCGGGAATAACGTGATCAACTCACATTCAGAATAGCATCCTTAATCATATCTATATCAAATGAATCAGCACTCTTTCGCGACAAAAACGATAATAAGATCACTCCGACGCGATGTGGTGGTGAGGGAAGATCAGTAAAAGCATACCACGGTAGGAAGCATGAGTCGAGCCAGTCTTCTTCTGCGCCGGTGGAAGCTTTCTTAGGAGGCATCTTTAGAGTGAGTAATTATAACTGGTGGTTTTAAAGTCGAGGTTATAAGGGAGACCGAGGTCTACGAGATGATATTCAAGTTCAACAGGCGTAAGCGTGGATCGTTGGTGGAAGCAGAAGGAAAAGCAGTCGACGACGGAAGGGGTGGAAGGCCGCGGGGCATCCGCGCTTTATAGGGCAGCGGGTGTTGACACAAGATCACTCACTCCCAAGCAGCTACACGTCAAAGTCCCTCTGCTGTTTCTCCTCTTTTTTTTCCCACTTATTTTTTCCCTTTTTTCTTTGTGCATTTTCTCGGTAGATTATTGGTAGGGCCGTATTCTCGGGTGATCAATATTATGATAAGAGTTAGTCCTTCATGCTAGCTTTTGGTAATGAAGTGGATATCCATTGCATTCATCGACAGGTCGCACATCCTCACTCCCTCGCGCAGTCTTTCTACGCGTTCTGCTTTCCACCTCCTCCCCCCCCATCCCCCTCCCTCCTTGGTTTTTCTCTTTTCCCTAGATAATTCTTAAGCTAGCAATCCCTTGGGAATTATTCCCAAGTGTATGATCGGCATCTCTATATTCATATCTTCGTCATATGCCTTTGATGGAATAAAGAAAGAAGAGAAGAGTGGCACGCGCTTCCTTCCATGTATACATACGTACCTAATTCCCGTATCTTTTCCCAATCCACAGATGGCTCTCGCAACGACAAGGGCAAGCATAGTGCGTCGCAATCATCATGGCTATGTTATTTAATTCTTGAAGCTTGATGATTCATCAATATTGTCTTCGGCCATTCTACCTTACGGCCTGGTTGGCTCTGTACGTATCAGACTCAGCAATTCCAGATCGACTAGGCCAATTTTGGGGTGTTCGACATCCATTGGGATCGGCCATTGGAATCTGTTGTTTGGTCAAGCTCATAGCCTCCTGGCGGCTTGCCGGTTGACTATACTCCGTAGGAGTCTAAGCTATACGGAAGGTGTCGAGCTGTCTGTCCCTTGCATGTTGTCGGTGGTGGGAAAACCCCCGTGGAGGCTTCCATTTGGCCGCCTCGTGCCGTTTGGGTCACGAGGGGGTATGATGTATGGATCGCCTGTTTGAGTTTCCTCCTAACTTGGGAAATTCCATACTTGAGACGCTGACGGGTCGTGTGGTTATTGGTTCCTCTGCTTGAAGAATATAGATCGCAATCCATGGTTGGTGCCCCGACGATTGACTAGTATAGGGCATGAACAAATGCGCTGGTCGTAGGCATGTATGAATCATGTGTTTTGTACTGGACAAGAAACATTCTACCCACGTCCCCCTGAGTGCTGCTTATAGTGGACCTATGCTTCAAATATAGTAATATGGGGGAGATATTAGTTGGTAGTCTACCAAGCTAAAACCCACTTGTGTTGCGGTGGGTGCACGCCCGGTGGTTGATCATCAGGATCGTGACCATGATTTGATTCTAGATAACGGGCATGTATACCCAAGCAAACAACCCCCACCTCGTATCATGATTTCACATCTTCCCTGGTTACCTCTTGCTAGATATGGATTTCCTGTTTCCCTCTAGTACCCTGGACAAGCCAGGCTAATCCTGACAGCTCATACCTCAAGGATGTTCGGCTCAGACTCGGCATCATCCTCACTATGGCGGCTATTGATGGAATCCCAGCCACGACATAAATAGCTCCTCTGGCTGGGTTGATGTGCTTGGATATCTAGTTTATGGGCTCTATTTCATTGCTACGCCGTTGGTATCTGTTAGTCATGAGGTTCCAGCGTTGTGATCTCTTTGATCACTCGGTAGCCCTACTTACAGTGTATAGGATCCATCCACTGCCCCGCCCACGATATATAGTACTCGACCAGAAGCTCTTGAACCTGATCTCCCCAACCACAACGGAAACAACAGCGATTCCTCGTCATCTAGAGATAATAGTCCAACAGCTGCACCACCTAGAACAAAGACTGGTCGTAATTCCCAATATAACCAGAGAAATCAACATCCGCCGTGTTAAGGTGCAATGATGGTTCGTCACTACCACAATGCCCAACCCCAGCACGAACTGTTGCAACCAGCGAAACAATTCCTTGTAATGCCTGACAGTGAAGAATGAGTATTTCCATTTGATCCAGAGTTATCTTTCCTACTTTCATGTTTATCCGCTGAGGGATCACAGAATTCAAGCTGGGTTTCAGAGAGGGCGTCTCTCGGCACATGGCGGCCTGGTTTTACCGACCCAGTATGGCAAATTCTCCGATAAAAACAGGGCATGTTTTCGAAGATAATAGGCGCTAGAGACGATCGCATCTCTCTATTTTCTTACTCGTAGAAATACTTTAGTTCTATTCATAGGATATACAAAAGTTACATTCAGTGATTACACCCTGTCAATGAAACGCCGTACCTCAGATCCGAAAGCAAACCCGACAACCCAGTGAGCTTATCACGCAACGCCAACGCCATCTCATTGTTTTTACGACCCCCTTACTTAGCCGTCGCCTTTTCAAGAGCTTCCCCGTCGTCTAAAACGTTTGACTGAGAGCGAGTCCCTTCACCCGGCACCGCGGGGTCTTGCCTTGGCCTCCTTCTTGGCCTTAGCCTCCTCTTTTTTGCGTTTCTTCTGCTCCTGAAGTTTCTCGTCGTGCTTACGTTTAAGGTTCGCCTTCTCCTCATCGGTCCGGGCCACAGGCTTGAAAAAGCCCTCTAGACGTGACTGCTGGGCAGTCTTCAAGTTCTTCTGGAGCCGGGCTGCGCCGTTGCGCACTCGATCTTCGTTAAAGCCCTTGTCTTTCACCAGAAACTCCACAAGGCCTTCAATATCTGGTGCCTCCCATTTGAAGTCGCAGTCTGTGTGGCTAGCTTCCCTCACGTCTGGATTGAGAAAAAGTTCTCTTGCATCCTGGTACGGCCAATCTTCCGGAATAACGTATTTCTTCTTCGGATCGTTCTCCATATGCTCAACAACCTTCTCGAGGCTCCCAAACTCCCGAATCAGTTTTAGGGCAGTATTGGGTCCAACTTTGGGAATTGGCTCCAAATAATCGCAGCCAAGTAAGATACAAAGATCGATAAACTATACCGCAAGCCATAAGCAAAACCAAGCGCTGCTGGAGGAACTATGAGTGGCTTACCTGTTCTCGGTCCATATCTAGTCCTTCCAGCGCGCGGCTAAGATGAATTTCTAGGATCGGCTCCTTTCGCTGTTCGCTGAATGTAAGATGCCTGAGAAGAATGGGTGCCTCAAAGCATAACGTGTCCATATCCTCAGAAGCCGCAGCATAGACCTTTCCCGCCCGTGCAAGGACTGCGCACTGCGCCTCCGCCTCAGTGGGGGCATCGATGTATGGGATGCCCATCAGCTTCAACAGCTTCTTACATTCCGCATTGTGATCTCTCGTAACCCGTACCGTACGCCGTGAAAACTTCTCAACGTCCTCCGCTGTGCCGGTTTCCTTGGCCTCCTCATGAGCCTCAGTAGCTTCGGCCTTTCGAGCGGTACGCTTGGCTAACTCGCCAGACTTAAGTTTTGGCGGAGCTCCATCGAAGACATAAAGGGGCTTGATTCCGTTGTCGACCATTCGCAAAGTGCGGTAGAACATGCCCATTAGATGCGACGTGGTCTCGCCGGTGTCGCTCATGAGTTGTTGGCCCTCGGAGCGCACGGCAATAAGGAAACTATAGATACTCATGGAGCTGTGGTATGTTAGTTTCTAGTCTTGTTCCCGCAAGAACGATCAAGTTACATACGCATCCTAGATTCCAGGGATCACCCGTTAGCCAGACAGCGCCCTATTGCACAGCTGATAAAAGGAAGGACGTGACATACTATAGCAACCTTTCGGCCAAAATGGTTTTTGATATCCCCCGCCTTGATCGCATCAGGGGCATTCTCCGCGATTACCTGGTATAGGTCTGTAGCGAAGACTCGGAGTTAGTACTAAATAAGCTTCTGCGGTAGTGCTGTAACAGGTGGTTATTTTGAGGTTAACTTACGCTTAATACCCATAATGAGTTTCCTGCTGCTGTAAGATGAAAACGGCGAGGTAAGCCAGTCAGGACTACTTTTTGGTTTAAACAAGATCACAGGAAAGGTTTCTAGAGTGGTGCCGCGACCAAACGCGCGCCGAGCTTTGAGAACACGCGACGGGTGGGCCCCCGGGAATACATAATTAGACCTAATTGGGGTTAGTCCATAGGGACATACTGTGTACACACTCCCACGTGACTTCCCCGCTAATAATCCCCATCCATCCCTTCGCCTAAGGCTCTATGGTCCCCCCCCTCTAGGTCTGGCCAGTGAAAAGGAACGGTTTCAGTAAGCTTAAACAGTATGGCCTAAGGCAGTGAGGAGTTAACATTCTCTCCATCACTAGTGTCTTCTGCAATCCCTCCCCCCCTCTTCCCACTTGGCATCCACTCCTGTGGCCGTAGACAATATCTATAAAAAGAAACGAGACCCCATTGCAACCAGAGACCTTAACGATGAATTTTTCTATACCATGAAACGCAGTCGCCTTGATTTCGAAGCCAATGGCGATGCGTCGTCCGCTTCACCTTCCCGAGCTGCTTTGCCGTATCCTGCGCCGGAGGCTAACTCTCGACGTGAATCAATACATATACCCAAGATTTCGCGAAAAATACGTGCGTGCACCGAATGCAAAAGGCATAAAGTTCGTTGTGATATGAAGGCAGGGGAATCGGTCTGCTCCAGATGTCGGCGCATGGGCTTGGAATGTGTCGTAAACAAGAGCCTCCAAACTTTGCTCGACGATGAAGCAGAGTACGTGCGCTTTGCTTTGTTTTGTCCCGGATTCCACCATGCATGTCTCGCCGCTAACCCGACCGTACACGCTGTGTAGATGGAAGACAACGATAGAGCTTGCAATGACCGATTTACTCAGAAAGGCACAATTACCAGAGCTCTCATACTATCAAGCCGTTGGCAAGCCAGCAGAAACACAACATAAGAAGAGCGATCGACGGGGGTCTACAGTATCTACAGAAGACATGCATACCTCGAGAGGCGACCTCGGAAGAGATGCGACCGATGGTGGTGCCAAATCAATAACAGGAGTATCCCACCCGCCTTCCCACACTACCCAGCAACGATCGCAAACTGCTATTGACAGGGAAGAAAAACTATTGGTTACTGCTCCGATGGGCAGCTTGTATGAAGTGACCCAGCTGAGTGATATTCAAGAAAGTACTCCCGAACGGCATCATACCTCGGACCGCGACACTGACCTTATCTCGCGAGGGACTGTGGATTTACAAGAAGCGGAGGAGTTGTTCTATTTCTTTGACCAGGTACTCAATCGCTATTTATGGGATGGTATAGCCCTTGTGCATAAGGACCTCACATCAGTCCGAAACTCATCTTCAATGTTGTCTGCAGCCATCCTCACTGTCACAGCTTTGCATATGCCCCAAAAAGAAAGGCTTTTTGATACCTGTTACACCGAATTCGCGAAATTGGCATCAGAGTCAATGCTTGATAGACACCATACCTTGGATGATTTACGTGCATTATGTATAGGTGCTTTTTGGCTTGCAGATGTCAGCTGGAAGCTATCGGGATATGCAGTCCGTATTGCAACCGAGCGCAACCTACACCAATCATACAGAAAGGCTACTCTAGGCTCACCTGAGCACCAAGAACAAGCAAGATTATGGTATCTTCTCTATGTAAGTCTTCTCCATTGAAGCTTTGTATTGCAAGAACTAATGATGATAGACCCTAGAGCACCATTTTTCCATTGCTTATGGCCGACCACCTATAATTCATGAGGACAAGAGTATCACCAATCATAATACTTTTACTATGTCCCCCACAGTAACACAATCCGACCTGCGTTTGCATAGCCAGGTGGATTTATTCATCATCCTTACTCGTATATACCATGCTTTTGGCCCTGATGTCGACCTTGAGGTACCCGAGAGCGAGTTTACTACAATCGACAAATTCGACGCCGATCTTGAGGAGTGGCAATCTGCATGGTTACCTCGCCTAGGTACAGTTGTTTTTAAGTCTTCTGGTTGAATATATGCCACTAACATGTTAGATTGAATAGCCGGGAGTCGTTATGTTGGTGCGTACCCTTATAAAGCCGTCTATCTACACTACCATTTCTCCCGCCTACAACTCAATTCTGTTGCATTGCGGACATATCATTGTTCACTGTCAGCCCGCCCCTTATCCAACGAGCGGAAAAAACGAGCAAACCTGGCCATTGAATCTGCTATCGGTACTCTATTGGTCGTTCTGGATGAGCCTGATATACAGAGAGCTTTGGTCGGTGTTCCGTTGTATCTACATAGCATGATCACCTTTGCCGCTGTATTTCTGTTGAAGATCGCAGCAAGAAGCTGCTCGAGCTGTATTCCTAGTAAGCCGGGCAAGCAGAATTCTATTGCATCAGCAGGTCTATCTATCGATATCGCATATGTGCGGGCCTTGGTTGGACGGATTATTGAGTTGATGTTGTCCTGCAGTAGGCGAGCTAGCGAGCGTCACCTCAGTCATCATATAGCCCGTGGCCTGAGAAAAATGCTTACGGGGCTTGAGGAGTGGGAGAAAAGGAACTCCTACAACGGACAGCCCACAGGACAGAGCTTTCGTGACCCTTCTCAGAATTCTATGTTCAAACCCATAATCATTCCTGGGGCACAGCCACTGGGTGAGCGGGATACTATATTAAATCACCCGCCTCCGCTACTGGGTATAGCTCCCTTGTCTGCTGAGAGAGGCAGTGGATTTGAATCTGCTGCGGCACAATTGAAGCAACAGCCAGGTCTCTCGGAGGGCTCTGTGGATCCTATGATGGCTGATCTGTGGGGCTTTGACGAGGAGTATTTCCCTACAGGGGTCTTTGACTTCCTTCAGTCCCAAATGCCTGCCTGATTCAAGCCACCCCCTCCATGAACCTTTGCAAATCGTGACAAGGTTGTGCTTGTTATACATCCATTTTCCTGGTTACAGCTTTGAATAATTTCTATACAGCATTAGAGCGTTTTGGGGCAGATCTTTATGACGTGGTGAAGCCTAATTTACAAGATCTTCCACATGGGGAGAGGCCTCACTCGGGATGCTGCCGCATGAACCGAAAGAACCTCCATATCAAAGACCGTGTCCTACAACTCACAGACGGATCTTCCGATTTCTTTTTGAAGGTCGGAGCTGGAACTTGTCCTCAACCTGCCGCAGGATGGCAGACTTCACTGTTAAGTTTCGCAACCTGTACACTTAGCTTCACTCATTAGACGGCGAGGCGACTTCGTCTACCAAACCAAACTGCTGCGACATTGCACAAAGAATCACCTAATGCGAGTCGTGCTTCAAGTTTCTCAAGTCAATGAACCAATTGTATAACAATCTTGACGTACATAAGAATCGAGACGGGTACGATCTAGCTTGATGCTAGATCGGAGTGCATGACATGACGGGGATGACAACATGTCTACGAGCCGTTCTACGATACAACTAAAGGCTCGATAATGGCGACTTGCTTTTATTGATTTCTTTCCTTCTTTCTTTCTTTCTTCCCTCCCTCCCCTTGTGTTTTACATCGAATACGGTACACATGAAGTTCTGCTAGTTCATTGGGCGACGCTGCCGAGGGAACGGAACACAAGCCGAAATCGATAAATAGCGGGTGGAGAAATGCCGGATACTACTAGTACTAGTATCCGCCTGCACTTGCCATAGGATGTATTAAATGATAGGGGCCCTGTTTTCTGAGATGCATCTTACCCGATCTGAGCATCAACAGGCTTGCGGCTATCCCTGTGGTTGCGGAAGGTGGATGCGGAAGTTTCCAAACGGGAGGCCGACACCCGGAGCGATTACCGAGGGAAAGGCGTCCTTTTCTAGTTCGGCGATTCAAGCAGCTTCCCCGCAACAACTACTATTTCTGTTCACGTATGCCGTACTAGCTGTCAATTCTGCCGTAAAACGTTTATATATCCATAGAAAGAGCTTATTCACGTCGCCTCCACCTTTGTGTGAAGAATTTCCATCTCTTACCGCGCCTTATACTACTCACCATGAATCGATCATTGCTCCGTGCGGCTTCACGTCACCTCCAGTCGGCAAGCCATGTGCACAAGGCGCCCACAGCTTCATTCAATGCGCCCATGCGCGGCTTCGCGACCACCTTCAACTGGGAAGATCCTCTGGCTGCATCAGAGCTATATACGGAGGAGGAATTGGCGATCCAAGACACGGCGCGACAGTATTGCCAAGAGCGCTTGTTACCCCGAGTTCTCGGTATGCGATCTCCCCGCTTGGGCAGCGCCGACACCTGTCTATGACAGCCTCAATGCGTTGCGCAGAGGGATAATGGATATGAATGCTAACTTGTGAGTATCTGCCAGATGCTTATCGAAACGAGAACTATGATCGCAAAATACTGGAAGAAATGGGCGAACTGGGCCTTCTTGGCGCCAGCATTGAGGGTTATGGTTGTGCAGGCGCCAGCACTGTTGCGTCGGGCCTGATCACTAAGGAGGTTGAACGCGTGGATTCCGGATACCGATCAGGGATGTCTGTGCAGAGCTCGCTGGCGATGACGGCTATCTACGAGTTTGGATCCCAGGAGCTAAAGGATAGATTTTTACCAGGCTAGCCAAGGGAAAGATTGCCGGTTGTTTTGGTCTCACAGAACCTAATCATGGCTCGGACCCTGGTTCTATGGAAACAATTGCACGAGAGCATCCTACTAAGAAGGGCTATTACTCGCTCTCTGGCACGAAGACTTGGATTACTAACTCCCCCATCTCCGATATCATGATAGTGTGGGCCAAGCTGGAGAGCACAGGTAAGATCCGCGGGTTTGTGGTAGAACGTGATCAATGCCCCCCGGGCACCTTGGAGACCCCGGCTATCAAGAATAAGACCGCCTTACGGGCGTCTATCACCGGTATGATTCAGATGGACGATTGCCCGGTTCCAAAGGAGAATATGTTTCCCGATGTTGAAGGCCTCACTGGGCCTTTCACCTGTCTGAACAGTGCCCGGCTAGGAATTGCCTTTGGAGCCATGGGGGCTCTTGAAGACTGCCTTAGCCGTGCTCGGACCTATACCCTGGAGCGGAAGCAGTTCAAGGGCAACCCTCTGGCGAAGTATCAGTTAATCCAGAAGAAGTTGGCGGATGCTGCCACGGATGCTGCTTACGGAACGCTGGCAGCGACCCAGGTTGCTAGACTCAAGGACGAAGGCAAATCTACCCCTGAAATGATCTCCATGATTAAAAGACAAAACTGTGACCGGGCCCTGGCCAACTCTCGGATGTATGCAGTTCCACTTTCATCCCCATTCCCAGTCGGGATTATGGTACTGATCTTAACCATTCGATAGACTTCAGGAAGTTTTCGGCGGAAATGCGACCAGCGACGAATACCATATCGCCCGGCATGTAGCCAACCTGTTTGTGGTGCAAACATATGAGGGACAGAGCGACATTCACAGTGAGTATTATACCGAGTTAGAAATCGCCGTCCCTTCCGGCATACGGGGCCCGGTGCTAATGATTGGTGTAGCATTGATTCTGGGGCGCGCCATCACTGGAGTCCAGGCGTTTGTTTAGGACACTTGTCACTTGTCATCCTCGTAGTATGGCTTGCGACTAATTTGAGAACAGTAATGTGTGTAAATATACGCCGTAGTAGTTGGTCAGGTCGGGACAGAAAGAAACGGTACATCTAGTCAAATAACAGGGTTCAACGCCTAACTCGCCTAGTCAACTGCCCCGTGCCTGTTGCTGATCTAGCTTCAATCACTACTCGCTAGGCGCTGAGTCGTAGTACTACCAGTAGTACTGCTACTTGGTAGTAACTTGGAGCCTTCGAGAATCGGTACCTTATATACACGTGATTTTGGGCTGCGCCACGTGGACACGCGAGGCTTGATGTATGATTGGGCTTGGTGAGAATGACAAATTGAAAAAGAAAAAATCAAAACAGGGAAGCCGCTAAAATTCAAGAATGAGGTGGATCATTCTACACATACATCGATCGATCGAGAGAGAGAGAGAGAGAGAGTGTGTGTGTGTGTGTATGTTGTCTGGAGATTCTGTGTGGAGGGGAAAGAACGAACTGGAAGCCAATTGTTACACTGTCCGCTTTATGTATGTAGATATTACAAAGCATACCAACAAGATGGGTCTCCATTGTATGTATATACACAGTACCCTGGAGTATGTAAGTCTGGGAGTGTTCTTCCGTTTTTGCAATTGTCAAGGTAGTAAGAAGGCCGTTGAGGAAAAAGAAAAAGAAGGGAAAAGAGGGTCCCGTGTCCCGTCACAGACAAGAACCATGACTGAAAGTGGCGATACCTTAACCTGGTCATCTTTGGCACTTGCGCAATTGGAAAACTTACCTCAGAGTAGGTACTACCTATTTCGTACTACGGAGTACTACTAGTACTGTGTACTGCGTACGACGGATGTATAGTTAATGCTCCTAGTATTAGAGGTCCTCGGTGTGGCTGAGAGGGGATGTGGCTGAGAGAACGGTCCGTATGGTAAAGTATCATGACCCGTAATACGGTCACTGGATCTCGCTCATCCACTCTTGCCTTTCCCTTTCTCTCCCTCTTCGTCTCTCTCTTCCTCTTTTTCTTCTTTCAGCCCAATTCCCCCTCTCTTTTTGCCCCCCTCCTCCGACGTAATCATTCTCATTGTAAGTACTTCACCACCAACACTCCTTTCCCCCCCAAAAAAACTTTCTTTCGATACTTGACGTATTCCTACTCTTCCTTTCTCATTACATCCTACTCTATTCTTTCCCCCTTCTCCCATCGCCTTAGAGTACTGACCGGCCTGTGTTGTGCAGATTTCTTAAATTCGATACTAACCGCTCTTTCGACTGAGTGGTCGCTCCAAAAGCCTCGTTTTTCTTCAAGGACAAAAAAAAAACAAAACCTCACATCACCTACAAAATGGCTCTTAAGAGAATTAACAAGGAACTCACTGACCTCGGCCGGTAAGTTATCTATATCTCTATCTCCATGATTTCCCCTCTTCTCCATCGTGCCACTGGGCGAAACCCCCCACTATTCCCGCGGGGCGTTGATGAATCACTTCCTAAACCATGCCCTCTGATCGAATCGCTGTTCTCCAGAAATGCTAACGCTCCCATTCTTTTATAGTGATCCTCCCTCTTCCTGCTCCGCTGGACCTCTAGGTGAAGACCTGGTATGATTTTCTGAACCCCCGCCCCTGGTCCTACATATCAATCCGTTGCCGTTGACGGCGGTGTCGCGGGACTAACCATTCGATTCCCCGCCCCCTGCACCCGTCGATCGTGAACTATTGTCAAGCCAAAGAATCAAATACTGACTGACAATCTTTTCGCAGTTCCACTGGCAAGCTACTATTATGGGTCCTGTGAGTGAAGTCCGAATCATAACTCTTTGCTTTGGCTGCCTTGAGGGCTCGTCCTTTCTTGGATAAATAGGGACCTTGTGGCCTGTCCACTCGCCTTTATATACTTGCGAACATTATAACTAATGCGATTGGCTTACCAGGGTGACTCTCCATACTCGGGAGGCGTTTTCTTCCTAACAATCCACTTCCCTACCGACTACCCATTCAAGCCGCCTAAGGTCAACTTCACCACTCGTATCTACCACCCCAACATCAACTCAAACGGCAGTATCTGTCTCGACATTCTTAGAGATCAATGGAGCCCTGCTCTCACAATCTCTAAAGGTTCGTCGTCCGTATCCCGCGATCGCAGTTTCCAAGGCTAACCGTTCTTTCGCAGTGTTGCTCTCTATCTGTTCGATGCTTACAGACCCCAACCCAGACGACCCATTGGTGCCTGAAATCGCGCATGTGTACAAAACTGACCGCCCTCGGTATGAAGCGACCGCCCGCGAATGGACCCGGAAATATGCTATCTGATCTTCGAATCTCAATATAACACGGCCACCTTGGTCTTCCAAATCGCTTCTGCGTCTTCTTTCATTCCGTTAGATCAGATCCGAAGCCTTGCATACCGTGATCGTAGATCCTTTCCTTGTTTTCCATTTGCGTGTCTTAAATTACCTGTTACCCATTTTCTTTACCGTTTTTTCCCTGTCGGCGGGAAATGTCATATCCAACGATCATTATGACCAATACTCATGCATTCATGGCATCTTTTTGTTTCAATCAATGGAGTCGGGCAAATTACGTGATGAGCATTAGCCCAAGGCTCGTGGGTCCGTCCTTGGGCCGGGGATGGGATGGAGGAGGATGTTGCTGGTACGGTCGTGAAGGCTTGCCTGAGGTGTGATGGTTATGAGATGGCGTGAGGAAATCAGGTGGCGATGGTGTACTGGTGCTGGCGTTTGTATCAGATAGCAGCTATCGAGGCAGAGACCAATCAAACCAGTCTATTGATGATATCTTATTTTACTTCAAAGTGACGTGTTTCGTTAGTAACTTTTTGTTATAAGTGCGTGGTCTTCGCTGTCGATTGCCCAGCATTCATAATAGTCTACACAGCCAGGAGTATAAAATTTCATGTCTACAGAAGTACGGTCGCCCAAGGTTGAAGGTGTGTCACAGTGATGCGTATATATATGTATATCGATATCTGAAACCTGCGTTTAAAAACAGAGCACGCTATATGTAAACTGACCCAAATTTGAAGACAAAATCGTCAAGCCCATTTTTCCTGTCTGCGTTGTATCTTGTCAGAACAGAGGCCTTGGAACTCCTGTCCGAGTCTGGCAGAGATTGTTCCTCTTTTCGGACACCTTTCCTGTCGATATAAAAACATAACTGATTGTTAAATCGATCCCAAATAGTAATAACTTCTTCCAGTGTATACATAACGCCAATGGTGATGCGGTGAACATGCCACACTTAGTTTTGTATGTCATGATGAATTTGAAGTATGATGGAAGACTTGAAAGACTCAGCATATAGAGAGATGAAGACGACGAGAAGAGATGCAAGAAGCGATAAAAAAGGATAGCGGAGTAAGGGGGAGAAGAGAGCAAAATCACCCCTATGCAACTTGACTTCCCCTCCGGCTGCTGACCTTGGAAGGAGCCTTGGAGCCTCCTGCTACGCTGCCGCCTGCCTTGATAGTCCGCTGTGATGCCCTCGAAGCATGACTCGAAACCTGGCTCACACTGTCACTTGGCTTGACGGGCTCATCAAATTTGCTGGAATGTCTAGAAACCCGGGAAGCCGCTTTAGAGGCGTGGGAGCGATGGGAGACGGAGGATCTCCTCGAATCATCAACCTGGCTGATTGAATCATCGGGAGTAACATTGGTTTCGACGTCAACATCGTCATATACACTCTCTGGGAGCGGGATATTGCGAGCAGAAACACCTGATTTAGCACCGTTGCGGCTGGAAGCAAATGATGCTATAGAGCCTTCGGGGAGGGGGACATTGCAGGCACTACGTGTCGCTGAGACAGTGCTGCTGGAATGAGATCTTGCAATTGAATGGCGGGAAGAATGACGAGAAGAATGGTGCGACGAATGGTGCGAGCTGTGTGATGAGTGATAGTCTTGATAGTTGGCCTTGGATGGCCTAATCGTCGATGATGAATACACGCTTCCGCTGTCCATCGCTCGTGACTTGTCATGGAAGCTGCTGATCAGAGTGGCCTCATAACCCCGGGAATCAACCGATGGTGGGTACTCAATAGCTCTGATAGGATAGTCGTTACCACTGTACACGCTTCCCTCAGAGGCCCGGCGTCCGTTCTGATCAAGGTATACACTGCCCCCGCCTCCTCGCGGAACAAATTCCGAGCCCTCATAGATGGTGCTTGCACGAGGGTTCTTTGAGGTGACACTGCGAGTCAAAGTCGGGCGTACTTCTGACTGAGAGTAGACACTTCTGGCCGGGGGAGCCTCGATGGCTCTGAAGCCTTGCAGTTCTTGGGAGGGGGATGAGGCTTGGGATGGAGATATAAGTTGCGCGAAATCCCGGGGAGAGTATTGGGGCGGGGGTGTGGCCTCAGAAGGTTCTGAATCGCCTTTCGACATTGCGTATGCAATAGCTGCGCCCGCAGCAGCTCCGATAAGAGTACCAACGATGGTCTTCGCTGCCTTACCATCGTCGGCTTTCTGGGTGGTGTGGTGCACGACATATGTTGGTGACGGCGCCGGCTGAATTTCGCGGGAAACTACTGATGGCACTCCACGTTCAGAGGGCGCAGCTCGCTCCACAGCAGTCGCCGCCTTAGAAACATAGGATCTAGCTTCAGATCTGGGAGGAGCCACGCTCTCGGGCCTGACAGAGCTGGCTTTGCTTGTCGCTTTCGAGACAATTGAGGGAGTTGTCTTTGATACAACCGAGCCATTCTCGAGAAGAGCCAAAGCCGACCTGCTAACCTCCGACCTAGCTGATGAGCTGCTCGGACGGTAAACGGCCTCTATGCTGTTGCCATCAACATCGATGATGGCCGCGCTGTAGTAGCCAGATTCTGAATCACGGGTTTTTGGCTCCCCGTGAATCTTCCCGCCAGCCTTCAATGCGTGGATGAAGAACTGGCCTACTGCATCCTTTGATGGGGCAGGAAATGCAACATGTGCGGCGCCAGCTGGCACCCTAAAAAGCGATTCAGCATACAATCATGCATCAACTCCCATTTGCATTGGCCGGGCACTTTCACTTACCCTGGTTTTTGCTCCGTTATCCAAAAATCTGCCGGTTCCCCGGGATTCTGGCCGAAGCCGATATAATCGTCATGACGACCAATAAACTGATATCCCAGGGGCTGTAGACAGGAGAGGAAGAATGATGTTGAGGTGGGGAGATGTGAGACAGTCAAGGTAAGATGTGATACAGGCATGTCCAATAAAGAGAAGGACTCGCTGGGTTGGCAGCGAGTACGCACGCGACGGTTTGATCTTGGGGGGGGGGGAGTAATAACCAAATGCTTCAGCTCACAAGAATAGGGCCCCAACCTGAAGATTGATTGAGGTTGAAACAGGACAAGGAAGACGTATGGGAAAAAACAAGGATATATAGATGTACGAACAGTAATGATCAAGTGAAAAGTAGAATGGGACGTAAAGGAAGGAGCAACAAGGTGACAAGATATATTATTTCGAGGCCAAGCTATCTATACGGGGGTTATCCCAAGAGTGCCCAACTTATATCCAATCAGGACTGATCGGAAGCTAACAAAAAAGAAAGATTTGTTCCCGAAGGGAACAACCCGCTCTAGTGATGCAAAACACGGTCTAGCATAGTAGGTGTTATTGCATAAGCTCGCAATGCGTCCGAAGGGAAACCAATCCCGATGAAGTGTCGACCTAAACTGGCTCTGCGTTCTCTTACCGAAAAAGACGAAATCCTGTCGGAAGACGGTCAAGAGACCCATGATGTTACCTATCGGTGAAGCTAGAAACGAGGGGAAGAAAACACTCACACACGCCGCCAGGTCACCGTGGGGAAAGCCTGGCGGACGGTCCTGTAGGTGGCCCTGCCGGCATCGGATGGGGCGCCTATCAGGAAACGGTGGATACTGCAGATGAGCCAAGCATAAAACCGCATCATGTCAGAAGTTGAAGTGAATGAGGCGACAATACCAGGGTTGAGGTGGAGGGTGGTGATTGGTAGTGGTGGAGTCAGTATCGACCAAGGAGCCAGAGACAACACTATTTTTCAGTAATCACAATAATCACGATCATAATAATAATAAGAATAACCAGAAGAACCGGGACTAGGAAACGATGCTAATAATGGGATTCAAGATTCTAGCTTGATAGGCCCCAGCCAGGGTAGTTGGGCTTTAGTCTTGAAAAGAAACTTATACAGGGTGCCTCGGTGCTCTTGCATTCAAAGGCAGGGCAAAGGCGAATAGTGTCACGAAAAGAACTGTTTAGGGGCCACTGAGGGGCACTTGGTCACCCTGACCGATGGGGGGTTTTGTTCCTGCTTTGGGCACTTCTGCTGCTGTTAGTCGCTGGATGGCGCCGTCTGACCGCCAAACAACACCCACTTGGTTTCTGCGGCGTGGATCAAGTGTCATGGCTATTCGACGAATGAGGGGATGTGACATCCAGGGTCATGTTTTCCGGAAGGAAGGAGAAAGAAAGCAAAACGAGATGAAATGAAATGGCCACTGGGCAGGCCTCGCTTGGTTTCAAGAGACTGGGCCCATGCAGAGGATCTGGCATCAGCGTTGATCCTTAACTCCAGCAATGATCAGCCTGCACTCTAGCGGTAATGAACGAGGATGGATGGTTTTGCACGTAACCAAAACCCACCCCCTCTAGGAATGCCACATGAATCAATCCGTCCACAAGTCAAGTGAAGCGGGAGATCCACATCGAGGAATTGCTGCGATGTCTGCATGCCACGTTGAAGAGGGAGACTCCATTCCCAGCCACTCGAACCACCCCGATTGATACTTGCATATGGAGTCGATGCAATTCTCCATTCTGGGTCAATGGTGCAGTGATTGTTAGACCCCACAGACAGAAGTGAGTCACGGAGAAAATGGGGGAAGAAGAGGGAAGGGAGGCAGAGTGGATGGAGGGGACAAACGAAAAGAACTGTGACAGAGAGTTGTGAGACCTCAGGCATTTGATCACGATGGCTCCTCTTGTCCACCTTTCCCTTTTCCTTTTCTTCTTCCACCTTCACCTATCCTTTTGACTACACCAAATTACCCGATATATTGATATCGTCAGTTATCTTATTTTATGGCAGCTTTGCGAACCGCGCTTCAATTTACTGCCTTTGACATGCAGGCTGCTGAATATTTTATATACGTTTCACGTCTCCGATGCATGCATGTACTTATACATACCTACTTGATAACGTGCTACCCTACTCCTAACAAAGAAAGAAGCGAATATTGACTGATGTCAATGTCAAGCATGAGCGCGGAGCATCTTGTCCCAAAGACATTGCCAGTAGTTGATTTCCCCATTATGTTCGTGTACTTAATTCTAGTATTAACAATCACGTTATCTCTTGATCTTCAGGTGCGATGCAAAGCCCCAGCACTGTACAGTTACCTTTGTTTGCGCAAAGGACATTGAAGAGATACAGACTGTAGAACAACGCAAAACCTCGCTGGGGTTGGTCGAACTGCAAAGACTAGTGGCAGAAGAACTTTGGAAGACCCCAGACCACACCCTCACCACTTTCTTATCGCAGATATCCCTGATGCCTTCTTGATAAGGGCGAGCTATCCAAAAGGAAGCTGATAGCTCTCTAAAGAGCCCTCAATATAGTGATCGTGTAACCTTCGGTATCGCGCGGAGCTGAAGGCTGCCATGATGCACAAGAAACAGAAAACCCGAAAGATACCAAACAAACAACAAGAGACTTTAGGTAGTGAGCCCAGAACGGTAAAAAGGATGTGGCATAGGAGACACGTCCTTCCAAAGTTGGTGTTTGCTACACTTCTAAGATCTCAAATTGGGTGGATAGTCGCAAGGAAATTCGTTACCTCGTCAAGCTTTGGCCGTTCCTATCGAAGGAATATTGTATCCGAAACGTGCGAATCATACAATATCCCACACCTCTTCGGCCGCGTGGCAGAACTTGCTGCACGCCACGCTAGCGCTCAAACTGTAGTTGCTGATACTGATTGTGTCGTCCTTGAATGAATCGGCAAAGTCATCGTGACCTTTGGCCATGGCCCCAACAAAGATACAGACGCTCTCCTTAGGGCCTAGCGACTCAATGTAATCTCTGGTCCGCACCACGGGAGCCTCATAACTAAGGGTCACCTTGCGGCAATTCGGAGGCAGATGATCGGTGATGGGGTTCTTGATCACCTTGAGCAACTTCTCCTGAGAATTGGTGGAGCGGATCGAGAGTCGGTGCAGGAGCTGGACCATGAGACCAGCGAAACGCTTGAACGTACGCGGAATTCGAACACTAGGGTTCACTTCGATCAGAACGCCTTTGGCTGTGTGGATGTAAATTTGGAGTTTGCCAGCCTTGTTGACAGGGGAGTCGAGCAAAGTGAGAAGACACTGCACCATGCCTGGTTAGTTTCTCTCATCGAAGACTCATAAATAGGATCCGCAATCTAAGGAAGGAAAGATATACCTGATGAGTGATATCTGGTCGAGCTTCACTGATGTCTCTGTTCATCTTGCGCATCACACCGATATGCTCATCGCTGTTCAGCAATGAGTATTTCTCATCACGACCGGTGCCATTGCGTCCACCGTGGGAGGCACGATAGGTCTCCAGACTAGCATGGGAGAGAACAACGATTAAGCGTTGGGTTTCCTTGTCGTTGGCGGCAATGGGAACATGTTGCTCGGCGACGAGTTGAGGTAATTCCGGGGGCGGACAAGACTGAGTCCCTGAAGGTTGAATGCGATTAGCATACAGTACAGTGTGTTTTGATGGCATGTTGAACGGGATATTAAAGGAGGGGTCGATGTTTGCGGGGCTGGGCTGGGAGAACCACAACTGGTTTGATGAAAGCGGGGGGATAATGAGGTTGGGGTGACACGGGCGTTGTCTCAAAAATTGGACACGGCAGTGGAATGCGGAACCAACGAAGAAGGATGGAAAATATTATATAGGTAGGATGGTCACTTGAAAGAAGTTCAAGTAGACCGTTGTCTTCGAATTGGTGCCTCGAGACATGAAATAAGGATGAAGAAAGGATTTGATAACCAAAAAAGAAAAGAGAGTTTTGGATGGGGGAGGGCAAAAAAAGGAGGAAAAAAAGGCAAAAGAACAGGCTTCGAGTTACGGCCAGATATGATATGTAAGTTAAATAAGAGGGACTCAAGTGGTATACATACTCGCACGCTTTCTCTTTCCTGCTGCCTGAATATCTTGTGACATGATGTCGGATTTGAACGATCGAATTTTGTGGTGACTGAAGGGGAACCAAAAGAGCTTTCGCTTTGTTACTTTCCTTTCCCTCGAGGTGAGGATTGAAACGAGGAGAAAAGAGAAAACAGGGAGAGAAAAAGACCCGAACAGGGAGAATGAGCCAAGGACTGGATATAGGACTTTCTCAGGAAGTGAGGATGTAATTAAGAGACACAATGCTTCTTCCTTTATTCCCACCGGCTCCGTGACTTTTGACGGTTCTCTGCAGACCACAGAATATTGGATCTGAAAAGGTGATAAGATTGAAGGATGTGACTGTTGGACCGGCGGGTTGATTCGCAGACAGCGGAAAAAGAAAAAGAAAAAAAAATTAGAGCAAACTGCAAACTGCCAGACTTACTTCGGGCCCGCCTTAGGAATCAACACTCCTTCGGGACAGCTAAACTTAAGTGGAATAGTCAACCCAGTCAGACTGAATCCCCATTCATCCAGTCTTCGCACTCTGCTCCACTCTTCTCAAACCTCCAATCCATCTAGACTCTAGAGAACTTGTGAGGGATGAAAGAGGTATGTATGTCTCGACTCCCAAGTTCTCGCTCACCACCCAGTGTGTGTGTCGGACAGTGCCATCGTTCGCCGAGTTTGTTTGATCTGACCGAGCCTCTTTGTTAATCTAAATATTCTAGTTATCACATAAGCTTACTATGTGATTTGAAGCCGTACTCATTTCCCATCAGCACTAATACAGTTATCAACAATACATGAAAGACTGCCGTCGACGTGCCTGATTACCATGGGCCATTTTCGATGTCATCTCATCTCATCTTCGAGGGTGTAGTGAGAAAAAAACCTAAGGATCGGCAACCGGCACAGGTTCTCTTAGACCCTTGGCCGGCCGTATGCCCAATCCATACGTGGGTTCTCAAGGAATACTTGATACAAGGACTCTAGAGCTCAACTGGGAAGGAAGCACTGCCAAGTTTGAAGATCGACCTGGTGTCTTTCAGATGACTTGATGTACCACCCCGTACATACACCAAGGCAGCGGCTTGGCCATTGAAAGGTCCAAGGCAGCCACCTCTTCCATATTAGGGTTACACCTGTGATGTTTGAGCTTGTTTTCTACCACCTAGAACAAAGTACAGCCTACAGAGTTTGCCATGAGCACATATATTCGGCGGCTGGAACTTTGGAGATGTTTCGATGATATGTATGCACTGTACTTCATCAAAGTATGCGGGTTATGGAGGAACCATTGTGCGACGGAGTGTCCGTAGCCGTTATCCGCTCCGGGAAATTTTGAAATTGGAACACAGTCTGACTGAACCAGCGGTAAATAAAGAGTGCCTTAGCTCTATCTCTATGCGCAGTCTCTGTTCATAGCCTCGAGTCTCTTGACTGATGACGTTCTGACATCTGAACCCTGCAGCAGCAGCACACTGCTGGAGTAGTGATAAAACGAGGATAAACTGACCTACCGTGCTACGTACTATATATGATAACTAAATTAGAATGTGCTTCTGTCGATCCTCTCTAGCCCTCCATTCATGTGTAATGTACTTAGCGGGGTAATGATCAGACGCCTCACAAGTCGCCACCATGGAATCCCACTTGGGCTAAGTTTTACCAGAAGGATGGCACCAAGGAAAGAGGCAATACTGATACAACCTGGGCACGATAAGCAACCCAGAGTCATACTTTTGGTGTGCGGCCAGAGGTACATGTACGAACCGTCTACTCGCTCCTGGGAATAAAACTAGAATTAATTTGTCAGTTACTTTCTCAGTGCAGTTCTATCCAGCAATGGTAATCAGTAGGAAGGTGAAAGAGAGGGAACCAAAAAGAAGGGGGTGAGCCTGAGCAGTTAATTTCGAAAGAGGTTTATTGATGATTCTTATTTGAACCTTTTGCGTGGTACATCTAGAGAATGTACAGAGCATGGAGTAGATGAATGTATTACACCCCTTTACGAATCATAAACATGCCATTTGCAGGGGATAGGAGAGAAGAGTCGAGATTATGCCTATTCAGTACCCCTGTCTTGGAATTTGACCAAAAAAAATAACCGGAAAGAAAACTAAAATAACAATAAAAAAGGAAAGAAAAGAAAAGAAAAGAAAAGAAAAGAAAATAGGAATACTTATTAGGCGCAATCACCGTCACAGCTCTTCTGTCCAGTAAGGTCGCCAAATCCATCGGCAAGGGCATGGACGAGGCTGGTTTGATCCTCCAGTAGATCAATGAATATCCACTCATTGAACGGTATGTATGTAGTATGTAGTATGTAGTATGCACCGGGGGAATCGTCTAGTCTACTTGGAATTCTAGTCAACCAACGGCGATTAACCTAAAATAAGTAGTAATACAGAGGAAGAATCCCTTCATCATTAGGTACTCTTCGATTTACTTCCATAATGATAACAACAACAATAATAATAATAGAAAAGAAATACGACAAAAAAAAACAAGCTTGCCACATCATCACAAAAACCGACTGGTGCATCACAGTACCTAAGTTATCTACTACGCAACATATGACTACTCGGTACCCTAACATACTCCAGGCTGCAACGCATGTACGACTGATATGGTTGGTGGCCGTATCGTCGTTCATTATTTAAGGAGGCGAAGTCAAGTATAAGTTTGGGAAACATAACACGACAGCGAAGAGAGACAGGAGCTGATGCCGTGTCTAGAGTTCCACAATCTCAAAGCATTAGTGGATTCCTTTGTGTGTATATATTAGATGATGGATTCTTAGCATTCTCCTGGAATCGAGTCTCCTCCAACAACCGGCAGAATCCAGCGAAGCCCATCTAGGTAACAGTTACTCCGTACTTCTTGCTGGGTTATAAGCTTGAAGAGTGGCCTCCCCTGCTTCTTGCGGATCTTCTTACGTTCGCCCCATCCCTTGATAATTAGTCACAGTCCGTTCTCCTTCTTCGAGGATTCTCTGAAACACATATATCGCTGTGATCCCAATCCCATATCCAGACCGACTCTCTCTCTCCAGTTGAGATTCCTGGGTAAAGAAGTCCTAGTATGTAAGTTGTGAAGGAAACCCTCCCTCCCTTTGTCAATCAGGAGACGGCGGCGTTTTTAGTCCCTCACGATGGGTTTCTGCGCCCGGCGAGCAATATGACTAAATGGGGACTAGTTCCTGGGCACGCGTTTCCGTCACCCGTCGATCAGTTGGCCGCCGAAGCCTTCCGCCAATTTGGAAAATAAATCATCATCATAAGTGAAATCATAATAAACATCTCCCACCTTTTCTACTTTTTTTTGCAACATCTATTCTTTTGTTGTATTTTCACCCTTACAACTTTCATCCTACCCTCTATCGCATAAACTCAGAAGGCCATAGATGCTTGGCTCGCTCGAATATATGATTTGAAACAGGGAGATGCCGTGGACTGTAACAAATTCATTCAAGCGGTACGTGATTCGTTGCCTGATTTTCCCCAACCCTTGGATTCCGCCACTTCAGCTAACAAGTGAACATCTAGAGGCCTTATGATGAAAACGTACGGTAGACCCGTATGGCGCGTCTACGATGATGACCAAAGTCCAGCGGCTAAGAAAAGACGCGTCCAATCGGGGAATGAATCGGACGAGGCAGAGAACAGCATCCAGTACGCCATTCGCGAGTCGTCCGCCGCTGTCCTGTCCAGTCCGTCGCGTCGCAATTCCATCCTTCTCTCTGAAGGAACGCAGGATGATGACCTGTCTACACCTCCGTCCTCACCGCCGCCGCGGTTGAGTTCACCTCCGGCCAACACGCGAAAACCCACTTTCGCGTTTCTCAAACGCAAACAATCAGCCAACAAGGAAGCCGGCAACAGCTCCCCACTCACCGAGGTCAACTCCAATAGTGTACGCGCATCGGTAGACCCTCCCAAGAAGAAGTCAACGTCGCAGCAGCCCGCCTTAAAACAGATGCAACTTGACCTAGGGCACGAAGTGAGAAGAACCTGCGCGACCTGTGGAATGGAATACGTGCCGTCGAACTCGGAGGATGCAGCTCTACATAAGAAGTTTCATGATATGAATACAACAGGAGTGGATCTGGGTAAAGCATTCATGAGGGCAAATGCCTCGCGCTGGGTCTATGAGGCTACACGCTTTGATGAGGGCTATGTGGTCATTGTCGATCGAAAAGCGTCTCCGACCGCGAAAAGTCAGGCCAAGAAGGTTCTTGAGGTTATCAATAAGGAGTTGTCTTCCCCTGAGATCCAAGATGATGACCTATGGAGCCAGACTGAACCCCCGAGACATTTGCGCAAAAACGGCTTATCGGAGAAAGTGGACCGTTACAAAGTGTTCCTGCATATGAAGGATAGTCGATGCGTCGGTGCCTGTTTGACGGAGCGAATCTGGGAATCACGACCAGTTGAGAAGCCTTCTAGCCAAATCAATCGCCCTGATTCTGCAGTTACGGTTCGCAACGAGACCCATCCGGCGATCGTGGGGATTTCACGCATATGGACATCCGGGTCATCGCGACGGAAAGGGATCGCGATGGATCTTTTGGACTGTGTGGTCAGCAATTTTATATACGGCATGGAAATTCCTAAGGAGCAGATGGCATTTAGCCAGCCTACCGAAAGTGGTAGAGCATTGGCGCAGTCGTTCTTTGGGGACGATGAGTGGCATGTATACGAGGAAAGCTGAACGAAGTTTGCATATCAGTAACATCTGGAGAAAAACCGTCCAGTGGAGGGACGATACAGATTTCATTTTCCCCCCCTTCTTTTGCTTTTTCTTAATAAACGGGCGAGCTGATACCCTCCTTTCTCGGACAATGGAACTCGAGGGAGGAATACTGTGACGACCATTTATCATTTCGTATTTGTATAACCCTGGTGTTTGGAAAGGGTAGTCTGTTTTTTCATACCGATCTTTCCCCCTTTTTTTTGGGTTAATCTTTTTCCTGTAACATATACCTATTCTTTATAATTTTTCCTTTTTTTTTTTCTACTACTTGACTATTTGTTTTGTTTTGTTTTCCCTCATGGGGATGCAAGACAGGCTGAACGCACACCGCAGAAGTCATTGATGCTTTTCACTTTTGAGTCTCTAAGGCTAGTACTACCTCAAATATGTCCGGGCTACAGATTGGCGACTCCTAAGGTACCAAGTATGAAAGGTACCATAATTAGGCAGTAGTGTAGGTAGTACCTAATTGACCGCACAGCCGGGGCGATACTTCGTGGCGCGAACCATCGGCCGTTTAGTTGCGCTTTCCGGAAGCCGCGCGACTGGCCAGCGGCCGTCGACTTTCTTTGCCGACTGATGATGTTTGTTATTCTCTTCTTTCTGAACTTTTTCTTCCAGTTTATTTTCCATCGCTCCCATGGTTGGTACCTCCCACTTTCTCTGCGATGTCTGGGTTAAATCCATTCCGCCCTAGAAAGCCAGAGAGTGAGTTTAACCCGCAGCTTCCGGTATCTTGGGACAGTCAACGCTCAGTGCTGACCGTTGTAGACCCCTCAATTCATCATTCTTCACCCGCTACCTTGACCTCCGCAAAACCGGCCTTTTCTAGACCCCCATCATCTACTACGACCTCTCAGCATGCCCTCTTTCAGCCGAATGGCCTTGCCGGAGCCCCGCCCACGTCCCACGTTCCGGGCCTCGATGATACGATGTCCTCCGATGATCAATCCGTATTGGATCCCTTTCACCAGGGCATACACATGAGTGAGGATGACATGGAGGATCGAGGCAGAACTATATCATCTGCAACATGTGATGTCTCCAAGTCTCACGGCGGTGATTATCTCCAAGAAACCCTCCACAACACTGGTCCACACACAGCTCCATACCTTAGTCAACCAGCTCCGGCGATCCCGACAACGCAATCTATTAAACAGACTGGGAGGGCAAGCAACGAAGAATACCCCCCGGAGAGTGAAAACTATAAAGACTCTCGCAACATACCGTCTGGAAGCTCTATCCAATTGCTGGCCCATCATTCAGGCACTCGTGCCGCAAAGAATTCCGCCACGGATGTTTCTCGAAGCACTTCACGGACAGACACATCAAAGCGAGCTATAGTAGGAGACCTTATGCCAGCAATTGATGCAGAGGCAAGACCTCTGGTCAGCCGTTCAAGTAATAGGGAGAAGATACCACCGCCTCCGCCCAAGAGCCACCATGGGAGGTTAATCAACCCTAATCCTGGCTCGACTCCCTCTTCCCCTCAACCCGCACCTTTCAAACCTGCAAACCGCTTTTCATTTCATGGCTCCCCCCTGGAGTCATCATCGTCACCCAAATCACCACAGCTAGGAGTGGATTATGTCCCCGGATCAGCTAGTAGCGAAGCTGAAAAGCCAAGTGAGCCTTTAAGGCGCAGCCAATCTCAGTACAAGCGACCGCCGACACCGCCGCTGAGTAGGCGACACAGCCAGATGAGAAGGTCCAAGACCACCTTGTCCAAGCCAAATCCCAGCAGGCTTTCTATGCCGGCCGTCAAGATGGAGGGCACTGAGTCCCCCCCACCTAGTCCAAGCTCTTGGAGCTTGAACTTCGCGAACTCGGGATGCCAGACCAGGCTCTTCGTCTGAGGAGAATCCCCAGAGACCATCTATACAGCACCAGAGCGCTAGTGCGGTGATATCCATACCGGGCACAGATACCTCGGCTCCATCATCTCAGTCCAATTCTCGGACGCCTTCCATGAAACGAGCGTCGATAGGCAGCCCTTTGCCACCACCTCCGCCTCCACGGCGCACACGAGGATCCAGCAGTCAGAGTAATGATAGCACCCGACCGACAAGTCTCCATTCAGAGAAGCGGCCGGAAGTGCACGAAGAATATATTCCTCACCCGTCCAATGCCAATGACATCTTGGCTGATTTATCGCGTCTACAGAAGGAAGTGGATGACCTACGGGTTCACTACGAGACCCGTAAGGCTAGTCATTGATAGATTTCTGGGCCGGAAAGAAGTTGGATTCTGATAGGCGATGGAACCATTGGGCATAGGGTTTGTGCGTGTGCAGCCTACTGCTGATGTTATTACTTCTACTTCTCCATCTCCATCTCCCGCTACTACTACTATTCCTCCCCCTATCTGTTTCTATATAACTCGTTCCATTCCATGAATAGGTTGATGAATGAATCATAATGTCCAATAGCTATCGACTATTATAAGGGTTCATTTACGAGACAATTGCATTGGAATCTTGACACTCGCGTTGGAAAAAAAAATATAAAAAAAATACGGTAGCTAAGTATGTAGTTCCGAAGTAAGAGGCCTCTTTTCCAGTTGACACGGAGCATACCTACTATAAGCTAACTGCCAAACCAGTAGCTACTAGAGAGGATCTTCAGCTAGGTACTATCCTCAGGCCCACACTACCCCACTGTGATCCATGATTGGCCGATCCGAAGAACTCCATGGCAATGACATCATCTAACTCCCAAAGGGGATTTCTCAAAGTATGACCGTTTGGGTTGTATGTCTAGTGTATTACGACTAATATATATACACATATGTATACACCAATCTGCGCAGGGAGAGAGATAAAACTCAGATTCGATAAATAAATTACTAAAATTTCTATATACTTTACACAAGAATAATGAGGCATAGAGATAGAGAGAATACGGGTTAAATCCTGACTAGTGACGCAGCCCATCTAGCCTCACTTTCATTTCATACATAGTTACAGTAGTGACCTACCTAGTTGTTTAGAGTAAACTAACCCACTCATTGTCCTCTCCCCCCAATTTCCCGTCTGCATGACGATTCACTCCTATTGGAACCCAAGTTGCCTCCCACACCTTCAAGTTCTCCAGTGTCCCCCCCAATTCATCCGTCATTCCACCGCTTAACGTCCAATCCTACATCCTCCAGTCCTATAAACCTTTGAACCCTAAGCCGCAGTGGAGTCTAATGCTCTTGCTGCGCTATCGTTTCATATTCACCTTATTTAACTTCATTTCCGGCCATTTCTGCCATAAGACTCGCTTTGTTATCGGGCCGATTGCGTTCGCAACTCGTCGCGCTTCCAGTTGTTCGTCTAGAGATATCTTCAACAATATAACCCCTCTAAATATTGAAACAGCGAGCATCCTTGGGTGATTTCTCCTCCATTTACTTATTCCTTTCCTGAACAGAAGAAAATGACGACGCCGACTTTGATCAACCTCCCACCCCCTCCCTCTGATCCAGTGACCCCATCGGATATGGGACCGTAAGCTTTCTTCCCTCTCCTATCGTACTACTTGGTCTACATGAAGTACCGAGAGCGGTCTAACATCTACTACAGTGGAACCCCAAATTCTGGCACAACATCGCTCTCAGCTTTGTCAACCACCGCCATCAAAGACGGCCATACAGGCCATCCACTACCCCATGGTCGCCATGCTCACCACGTATCTTCTACGTCAACGAATTCCACCACAACTCTGGAGGCAGAGCGAGCCGACCGCATTTCGCGTCTGGCGGGGCTGGAACGGGTGGTAGCCGCCCGGACTAGTGGAGGGTCGCAGCCGAACACCGCAGTTCCAATGTCGCATGCTCCAGGCTATTTTGATACCAGCTCCACATTGAAAGAGAGAAGCACCGTGGGTAGCGCCAGCGCTACGGGCAGTGTGGGCGCTCGTACAACGTGGGCGAGCGGCAGTGATGCGTTCGACGCCGACAAGATGAGCGAGGAGCCGGACGATGGAACTTCCAGCGTTGGTAATCTCAGCGATGAAGGCGACGCTAGCCTCGTCGGGTTTGGAGAAGGTGCTAGCACCATCAGCGGGCCGATTTCACATCCAAGTCTGAACCGGACATCATCGGCAGGTCGGCCAAGTTCGTTAGGTAGTCCTAGTATTACCCGCGCCAATTTAATGCCTTCAGCATCATCTCAACATTCCGGTGATGGCGGAATGATACCAGTGGCATTGTCGCCGACTGGGTCAACCACACCCGAACCAGTGCAGGACGCTCGAATGGTCGATGGGATGACATATGACCCGGATGTGGTTGATACCACTGTGAGAACTCCTCGGCTTGCCACTCCTTTAGGTCGAGATGATTCTAGTAACCTGCAGGGCGATAGGAGTTCGGGCTTGTTGTAGGGAAAATCAACGAAACGGTAAATGGGCGTTTCTTAACAGCGTCAGGCTTTTTTTGTCTCTCTTTTCTTCTCTTCTCTTCTTTTCTCTTGACTCGTCTTTTCATTTCTCTGTCTTTTTTTTCTCTCTCTGGTATTGTATAAGTATCAAAATGAAACGTTTAGTTTTATCATTGCTATTATCCCTCCGATTTCTCCAGTCATATCTAATAATTTCGGAAGGCGTGTTTTATTCCAGAAGCTGCAGGTTAATGAATAGGCCTCTTTCTGTGCTGTTGAGAGCCTTAGGGTGTTTATTAAATAAACTTTTAATTGAGATTGGTCGCCACATTACTCTGTAGAGTAGTGAAGAATAGTATGCACAACCGGCGAAGTTGTCTAGCGAATATACACTCTGTAGAGAGGGTCAAATTCATTGATCTTGGCCAAAGAATGCCAGGTAAAGATATGGAATCTAAATCGCATTTTAGCTCGCTGTTAGCGGGTTTCAATTGGCGCTTTGAGCTTCTCTGCAGAGTTGCCGCCGCAGGTTCTTTTTTTCATTTGCCTTTTTTTCTAGTCTTAATTTTTTTTTCTTTCTTTTTTTTCTGCCCCGAACAAATTTCCCTCGCGTTCTCTTCCTTCCACCGCTTCCCTCGCCCCAATCCACCCTTCTCTCCTCCTCCTCGTCCTCCTCCACTACCACCACCTCCCACTCACGTTCCCCTACAGTGTTCCTGTCCCATTTGTTGCTGGCATTGACTTGTCAAGCACCGAGGAATTCTGAGCTTAGAGACCCGACCGCTATTCTAACCGGCCAACTTATTCGCTTTCGGATCCTTTGTGTGTGGGCGGCTGTGTGTCTCGCTGCGTCAGACAAACAACATCTCGCCACGCATAGTTGCAGCACCTTTATCTTCGCTTTTGCCTCCATTCAACCGACGACGGAGAACCACTGAGACTTGGATTCCTCTGGTATCACTGCTCTATAATTGTCTGTAACGCAATTTTATTGGAAAACTTTCCATTCAGCTTCTCTGAGAGTATTCGTTGTTGGATAAATCACTGCGACATTGCATCTGCGCGCCCGTTCCGCTGCATTTTACAAATTCTTCATTTTTGCATAAAGAACAGAAGCTAGAGTCGACATGGCAGCTCCTACACAGCTTGCTTGTGGGTCATCCTCCTTATTTGCATCGCTTCTTGGTCTTTTAGTGCCATTGTGGATAGACGTGTGGAGGGTACGATGAATGACCATCTGCTAACTTCATGCAGTCAGGACAGTTAAAGGGATTGGCATCCTCGATGCAGCCCCTGTCTATGAGCCATTGTCGGGGTTTGAGAGGTAATTATTTGTCTTGCTCGTGTCTATTGGTTCACGCTGAACTATTCTGATCTGATGTTCTCTTTTACTCGCAGACCTGAGGGGAACCTTCGCTGTAGCGCTTATTCTCCCTGTGGCCGGTATTTTGCATGGGCATCCCCCGAGAAGTATGCTATCTCTTTATCCCGAGGAAATTATTGTGCCTGTTAACTGGCTGTCAGGGTAACCATTATTGATCCTTCCGTTGGACACATCATCACGAATATCCCTGCCGATAATGTTTTTGAGCTGGGATTCTCACCCCTCGGGACCTACTTGATCACTTGGCAGCGCCCGTCGAAGGATGCGAATGGCGATGCAGTCAGGAACTTGAAGGTTTGGAAGATCGTGGAGACGGCACCAGAGAGCAATGGAGATGAACACACGATTGTGGGCAGTTACGTCCAGAAGTCGCAGACGGGCTGGAACCTTCAGTACACGTCTGATGAGCGTTACTGTGCTCGGGTTGTCACCAACGAGGTTCAGTTTTACCAGAGCGACAACCTGTCCAAGGTGTGGAATAAGCTGCATGTGGAGGGGGTGATCGACTTCGCGGTCTCACCCGGAAAGAGTCAGTCTGTTGCCGTATTTGTGCCTGAACGCAAGGTTAGGGAAACTAAAACTCTGTTGCTCGGATCATTGATTGGCTGACGCTGTTATCACAGGGTCAACCCGCTGCAGTCAAGGTGTTTATGGTGCCTCAGTTCGGGGCTCCCGTCTCGCAGAAGACTTTCTTCAAAGGCGACAAGGTTCAGTTGAAATGGAATGCCTCTGGAACCACTCTGCTTGTGCTTGCCCAGACCGACGTTGATCGGACAGGCAAGAGTTACTACGGAGAGACCACGCTATACCTGCTGGGTGCTACGGGTGGTTTTGATTCTCGTGTTGACTTGGGTACGTGCATCGCATTGCCTGTCGGATCGCCAGAAAGCAAATGCTAATGTGATCATTCTGTAGACAAGGAAGGTCCGATTCACGATGTTACCTGGTCTCCCAACTCTAGGGAGTTTGGTGTTGTCTACGGCTATATGCCAGCCAAGACCACGATCTTTAACTTCCGTGGAGTACCGCAGCACAGTTTCCCTCTCGCCCCCCGAAACACCATCTCGTTCTCTCCCCACGGCCGATTCGTCCTAGTTGCTGGTTTTGGCAATTTAGCCGGCCAAATGGACATCTACGATCTGGAAAAAAACTACTTTAAGATCGCTACCGTGGAAGCGTCGAATGCCAGTGTTTGCGAATGGTCTCCCGATGGAAAATATATCCTGACGGCTACCACTAGTCCTCGTCTCAGGGTGGATAACGGTGTTCGTTTGTGGCATGTCAGCGGTGCTCTGGTGTACAACGAAGATATGCACGAGCTCTATGATGTGTTTTGGAGGCCGCAGTCCACCACACAGCACCCTCTTGTTGATCCGTTCCATCCGCTCCCGACGCCCCACCCATCTGCTGTTGCGTATCTGAGCACGAGGAAGGCTCCTGTTAAGCCTGCGGGTGCCTATCGCCCACCGGGCGCTCGTGGTCAGCTTACGCCACTTGCATTTAAGCGGGAAGATCAGGGCGGTGCTGCCTTTGTCCGGGACGGGGCAAACGGTGGAGCTCTGAACGGCTTGGGCAAGCCACGGAGACGTGAAGTTCCCGGTGCTGATCCGGTCGAGGAATACCTTCCTCCGGGAGCCGCTCCTGGAGGGGGGGTTGCTTTACCCCCGGGTGCGGATCAGCCAGAGAAGTTATCCAAGTCCGCTGCCAGGAATAAAAAGAAGCGTGAAGCGAAGAAGCTGAAGGATGGTGAGGATGGGCAGCCTACCCGCGGTCCAGAATCCCATGGAGACAAGGGCCACCACGAGCGTAGCCGCTCCAAGGCCAACAACTCTGAGCGCAAGAACGCGAACCAGGCCAATGGCGCATCGCCCGCTTCGGCCAAGCCGAACAATAACGCTGCAGCAGAAGCTGCGGGTGTACCCACCGCACAAGAGAAGAAGATCCGCGGACTTCTGAAGAAGATTCGTGCGATCGACGAGCTGAAAATGCGCCTTGCGGGTGGAGAGAAGTTGGAGGATACGCAGCTAAAGAAGATCCAGACTGAGGAATCGGTGCGCAAGGAGCTGGAATCGCTGGGTTTCAATGGATAGATGTGCGATTGAAGCCCTAGATCAGTGAATCATACGAACACCTTGAATACGATTCACACCCTGGTTGGTTTATTGGTTCTGAGTGTAAATATAGTCTACGTGGCTGATCTTGCTTTATTTCGACCTTTCTATCATCTGATGTCTATCTATGGCGTTCTATCCACCCCTACCAGGGGAGCTAGGGTATATGTACTGTATATACATTGGATGTGTGAAAAGACCATGAATCATGAGCAAAACAAATATAAAACGAGAGCATATCCCGACAGCCGCCTCAATGACCGTCCGTAATCCCTTTCTTCACTTCCAACTGTTGCCTCTGCCTATTCGCCTCCCACCACCAACGACTTAGTTCATCCATCCCATTATCGGGATCTTCATGCCATGGCTTTTTAGCAAAGATATAATGCACATTTTTCACCTCTTCATCTCTCCAGATCGCGTCGTGCACTCCAACCCAGCGTAACGTTTTCAGCGCATTATACACATACGGCAATGCCACCCATCGATCCCGAAACACGTCTGACAAGAGTTCCTGATCCGGAAAATCATATTTCTCTGTGCGGTCGGGCATGTTAAGTCCAGCCTGGATCTCCGCCCAGGCCGATATGCTAGGGCGCACGACTAAGAGGCCACTGTTCAGCATGGCAACACCGGCCATTGCAGGAACGCCGAATGTCTGCGCTCGGACGGGATCCGAATGCTGGCTTGTGAAGGCACAGTTCTTGGGTATCCTGTTATGCATACATCACATCGATATCAACGCCATGCGGTTTCCATCTTTAGGATTGGGAACAATTGAAAACACAGAAAAGAGGGGACGGGATACGATGGATTGCACATACCACGTTTTGGGATAATGTGGCTTGTTCAGCGGATTACAGGCGCACGCATGGCTCGCTGCGAATACTCTCTCCTGTTTTTTCTCGTCGCTGCTCAGTCCTGAACCTGGCCCGTCCAGTGGTACCCCCATCAACTCATCCATGTTCTTTCGCACCAGCATATCTCCGTCCAGTAGGACAATGCGGTCGTACTCCACCAGTGAGAATACGATCAGCTTGTTCCATGTTTCGTTGAAGCGTGGATCCTGGAGGAAGACTTTGTTCTGGCCTGGTTGTACGCTGGGGACGGCTTGGGTGCGGATTCCGCGCGCGTGAAGCGCTGCCAGGCCTTCGGCGGGGAACGTGGAGGTGTAGAATGCGATGAAGGGGTAGGCTGTTTCGGTGGCTTGAAGGGAGTGTGAAAGGGTTAGGATGCCCGGAAGGTAGGAGAGGTTGGTTATTAGGGAGGCCCAGACTTTCTCTATTGTAGTTGGGGTGTTAGCCTCGTGCGACCTGGCTCCTTTGTTCCGGTTGTGATCGTGTGTAGCTCTTATCAGGGCAAATTCCGAATACATCCATTGAGAGCTCACTTACCACGTTTCGGTTGTTGGGCCATGATGAATGATTGAAGTGGATTCAAGTGCGCGGTACTTCTGTCTAGATAGTAGATGCGACTGGGCGTTTAAAGTACAATTAGTGAGAGTCAACTCTGGAAATGATGATCATCGTGGGGTTCATCATTTATCGGATTTAGTTAACCAGATCTTATCAGTGACGGTGCCGATTAGTCATCCGAGCCGACCTTATCTCCACCTTTGTATCTACATACTAGTAGTACTGCATGTATGTACATATGTATGTGCTACATACTCCGCACAGCAACCCTCTTGTCTTTTACGCCGTACATGCTACGCTTGTACTTATGTCATTAGATGTCTAGAATGTACCCATTCTCTTCTCCGGCTTCATTTTTACCGTCCCCATCAGTTGGCCTGGCTGTTGTCCGTCTCCCATGCCGAAACTGATGTGGAGCCGTCCAGAACCGTGTCCGTGTCAATTGACAGGCATTGGCCTTGCTAAAAGCAGGACAGATCAGCCACAGTATAGGTCGACAAGAAGAAAACAGTCGACCCAGTCCGTACTGGTGGGGGGGTGGTGACCGAAGAAATGCCGCCGTTAGAAACCGAAGTCCAGCGTACTGGTTCGATGGGAATGGCCGGAGGCCTTTTGATATATCGCAGCTGATACAGAGCTTATCCTTTCTTTGAAGGAAGGATTTCAAGGCATGGTTCTCGCCTTGCGCTCCACCTTGCAGCGCGAATCCCCTCAATATAATATCAACTGGGAGCAAGGGCGGAAAAAAAGAGAGATAGAGAGAGAAATGAACCGCTGATATGTTCAATTGGGTATCGTTAATTTCCATGAGTAACCCCATCTTAAATTTCGGCTTTTCAATAGCAGAGTAGATGGGTATCCAGTCTTAGGCAAAGGTCGTTAAATATGGCAGTGTTGAGACCGCGTTTGAGTCAATCTTTATCAATCGATGACAAAGCATATGTTCAACTAATTCCAACTTAGCCGGCGCCACAAATCAGCTTCGAACAGGTTATTTGCTCGATGACGCGATATTAGAACGAAATCATAACCAACGACGGATTTGCGGTTGTGTAAGAGATGGGTCCGTACTCTCCAAGAGCTAGGTTCCACCAGCGTGAAGCATTCCTTGTTCAGGTGAAAATCCGCGCCCGCTTAATAGGACTCCCCATTCGGAGGGATTGATTCCCACCGGCCATCCCACTCAGTAATCGATCCATTCCTTCGACGTCAAGTTCACCACGCCGAAGCTTCAACTGATCAGTTTCTGCGGTCGGTGTCTCGTTCACTGACCCTAGAAGTGCAGGATATTCATCCGGCTCATTCAGTCTTGGAGTAAGGACTATGATTCGGTGTTCTGCAATGAGAAGAGCATCATGGTCTCCACCTTCAGCTTGGCGAGTCTGGCGAAAAGCGGCAGGAAGGTGGCCGATGCCCTTTAAATGTTCGCCCATTAAGGCGATATCTTGGATGGCTGAAACTCGGCAGCGGTTGGACGCATCAAAAGTTCCGGTTGCTTTGACAGCATTCCGCCACAAGGACAGCAAACTTGGAATGACAGCACTCTGGTTGCCGTGTCGCAACAGAATCGACTCGTCAGATAGCGAATCACGGTACGAATTGGTTTGATAGACGGAGATTTCTCCGCACAAAGATGGCATAATTGACCCAACCATGGCGCCCTTCAGCAAGGTATCTTCACGCACACGCTTAGTATGTGGCGTCAGGGGTGCGAATTTAGGACGCTGTTCCACGATAGGCCCGCCTGTTTCAGATCGGGCTCCTGACAGCGGACTCAGGATCCGACCACTGACAGAAAAAGCAGTCAAAGATCCGCCAGTCACCCCCTGTACACTGGATTGACGCTGGAGTGGGCCCTTTATGGTTCCTGGGCCTGCCCCTTCGAGATCCCACACTCCCCATTCACCATCCGCCATGAGAACCATAATGGCCCGTCCACCAAGCACCCATTCTGCATTAACTATAGTTTTACGCCGGGGTAGCCTGAGGGGGACTGTTCAAACCCAGCATAGAGACTGATCAGCCACTTTCCCTCTGTTTCCGACGGATCGAAATCATTTTGAGGACTAGACGACCTGCGCGACGCTTTGTATGGTTTCATGGAGAAACACGAGTAGACCTTGACACATCCGCTATGAAAGGCAACGAGCAGTGTCGAGTGTCGTGGTGACGGATATGGTGATGGGTTGAAAGCGATGTTTTGGGCTGGGGCCGGCAGATAACGGCGCTTTGACTCGATATCATCCTCGCCTAAACGATACAACACTTCACTGCGATCTGTCTCTTCCACAACCGGGATCCGGTGTATTATAAGTAGGCCCGACGACTCCACAGAATGAGTGGCGACAAGAAGGTCCCACCTCCCTGGCCTATCTCTATTAGATCCACTTTGACTGTGAGCCATGTCCTCATCTCCCTGCGGCTCACTCGCTTGATATGTGAAAGCAATCCCCACTCCCCTTGGGATCTCTTGGTGTGATACTCCGCCGCTAATCGACAACGTCTGGACCCACGAGGAGACCTCGAATTGAGCAGGGTGAGGAGGAGCCAGGGGTAGTGTCACAACTCGGGTGGAAAGATCAGCGCACACGGCCGAGATGACCATACATTTTCTCAGAATGGGCGGGAAAGGATCGAGCGATGAGCGTGCGGACTCAGGGAGAATGCGAGGGACAGCCAATTCAACGACCTTCGTCCCAAGGGGTATATCAATCTGGCGCAGCACGTTTTCGTATGGGAAAAGGGGATCAATCTCCGGCTCCCCTTCTTGAAACCCAGAACTTGGTTCTTCGTTTTTCTGGGGTTCAACAGAGCTCTCATCATCAGAATCAATGATCATGATGGTGGCGTCGTTGCTGCGGTTGGTTTTCTCTTGTGGTTGGTACTTAGGGGCTGACAGCTTCCTGTTCGTAAATTGTCTTCCGCCTCGCCAAATTACCTTCAACCCGTTTTCATAGCCATATATTATAATTGATGAGCCATTAGGGGCGAGTACAGGGTAGCCCTGGGCGGTGTAGACGCGATGAGGAAGTTGGTAGCTGCATGAAAATATTACTGTAAGTGCTGATCGTGTAGTTGGATAAAAAGACGTCCTTTTACCTTAGTTGCAGGCCGTCATCTCTAGACCGGGCCAAAGGCCTAGAGGGAAAGGATGACATGGTGCTTGATATGCGATCGAGGTCTTTGTAGGACTGTACAGCTTCTAAGGGCGAGCTCAATTTCGTCCGCACGGCAATGAGGAAATTCAAATCTTGAGTTTGAGAGAGCAATCAGTGACAATAGTAGGCGATATTATACTCAAGACTAGCCAAGTTCAAAGGGTGACGGACTGAAGGTGGAGGAAAGATGAAGTTGTTGTTGTGCGTTGCAGAGTGAAAAAAGCAGCTGATTAAAGAAATGGTCTGAAAGCTCCGCCGCGTCCAGCGCGTCACCCACCAGGCATTTTCCACGCTGTTGAGTGTTGACACAGCGCCCGGTTTGACACCAGCTCACTCATATTTGACAGTGCTGATGGGCAATGAACATGTTCTCGCTCCTGGCTGTCATTGCCAGTGATTCTACCACGACATCTATTTATTTGCGCCGATAATGGCTACTGTCCGATCCCTTGGCCTCCACCAACCTTCGGCCATACCTTTTCTCGCTGCAGAGGGCTTACTACCTCACGATCCGTCCAACGATCTCTATGAGTGGACATCCAGTGTCGATATAGGCCCAGATGGCCCTGTTGAGGATGAGATCGTCTGGACGAAAGGTTGTGTGGTCTGGTCTAGAGCTGGGGTTGTCCAGAGGGTGTACCGGCTGGATCTCGAAAAGGAGGAGATTAGGCATGCACTTCTGACAAATTTCTCAGTCGGCCAGATTAAAAGAACCAATGGTAATGCTTCGCAGGTGACTAAGGAAGGTCTTTTCCGAACGAGCAATGATCCTGGTCGGAGTCGCGGTTTACATGGCCAACAGAATGGAGAAGAATCGAGACTGGAAGCCTCCGGCGTGACCTTAAATATACGTGGTAGAGGTGCCCAAGGAGCCAGTGACTCTGGCTCGACAAGAGCATTGGTTGTGGTCCTCAAGTCTCAAGCTCATATCTTCTTCCTAGCTGGAAACAGCCACGTCGTTCCGCTACCCTTCGAGGTGGATTCAATATTCGCGACCCCGAAGGGTCTTTTGTTTCAGAGGAAAATGTATGAGGAGGACAAAAAGGACACGAGTCTCTGCCCAATGGCGCCTCCAAATTCGTTCATGTCAACTTTGCCTACGACAGTGGACTTCCGTGTATCACAGTCTCTAGAAATCCCTTCTAGCAAGGGAAAGAGGCCATCATTGACGGTATCCCCTGCTCCGGGCACTAGTTTGAGGTCACCGCATAAGCAGCCCGACTTGCCTAGAGTGTTCTCGCTCATGGATCCGTATTCTGAGATGGGCCTTGTTGTGGCGAATCAGACTTCTCGCTTTTTACAAAGTAGTGTTACCAGCAGACCTTCTGGGCTGGATGTTCTGGGCGCAGCGGATGAGATCATATATGTCTCCCCAAAGGATGAGCTCCTAGAGTCTAATAGGAATCTGATTAGCGGTCCACTAACCTTCGTGGTAACCGTCAATGCTAATACCGGGCTGTACACTATCTGGACAGCACGTTACAGGGAAGATGAGGCCAACCCCTCGTCTAAAAAAAAAGGACGGCGTGAGACAGGTGGTACCTGGTCAAAGCGACGTAGCTCACATTTTGGAATGGCAACGGGAACAACAACTCCGGGAGCTCGCCCATCCGCTGCTAGAGAGAGTTTTGGTACTAGAGGCGATACCTGGAATACACCGGGCCTATCTCATTCGCAGTACTCTACTGATGTAAAACCAGATGAAGATGACCTTGCTTCTAAATTAGGCCAAGATTTCGGTGATATTGGAGTTCCCCTCAAGACTTCTCGACGGGTTAGCTCTCTACTCGCTAGAACCGATCTTGCAACTGGCCAGGATAGGATTACCTTTTCAGACCTTGCTACAGGAAGTCAATCGAGTTCCATGCCGCATGGAAACCTCCGGCAATCAATAGGTGCTGCAAGCAGCCGCGGAAGCTTCGGCTTCAATCCTAGGGCTTCTCTACCTCCAGGAAATGGTTCGGTTTATAGTACTACTACCAGCTTTGCGGATGCTCCAGTTGACAGGCTTCTGGAGGAGCTTAACAGTGAAAGTTTGTTCGAAGGGCTTGATAATATGGATCTTAAAGAATCATCATCCGGCCTTCCGGAGGAAGTTCTACTATCAAAAGTTGAGAGCTTTTCCTCTAGATTTTCCGAAAACTTCCAAACCCCAGTCAAGTCAAAATCATCCCGAAAGTCGAAGATTATTACAGTGTGCCCCTCAGAAGGTGCGAGCTCGCAGAACGGGAACTCAGCGGTTTTAGCTCTTTGTGTTGTTGAACAAGACGCAAAGTCCATGACTGTCGTAAATCTACGAGCGGACAGAGTCTCTATTCCGAAGAAGGATTCAGTGTTTTCTAAGAGAATGAAGAAAAGGAAAACTCCTGATGAGCGTTCGCTACTCGTCCAGGCAACTAGCGTACAGCACTTCTCGGGCATATGCGATGCTTGTAAGATCACTGATGGAGAGATTTCACGGATCATGACCTTGAGCACGGCAGATGACGGACAGCATGAGCTGCTGCTACAGACTCCTTGGAGCAGGCCAATCACTGTTGATGTGCCGAGAAAACTAATGTTATATGAGCCATACGGGATCTCGGCTACTACATCTGTAAACCGCCCAAGAGAAAGCGGTATGAACAGGCTTATGACTGATTCTTTCACGATTACCGGTCTGGACCACGCTACCATTCGAGGGAGAGTTGATCTGATAGACTCTGAAAAGCGGAAGCATAGGCTACAGATCCAGATGGAGCCCAGCAATGAGCTTGTAAAGAGTGTCTTCAGAATTTGTCGATTTGTTTTGCCTGACTCAGAGAAAGCCGGGGACGGAATATTAACGGCCTGGTGGGAAATAATGAAATGGCTTCGCGAAAGGGAAACCACCGAAAGCGACCTCGAGTGGACCGCGATGGTAGTAGTCTTGTTCGCCATGGCAATTCCTTTCATCGACAGTGACCACTCGCGGACCCCTGCACAGCGCACACGTAGAAAGAAAGCCCTGTTACGCTCAAGCAGCGGAAGCCACGTGGACTTGGAGAGCTGGGAAACGATGTTAGACCAAGAGGCAGGGTCAGCCGGCGTTGTGCCATCATGGATAAACAACAGTGCTTGGGGGTGGATCGTCGATCAAGATGCTGAAGAAGAACGCAATGCTCCCTCCAGGAGGAAGTCTGTGAAGACTGAGCGGACAGATTCCAGCCGGCTAACATACCGCAAGAATTCCTACTTGCTACGATGTGCGGCTTTGACTCGCGAATTCTTGCAGACCCCCAAGGGTATCGCTGCTGTAGGCTCAGATGGCCATCTTCCAACGGCGCTATCTTATAGTCAAAACCTACGACAGACCGCCTTGTGCACGATATTGGTCGGGCTACATCTTCTTCGTGAAGAGCAGAAGTTGTCAATCTGCGAAAGCGAGGAGTCCCGCAAATCCTTGGGCCTCCTCGCTCCGATCTTAGCCCAAATTGGAGGGTGGTTAGGATGGGAGTCCTGGAATTGGTCTGAAAATGGTTATTATGGTTTGGAGATTGCCAGTATCAATCGCTGGCAGTTTGAAGATACACGAATTTCGATGCTAGATATACCCCATGAGCAATTTTCGCCCCCCTCAGTCTTCAGTTTCGTAGAGACTGGGTGGCGTCAGTCTTCTTCTCCGTTTTTCACTCTACTACATCTGGTAACTGGATCAGATTATAACCCGAGGAAGGGGAGAATGTGGCAAGAATGCTTTTTGCTCACGCCAAGGACATTGGCATTGGACGGTTTTCTCTCCGAAGTACATAGCATCTCAACGCCACTCGATCGGATAAGGCTTCTTCACCGCTGGGGGTTCACTAGAAGTATCATTGAGACATTTCCGGAGGGCGTCAGTACACCTTTGTACGAAGCCATTATGCGATCTCAAATGCATGCCTCAACGTCTTGGAGCTCGACGCTTCTAGAGTTGGTAGATCGTGAAGATCTCAGCATATCGATGCGTACTCATAACCCATGCACTCCATCTGCATGGCAGCCTGCCGTGTCACATGAAGCGATGCGCGACGTGCACCATATCGGTGTCTCCGCCTTGGACATCGACGCGATCAACTCTTTCGAAGCATCTGCCGAGGCAGATAGGTTCTCTGTGACTAGATTGATCTTCCGCGAGGACAAACGGTTCATTGAGGCTGCTAGACTGCTGAATCAATCCAAAGCTCCTGTAGCAGAGTGTGTCCCAGAGCCTGATTGGAACGACTCGGATTTACTGGAGGCGCAGAAAGAAGTGGTTCAACTTGTTACACTTCGAACGTTGTCCATCCCTACAGGGCGCGCTATGCTGGCATTCAGTGGGCGACTGCCTTTGCTTACTGAGAAGCTCCCAATTCCTTCTTTCTCGCTTCAGTGTGTCATGAAACCATCGAACGTAACGATAAGTGCGGACCGAAGCTCTTTCAGTGAGGAGAAGGTTTGCTGGGCCTTCTTTCATAATGGTGTTTCTACGGGTCTCGCAATATCCAAGAACTCCAAGGGCATTGATACCTCGTGGATTCTTTTCAACAAACCGCAAGAGCTTACAAATCGGCACGCTGGCTTCTTGTTGGCCCTGGGTCTCAATGGGCACCTAAAGTCCTTAGCAAAGTGGGTAGCTTTTAAGTACTTGACACCCAAGCATACAATGACATCTATTGGTCTGTTGCTGGGTCTATCAGCATCGTACCTGGGTACAATGGATACGTTAATCACCCGTCTCTTGTCTGTTCATGTGACGAGAATGCTTCCTCTTGGTGCCGCCGAGCTGAACCTGTCACCGCTAACCCAAACCGCGGGTATCATGGGGATTGGCTTACTGTATTGTGGCTCCCAGCACCGAAGAATGAGCGAAGTGATGTTATCAGAGATTGAGAATGTGGATCAGGAGGAAAGCTCCCCAGGTCGCGAGGATTTGCGTGACGAGGGGTACCGCTTAGCTGCCGGGTTCGCGCTCGGGTTCATAAACCTAGCAAAGGGAAAGGATTTACGAGGAATGCGAGACATGCATATTGTAGAAAGACTGTTAGCTGTGGCGGTTGGGACGAAGAACGTTGACTTAGCGCATGTTCTTGACCGGGCCACTGCCGGTGCAACGATTGCCCTGGCGATTATATTCATGAAGACGAATGACGAAACTCTGGCCCAGAAGATCAATATCCCTGACACAACAGTACGCTACGACTATGTCCGACCAGATCTGTTCCTTCTCCGTACACTTGCTCGGCATGTCATTATGTGGGATAATATCCAACCTAGTGACGAATGGTTTGTCCAAAGCCTTCCAGGGATCTACCGCCGCAGATACCGTTTGACGGGCGTTCGTCGACTGAAAAGCGAAGATATGCCGTTTTTCAATATCATTGCTGGTCTTTGCTTTACGCTTGGACTCCGCTATGCTGGTTCTGCCCAGACGACGGTGCGTGATATTCTGCTCTCATATCTTGACCAGTTTATCCGCATCTGCAGGCTCCCTGCCGTTAACTACGATGGGAAACTCTCAAGGAACTCCGTCCGCCACTGCCAGGATGTTGTGGCCCTTTCGGCGGCAACGGTAATGGCAGGGACTGGGGACCTGGCGTTGTTTCGGCGCTTACGCTCCCTGCATGGGCGGGTGGATATTGATACGCCCTATGGTAGTCATATGGCAGCACATATGGCGATCGGGCTGCTTTTCTTGGGAGGAGGCAGTTATACGCTCGGCACATCCGACCTGGCTATAGCGTCGCTCATCTGTTCCCTATACCCAGTCTTTCCGACAACAGTGCTTGATAACAAATGTCATTTGCAAGCATTCAGACATTTGTGGGTTCTCGCGGCCGAACCGCGCTGCTTTGTGCCGCGTGACATAGATTCTGGCCGACCCATATCCATGCCAATCACAGTGACAAACACTGGCGGCAGTACCCGGAAGATTACCGCGCCCTGCCTCCTCCCCGAACTGGGGTCTATCGCTAAGGTGGAAGTGCGCAGCACCGATTACTGGCCTCTGGTCCTAGACTTTACACTTAATTCTGCGCTCCGAGAGAAATTCCGACACGGTGACCAGTCGGTGTATCTACGACGGAAAGCGACATACAACCCAACCGGTTCGTCTGCGTTTGTTTCGACATTATCAGGGCTCAGCGAAGCACAGGATATCCTTCCCTCGTCTACATCCGCGTCAAACCGTGGCAAGGGACTACCGCCGGCAGCGTGGCCGAACATCGCTACGCTACTCTCCGATGCCACTACCCCCACTCCTCCGTCGTCGCCGGTGCAGGGCATGTGGGAGTGGGTATTTAACCTCAAGTCACTGCATGGATTGGATGTCCGCGAAAAGGCACTTGTGCTGCCATCATCATTCCCAGCACACACACGCACCCCAAGCACCAATGTTGTTTCCTATGCGCCATGGCTGCGGCAGTCGGCAGTTGACAGCAAGCTTGTGGTTGAGGACATTGTACAAAATCTTGCACAAAGCCATCTTGACGAGATTCGCGATCGCTTATGGCAACTGCGACTTCTGTTCAATTGGGTCGACTCTTCATCCGACGAACGGATGCAGGAAATCGAAGAAGAGGCCCGGACATCAGATGATGCAGTTACAAGGATATCTGGCCAATCGCAAGGGCTTTGGCTACGACAGGATTTTGTGGAAGAGGCGCGCTGGAAGGTCTGGGGCGTTCAGACTGGTGGCTATGTTTAAAGCAGTTATGCTCTGTAATGTCTGGTTATGTTCTTATGCATGATATGATTCGGGAGCTAGAGTACTTTAAGGAGTCGGCTTTCTCCCTGTCTTCTCTATTCACCCCATTTACGTTGTTGCCTCTCGTCAGAATCGATAGTTCTTTATACCATCTCATCGGAAATAATATAGATTACAGTATCCAACGCCATAAGACCACAGAGTGTTATGTCCGGTCAATCCAACAGTTTTTGTTCATTATGTCTTCATTATCTGGGGTCATCGTGTGCCGGTGCAGTTACACCTGTGGCCGTTCCTCCTCCTCTTTCTTTTAAAAGAAAAAAAAAGAAAGAAAAAGAGTTATTTCCTTTCAGCTTCCCTATTTCCTTCGATAAATATATGGGGCTATTGAGACCTAACGGCCCCTTCTTTTAAAACCCCTCGGTCTCCACCACCGCCCATCTGCCAAAGCCATACGCCTTCGACAGCCCACGCAGTAGCACTGGCATGATGACCAACGCCTCCTTGAGACCTCGTCGGGTCCTGCCCCTGCTTCTCTTTTGCGTAACCCTTCCCTGAACGAGTTGTCCCAGTTGACGTACCATCGGCTTCAACTAGCATGGCAGCGACTACACCCTCGCGTTCAATGACAGACCACAGTCCTTCTACCAGAGTGCTCCCACGTTCTCCAAACTGACATTTCCCGAGACGAAAGAGAATACGACCCAGAACCTGCCAGGCGATACACCGTTGAGCGGGAAAGGAGGATCGGCTAAGGATGGCTAGCTCGGGTATGGTGTAACCAGCGGCATGAGGATCTTTACCATGATGGTGAAGACCCAAGTTCGTGGGGAGAGCAAGAGATGTAGTTGGTGAGAGCAGTGTGCCGAGGAAGGAGAAGCGGAGCGCGGCGGGGTGGACGGCTTCTGCATTGCTAGCCGGGTGGTAGGCTGATGTTGCGTCTGGTGCATCCGAGTCTGCGGAAGGGGGCTGAAGCCAGGACAAAGCGGACGGGTCGTGGGTGATGTTGGGGAAATAGTGGGCTTGAAGGTCAGACAAAAACGACGGGGATGATGGATCGAGGTTAGGCATGGGATTAAGTTGCAACGGCGGAGTGGGAAAGTGAACGGAGCTAGGAAGAGGGGATTCAAAGGCAGGTTGGAGGTCGTCAGGCATTTGCGCGGGGGGAAGGTCATCTCGATGAGTTTGTTTGTCTCGAGAAGTCGAAGGTGTGGTTTCGGGAACAGGCTCGGGTGGAGGAGCTGCTGCTTCGGAGTGATCTACCTGAGGTTTGGTGGATGCAGATGGATTCGACCGAGTGTCAGTCTTGGGCTCCTCAGAGTCAATACGGGCTCTGCGAAGGAACCGTTCAAGCAACGAGGGATCTATGGAAGCCACGAGCTCCTCGCGTTCTTGTTGGATCTGGTCGTACGACATGGACGCTAACTGCCGACGGTTTTCATCGTCAATCATCCTTTTCTCGTCATCCTGACTAGCAATTGAAGTGGTTATAATGGAAGAGCCTTCTCGACGTTGTTTGAAAGCGGACTGCTTTACGCGACGACGATGAGCAGGAAACCCAGCTGCAGCAGGCTTGGGTGGAGCTGGAGCGGCAGCGGGCGAGCGTTCGCGAATTTCGCCGATCATACCAGGGAGTGAGATGGAGGAAGCGGGGGGTGCAGATGAGGGCTGATCATCATCGGAATCTAAATCGAGAACAAATCTTTCACCGCGAAATGCCATGGTCACGTTGATGAAGATGTTTTGAGGTAAAGATTGATTGACTGATTATCGGAGATAAAGAAAAAAAGCATCAACCTAAAATTAAATCGGGAACTGCACGAAGGATGAGTCAGCATGCGGCTCAAAAGCTAAATGACGGGAGGCTAGACCTCTCTTAGGATAGCGTATCACCTGATGGCCTTTCCGGATTGGGGAACGCACGTCCGATCATCTGATTTGAATCTGGAGTATAAGTTCATTCAATTCATCAATATCACAACATCCCCTCTGGTCGGGTCGATCCAAGAGGGTTATATCCCTCTATATATCTATGGGAGACGGTAATCCCCGTAATCTTGCCATTGAATCACCTGGAGATATAGAGATATAGAGAGAGAGAAATAAATCTATATGTACAGAAAGAGAGAGAAAGAGAGAAATGCCTATCAAGACCTCTCTACCATGGAGTTTGGGTCGATTCTTGCTCTGGGGAGATATTCTGCCACCCGTATCATCATAAAAATTCAAAAATAAATAATAATAAAACCCCCCCTCCCCGAATCAGAGGAGCATCAGACCCCAAGTGCATAACAGGTCAGAATGGTTTCCGTCTGTCCTCCTTCCTTTCCATCCTTCTCAACTCCTTCATCTTTTTCCCATCCGGTGAAAACCAAATCAGTTCCAGGTAGTTGATCTATACTGCTTCGTTCGGTATATTGAATTTTCTCCTTGATTTTCCTTTTGCTTTTCTTTCCCCCCCTCCCCTCTCCCTTCCCTTACCCTATTGAGAATCTCTTGACTTTATCCGTTCGTCTCTGCCCGAGAACGAGACCAGAATCTCTCTCCCCTTTTCTCGCATTTCTTTTCGTGTTCTTCCTCTCCCACTCTGCTAAAACCTTCATCGTTTTTTTCTTGTGTTTCGCCATCACCATCTCGCCCCCATCCTTTTCCCTCTCATCACCTTCATTTTATTTCGTATATCCCTATCACATTTCCATCCGATTCGCATTCCGTGTCTTATATTTTATTTTACCCATTTTATTTTATTTTCCCCTTACCTTTTTCTTCTTTTTTTTTCCCTTCTACATTGACCAGGGGAAGGGGAAAATAGGAAGAAAGAAAATTAATTTATGGACAACTAGATCTGCAACTTGCTTGAAGACTCTCCGACTACGCTGCTTGCTTCATCCTTGAGACGTCTCCTCTCCATGCTATCCTTCTAAACCTTCTCTACATCATGTCCACCGAGCCGGCCATACGGACGGCTCAGGACGATCTCGAGCCGCGCACCTCTATCGACCAAACTCCCCGTGAGCCTCGCCCGAGACGGTCGCGTCGCAAGAAGGACGAGGGACAGGACGCTGGGCGAAAGGACACCCCCAAACCTACCAAGTCAAAAACTAAAGAAAAGGAGAAAGAAAAAGAACCAGAGACGGGGAGGCAGAACGACAAGGAATTAGACAAAGAAAATCATAAGGATAAGGAGAGCAGGGATAAAGTGCAGGACCCGAAAGAGTCGAAACGCGGCAGTCGTCGCCAAAGGGACAAATCGTCATCCACGTCGGTCAATCCTTCCAATTCCTCTTCTACACACGCTCGAAAGAAGCCCAAGTTAGAAGCAACGCCTCCGGATCAAAGTCCCAGTGTATCGGCGGCTTCTGCAGTTGCAGCAGCTGCCACCCCAACGACAACCACGGTTACGACCGCTGCTCCTGCTCCTACTCCTAGCGCTGCCCCAGCTGCAGCTGCAGCTCCAGCTCCAGCTCCAGTACAAGTTCCAAACACCCCCGCTGCTAGCCCTCCAGCATCGTCGGGCTCTATTCACCTTCTCCAATCTCACCTGCACCAGCAACATCGTTCTCCATTGCACCCGTCCCCCTCACTGCCACCCTCGTCTCATCCCACGCCGCCGCCCGCGGCCCTTGGTCATCAGCCATCGTACCCGACGATGCTCCCGCAGGACCGCCGCGGCCGCAATCCCAGCCACCACCTCCCCCGCCGACTAGGACCAGCGGTCAGAATTTCGACCCCATTCGGTCCGCCTTCGATACAGCTTCCCCGGCCCCAACACCGGGGCCAACATCGACCTTCAGTCCTCCGGCGCGCCCTCTCTCTCCACGCCCACCATTCCGCGCTAGCGCTTCACCTGCTATAGCTAGCATAATTGACCCTCCCACAAGTACCTCGCCATCCGTCTATGCTCCCCGCCCATATGCTTCTCCGAACCATGGCACATCCATATACTCTCCTTCCCCTGCGGCTACACCGGTCATCGCTCCGACGCCACATCCGCCTCCTCAGCCGATCTCGCCGTACGCCCATCGATCGCCGTATCCAACCCCTTCACAATTACAACCGTCGCACGATTCGCAGTCCTCCGGTCATTCTTCGTCTCAAGGTCCGCCGCCGCCGCCGCCGCCGCCACCACCACCACCATGTCTATCAGCAGCACCTGAGCCTCCAGCACCTACACCGTCTAATAGCCATCGCGCGCCTTCTCCCGGGCCTACCCCAATGGATGTAGATACGGATCAGCATCCGGCCCCTAAAGCACCGAAAAGGGACGCCAAAGCCCCCCCCACAGCGCCTCCATCGAATGCTGCGTCACCGAAGCCCTCTCGTGCAACCAAGGAGCCCCCGCCTCCATTGCCTCAAGGCTCAGGACTGATCTCCAATGCCTTGTTTGGCGTGGGCGACGCTGCGTCAACCAGCGATTCTGATTCTCGGCGGACGCCCAGTATTATAATACACATTCCACTGCAAGGGACTGGCAACAGGATTGTCAACTTTGCGCGCTTGGCCGAGGAACAATACGGCTTTGCCGCTTTACATCCGCGCCTTGCAGCTCACAAGGAACGACTCGCCCGTGTCGCCGCAGCGGGTGCAGCACTAGAACGAAATGATAAAACCGGCCGGGGACTCTCAGCTGGGGAGAGTGCTGATGAGGATCTCAGTCTCGAAGTTGAACGTGACAGTGACTTAGATGGAGACAGTGCGTTGGGCGGCGCGACAGCTCGCACGAACGGGCCCGAGGCTCCAGATGGGAAAAAGAAGCGTCGCAAGAAGAAGATGGAAGAGTATGACCGAGACGATCCGTTTGTCGACGATAGCGAGCTAGCCTGGCAGGAACAGGCCGCGGCCAGCAAGGACGGCTTCTTCGTATATAGTGGCCCTCTGGTGCCTGAGGGCGAAAAGGTGCAAGTAGAACGGTGAGTTACGCCCTACGTATATACGTTCGATCTCAATCACTAACGCTTTGGTTTAGGGCGGATGGCACAATAAAACGGGGCAGGGGCCGGGGTCGCGGCGGTCGCAGCCGAGGACCTCAGTCCGCTTCCCATCAAGCGCCACTGGCAGCCGCCGTCCCCATTTCCCAAGAAACAGGCCTCCCTGTACGAGGTCCCGGATCCAGGGGCGGTAGTACTACTCGTCGTCCGCGTACAAAGCCCAAGGCGGAACAGGACAAACCCGGCGGCACATCTTCCACCTCTCAGGGGCGAGGCGGCGGCACAGCTGGCCGGGGAGGCTCGGCAAGCGCTCGAGGAGGGAAGTCAACATCGATGGTGGAATTGGCACCGCGCCCTAACTTGGCACCCACGCCTCCGGGACCAAGCCCGGTGGCAGGTTCTGAACTGGCAATGAAATAAAAGTGAGCTCTAGTCACTCTCCCCCTTTCTCCACGAAGTACGATCCATTGTCTAGGTATCAGGTTATGTGGTTTATTGCTTTCGTTGGCGTCACTGGACCTGGGTACAGAGGGATGATGAAAGGTTAATTGTAGAACGGTTGCTTCTGCTGCGAGGCTATTACTGTGCTTCTATTCGGTATTACATGCCTGTTATGTGTTTCTATCAGTGTGGTTTCTAAGGTTTCTTTGTTTTCTTCCGATCTCCTTCATGGTTGGATGGTGTTTCTCCTCATTTCTGCATCATCTGGGGTGGTGTTTGTTCCTTTTATAATATCTCGTTTACGTGCCTGCCGCTCAATATGAGGCGAAACTATATGTTTCTATTCTGAAAGAAACCCGATGGAAGGGTCGGTTTGATTATGGCTACTATATCAGGTATACGTGTGGCATCAGGTCAAGGATAATGCAAGATCTTATCCAGCCATGAGGCTCAACCCATTCCTTGGATTGTAGCGTTTTATTGTAACAAAGCGCAAGTATCTTGTAAAAACCCCAACCCAAGGCTAAATGGTCCCAGTGTTCATGGTGTATCCTCACCACGAGAGAGGAAAGCTGCACATCCACATGTGACACATGCAAGATCCATGTACTTTGTTCGTTGCATCGACAGAATATTCGGAATTGTCAAATGATGAGAGAAACAACACAGATGCAAGAGTGCCAGCTCAACATCCAGGCAGAAATAAATGGGAAAAAAAGAAAAAAGTACGTCGACATAAACCAAAGAAAAAGGCATTGCTATCAAAACATGCGACCAGCTCAGGAGGAAGATTAATGAACAGAATAGAAAAAGAAAAGGTACAGACTCGGAAAATGCCAATGAACGAATATACGCCTTGCTGATGCAATAATCATAAGCAATATGGTCAAGCAAGCGATCAGTTGGGAGTTCGTCATCTAAATAGGTTGACGTCGAAACGTCAATGGAATTTTGTTGACAACGAGATAGAGAAAGAAAAAGGTTGGGTTAATTTCAATGATAGTTGACAAAGGTCAAGTTTCCGATTGAGGATGGGAGACAATCAGCTGGTCTTGCTTGCAGAGAAGTCTATGATAAGATCTAACTCATTTGAGAAAACCACTGTGCATAGCTTCTGCTGTGTGATAGTGATGCACTTAATTTACTTAGCGTTGCCATGGTGCTCCCGGCACCGGAGCTGGTGGTAAGGGCCCACTGGGAGGAGCTGCGCGAACTGGCATAGCTGATGTCTGAAGTGGCATTCTCGACTTCATGTTGTGGGAGCTCGCTGAACGAGATGCGATGTGCTGACGAGAGGGTGGTTCCAGTGCTGACACCGGGTCTCCTAAGTGCGCACGAGAGGGGCGGCGTCCCGATCGATAATCATCATCCTTGGTTTCCAAAGAAAGATGCTCTAGTGATATCGCGGGCGGGGATCTGGTCGACCGACTGGGGCGAGGAGATGGGTTCGGCGGTACGTGATAATGCCGGCTTTGGGAAGACATTTCATTGACCATATTCAACGGGATCTCTCCAGATGTTGGCGTGTAGTGTGGTGTGCGAGCCGATTTGCTAACTGCTGGCTTTGGAGCGGGGCTACGGCGCGGTGATTCTTCTTTCTCGTCCTTGAGAGACTTGGGCGGTGGGGGAGCTAGATAAGACTTCCGGTTATGTCGCTCCATCATGCTAATTGCCCATTCTTGAAGATCAACTGGTGTGCGTTTAGCAGCCTGAAGGAACGCATCCTTATCCTATTCTCGGGGTCAGTAAATTGACTTCAAAGGAAGCGCAAAGCACAAGGTGGGTATTACATATAATTCTCGGGGTGTTGGCCGCTCTTCGGACTTTTTAAGGAGGCATTTGGCGACAAACTCGTGCAGGATTGGGGGGAAAGCATCACTCTTTGGAAGCTTCGGAGCAGGCTCATGGACAATTTGTTGTAAAAGGTCCAAGATACCCATAGGGCCAGCACTAGCTCGGTCCCCTGCCGAAGAATCTGAGGTATCAAAGGGAAATCGACCCACGGCCAATTCCATGACCGTCAAGCCTACACTCCAGACATCCGAACGGACAGTATACGCGCCGCCTTGAATGCGCTCGGGTGCCATGTAGGTCGACGTGCCGACAAAGGTGTCGGCGATTGAATTGACAGTCTCAGTAGCGACGCCGAAATCGCAAAGTTTAATGTTTCCCCGTGAATTGACAAGGATGTTGGATGGTTTGATATCACGATGCATAATGCGATGCGCTTCATAGAGATACACGAGACCAGCCAGTACTGACTCTGTGATCTTGCCTAGTACATCCACTCGGACAGGACCGAAGTCTTTGGATATACGATCAAGAGAACTAACGAGGAAAGCAGTTAGATACTTGACCTTCGCATAGGTATCTGTGAAAACTCGTTTGCACTCACCCACAGTCCATGTATTCCATACACAGAACAATATCCCTAGCTTCATTTTGGAATGCTCCATAGAAGGTCACGATATTTGGGGAGTTGCAGTCGTGGCCAACTTGAAGCTCTCGCAGTATCTGTTTTCGAACGTTCTCCTTGGCATCGACACGGATAATCTACGATATGATCAGCAGGTCCCCATAACGCTTAACAAAACTATTCGCACCTTTCGGGCCATGACAACTTTAGTAGACGCATGCATGACCTTGGAGACTGTACCGCCATTGCCCGCCCCTAGTTCTTTTAAGGTGATCAAATCCTCACTGCGAAGATCAAGGCGGAACTCCAGCCCGATTTCCAGCGTATCGGTGCGGTTGCTGTCGGTATTTCCAATCGCACCGGGAACTTGGGCATCGCCATCGGACGGGTTGGAGAGGGGTTTGGGTGCTGCATTCAGAGCGAGACCTTTGACGTTTTTGCGTTTCAGCGTTCGAGCTTTAAATTGGTCGGCCATGGTTGGACGACAGAGCTACTCTGCCGCAGTCACTGAGGGGTGAATTGAGAGGAAGGGAATTAATGATTGAAAGCGCGCCTCTTGCCAATTGTCGGGCTTAATCCTCTTATGTAGCTGAAAAGTCAGACTGCTCGTGAGTGGTGAGAGCAAAGTGTTGATTGTTCCGTAGTAATGTGAAACTTGAAAGAACCAAAAAAAAAGGCGGTTTGTATATTGGCACTGGGGTGTGGACAAGCGCCGTGTTTTCAAGGCAGACAAGGTGGGGGACTCGATGGTCGGTCTAGGCTCGATTCGCTATCACAACTCTCTGTGGATAATGTTGTGGGTGAAATAATAGTCTCCAAGTGTTTTCGAAGAATTAAAAAAGGGGGATATTTCAAGAAAGATCCTGCATGAAACGCCCAACGGAGGCGCTGACTATAAGATGGGAATTTCTGTTCGGGTGGAGGAAGAAGATGGTGTTAGAGAGTGAGTCTGGATCCCCACCAGGAACAAGCGCGCGGGTCTCACTCCGGACAAAGAGGAACCACTACTCGGTACTATTTGTATGAAAGGTACTAATATGAGGAGGGACCCCCTACCAAAGTGGGGGGGGGGGGGGAGAGAAAAAAGGAGGAATATGAAAATGAAGTAAAGAAGAAAAGCAGCGACAGGGAATTTGTAGAAATATACATTGTAACCACCGGACCTGTAAGTTGCTTAATTTTATAGATCAATACTGGATAGACAAGTCCCTGATAAATCCTCCGTTCCTATTTGCCTGGCGCTTCGGATCCCATTATTTATTTATAGCTATTAGTATTCTACGCAGCGCTATCGTGGACGCTGATGTCCAGCCCACGTTCGTTCGTACCCTATATATTTAGCTAACCTATGTCTTAGCAGTGGAAATATTCGCGCCCTTGAAATGGTTAGCTAGGAATCCCATCATGTCTCAAATTGTGTAAACCTTAGGGTGCAGCGTCACTATTCATCCGCTCAAGAAGCATCATAAGACAAGAAGACGCAATGACAAAACAGCACCGGCTAGCACATGCCTGCAATCGTCTCGAGATAAATTAAGTACTCTCTTCTCAACGATTTTCAACTTCAGTTCTTTATCCCTTGAGCAACTGGGTGAGATCACATGATCGTTTGTCTATCATCAAGGCACGTGATAGTGTAGCCCAGCCACATATAGCTCCGCCGGGCGGTGAGGCATTGTCTGCGCCACAGAGCCTCTTTGCTCGCCGACAACCCCCAATTTGATTCAGTCAGTGTCCAAAGTATCATCAATACCCACAATTCGTTGGAGTCCATTGGACCGGAGTTTCTGTGGTGCCGTCTTTAGTGGCGGCTGTTCTAGTTGTTCTTCTCTTTTGACTCCCTTCCATATTCTTTCCGAAACACCCATCATCTTTCTCCCTGCACATCGCAGCGCGCCTTTCACGACAAATACAAGATGAGCGCCCGGGATCTTGTCGAGGGGGAGGCCATGTTGGATGATGAGGAGAATGAAGAGGAATTGGCCGATGACTATGGCGGCGAAGGCGAAGCTCATCAGGGTGCTGGCACTGCTGCAAACCACTACGACTCAAGTGAAGAGGATGACGATGACGATGACGATGAGGAGGCCGCCCGTGAAGTAGGTTTCCTAGCTTGAGAAGGCGTAGCCAGGCCCGAACCATAGCTGAATATCTTTATGACAGGTCCGGGAAGGTTTTATTGTCGATGAAGATGAAGAACTTGAAGACCGTGCAGAGCGCCGGCGGGAGAAAAGGAAACGACGCAGGGAAGAACGCGAGCGCGAAGATGAGCATCTAGATGAGGAAGACTTGGAACTCATCGGAGAACTCAACCCATCACTTCAAGCCCCGGTTGCTGCAGAGGTATGTCGAAATTCCGTCCGTCCGTGTGCCAGTTAAACTACGCATGTGATAGAGTACATCAGGCTGATTTAATTTATGATCATATTAGTCTAAATTCAAGCGCTTGAAACGAGGACACAAAGACCGTGACCTTCGACAGCCCTCTCAAGGCATCGACGACATCTTCAACTCCGATGAAGAAGAGGAAGTCGCGGGCGACTATGGAAGGCCTGGGCATAGGCGACACATGCATGATGAGATGGACGACTTCATCGAGGAGGACGTTTTCTCAGATGAGGAGCTACAGAGGGAACGAGAGGACCTAGAGATTGCCCGTCCCGCGAAGAAGGGCATGACCGGTTTAGGAGCTACTGATGCTGCTGGATTAGATGAAAACGCGTTAGAGGATATGCGCGCGGCCTTTGGGGATGGCAACGAATACTTGTTTGCTCTGGAGATGGAGGATCAAGAGGAAGAGCAGGAGGAAGATGAAGAGAAACACTTGGATCTCAAAGATGTGTTTGAGCCCTCTCAGCTAGCGGAGAAGATGTTAACGGAAGAGGATAATCAGATCCGTCTGTTGGATGAACCAGAAAGACATCAGATTGCCCGGAAGCCATATCGCAACGTTGTCCTCACCGAAGAGCAATTTCGAGAAGAAGCCGCCTGGATCTCTAACCTCATGCTCCTCAAGAAGCGCATTGAACCCGAGCTGCGCGAACCTTTTCAACGATCTGTGGCCAAGGTGCTTGAGTTCTTAGTGACGGATGATTGGGAAGTCCCGTTCATCTTCCAGCATCGGAAGGACTACATGATTCATGCTGTCAAAGCTCCTGCCGAGGGTGCCGGAGAAGACGGTGACCCGTCTCAATATACGATACGAGCGGAGAAGCTCTTAAACATGACGGACCTTTGGGACATATTCGACCATGATCTCAAGTTCAAGGCTCTGGTAGAGAAACGGAACACGATACAGAAAACCTATGATAATTTGCAGAGCCTATTCAACGTGAGTGACTCTGTGGTGGAGGAGATGCTCCCAGCAGCTGTCACCATGGAGGAGCTTCAAGATGTGCAGGATTACATTCACTTCCAGTATGCGTCTCAGCTGCGGGACATGACTCTTATGAACAGCGATGCCAGCGGAGAAACACACAGGCGGAAGGCGTCAAGCAAGACCTTTTTTGAGCGTGTCCGAAATGGTAAGGCATACGGCTTGGTGCGTGCGTTCGGCATTACGGCAGATGCTTTTGCGCAAAATGCTTTGAAGGAAGGTCGTCGACAGTACACGGAAGACCCAGCGGAGAGACCGGAGGAGATGGCCGATGGGTTTGTGGATCATGATTTCTCCAATGCATCTCATGTTATCAAGGCTGCTAAGAGCTTGTTTGCTGAGGAAATCGTGATGAGCCCTAAGATGAGGAAGGTGATTCGCCAAGCGTATTACATGAATGGTGCTGTCGACTGCTTCCGAACGGAGAAGGGCCTCCGTAGAATCGACGAGCAGCACCCTTACTACGAGTTCAAATACCTTCGAAACCAGCAGCTCAGTGACATTGCCCGCCGACCGGAGCTTTATCTTCGCATGCTTAAGGCCGAAGAGGAGGGTTTGGTGGAAGTCAAGGTCCGCTTTGAGAACTTTGACCAGTTCCGCCAACGTCTGTATCCCGACATTGCATCCGATAACTATAGCGAAATCGCGGACGGCTGGAACCGTAGTCGGCGGGACGTCTTGGACATGGCTCTTGGTAAGCTGGAGCGATTGATCAACCGCAGTGTGAAGGAGAACATTCGTCAGGAATGTGAGAATCATGTGGCTAAGGAATGCCGAGAAACTTTCTCGCAGCGATTGGATCAAGCCCCATATAAGCCTAAGGGAATGGTGCTGGGAACTGTTCCCCGCGTTTTGGCTTTATCCACTGGGAGTGGCGCTGTGGGACGGGAACCTATACACTGGGCCTACATCGAAGAGGACGGCCGTGTGTTAGAGAATGGAAAGTTTGTGGACTTGTCAATCGGAGATCGTGATCGTAACATCCCAGATGGCAAGGATGTCGAGGCCTTTGTGGAGCTTGTGGACCGCCGCCGACCAGATGTCATTGGCGTCAGCGGCATGTCCCCCGAGACTCGTCGTTTATACAAACTCCTCGCTGAGGTTGTCGACAAAAAGGACCTACGCGGCGCTCCGTACACCGATGACCATGACGAAGAGATCAGTGATCGGTTGGAGGTGATCATTGTGAACGACGAGGTGGCGCGTCTCTATCAGCATAGTGAACGGGCAAAGAAAGACCACCCCAGCTTTGCCCCTTTAACACATTACTGCGTTGCTTTGGCTAAGTATCTGCAGAGTCCCTTAAAGGAGTATGCTTCGCTAGGCCGGGATATCGTCTCTATTCAGTTCAAGCCGGGCCAGCAACTGGTCACCCAGGAGCTACTTCTGAAACAATTAGAAACGGCATTGGTGGATATGGTTAACCTTGTTGGTGTGGACATCAATGAAGCAGTTACAGATTCCTCGACGGCCAACCTTCTTCCTTACGTTTGTGGCCTTGGTCCTCGTAAGGCAGCTCATTTGCTCAAGATCGTCAATATGAACGGTGGCGTGGTGAACAATCGTGTAGAACTTCTGGGCGTGAATGCGCAGTATCCAGCAATGGGCGTCAAGGTCTGGAACAACTGTGCTAGCTTCCTGTACATCGATTTCGAGAACGTCGATCCGGATGCGGATCCATTGGACAACACACGAGTGCACCCCGAAGACTACGACATTGCTCGGAAGATGGCCGCCGATGCCTTGGAGTTGGACGAGGAAGATATCAAGGCGGAAACGGATGAGAACGGTACAGGCGCCATCGTGCGTAAACTGTTCCGTGAAGAAGCACAGGACCGAGTCAATGATCTGATTCTGGAGGAGTATGCGGAACAGCTGGAAAAGAATCTAAATCAGCGAAAACGCGCCACACTCGAAACAATTCGGGCAGAGCTGCAACAGCCGTACGAGGAACTGCGGAAGCAATATGTCTTCCTCAGTACGGATGACATCTTTACCATGCTCACGGGTGAGACATCGGACACATTGGCGGAAGGCATGGTGGTACCGATCTCCATTAAGCGAGTCTCTGACGACCACATTGACGGCAAATTGGATTGTGGTATCGACGCCCTCGTTCCTGAGTCAGAGCTTACCGACCGATATGATATACCTGTGCGAGCACTATACTCACCGCATCAGACCGTGTCGGCCAAGATACTGTTTTTGAATCGTAAAAACTTCACTTGCAACGTCTCTCTGCGGGAGGAGCAAGTCAGTCGCCCCGTGTCCAACACCCAAGACCGCCTGCGCGGAGAATGGGATGAGCGGCAAGAGCAACAGGATCGCGAGTCTTTACAGGAGAAAACTCAAAGTGGCGGACGAACGATACGAGTCATCAAGCACCCCTTGTTTAGGCCATTCAATTCAACCCAGGCAGAAGAATTTCTGGGATCGCAAAGTCGGGGTGATGTGGTTATTCGACCGTCGTCAAAGGGCCATGATCATCTGGCTGTGACATGGAAGGTGGCCGATGGCATCTTCCAGCATATCGATGTACTGGAGTTGGACAAGGAAAACGAGTTTTCTGTTGGACGGACGCTGAAGGTTGGGGGTCGTTATACCTACAGTGACCTGGATGATTTGATCTTCAACCATGTTAAAGCGATGGCCAAGAAGGTGGATGAAATGATGCTACATGAAAAGTACCAGGACGGCACCAAGGATGCTACGTGTAAGGATTTCCCCTCTTCCAGCCCGATTCTTCTGCTACTGTTTCCATGGTGCACACACACACACTCACGATGACGTGGTCTATAACTGATCAAACATGCAGACTCTTGGTTGGAGACTTATACGAAAGCTAACCCCAAACGATCCGCCTATGCTTTCTGTATTGATCCCAAACATGCCGGGTACTTTTTCCTCTGCTTTAAAGCCGGTGAGAACGCGCGACTGCATAGTTGGCCGGTAAAGGTGATTCCTCAAGGCTACGAGCTCCAACGCAATCCATATCCTGACATGCGGGCGTTATGCAATGGGTTTAAGTTGTTATTTACCAACATGCAAGCAGGCAAACGGAGGTGACGGGGGCGGTGACTTCTATGCTTTTTTCTTTTTCCTCTGTATTCTCCTGTATACTGTGTAATATCCTTTTATGAATTTGGATGGTGTTGAAATTTCTGAAGGTTTCTTTTTCTTTGGAATTGCGGGCAGAAAAAGATGGAACTTTTTTTTGCATTGGCACGATAACCCGAGTTCTTCTGGTTTGACAGTTATAGTTTTTTTATTTTTTATTTTTTTTGTGTTCTTTTTTAGAAAGAGAAAAAGTCAATCTCCAGACACATTGCATGAAGGCCCATGTACCTAGGGTCGTTGTCGGCATCGGCATCTAAGGAGTACAGGGATCGACCAGGGTGGACATGTGAACCGTCGGTGGTTCTCGGAGGCTCAACTACTCCGCACTCTCTGCCTGCTGACGCCAGTCAACTCTAACCCCTTCCTTTTTCTCGGCTTGTTCGAAGAATTCCTCGGACCCTTTCCCCTGAAACCCAGGGTTGGATTTCCTATTTATAGATCGTACCGTCCGTCTGCCTTACGGGGCAATTCAATGACCAGTCGGTGGAGAGTCAATCCATCATTCCCACCCACCGACGGGCGCCTTGAAGTCATTGTTTTGATTTAACGCATTCGATCCCCCACCCCCAATTTCTCATCTTCACCTGCTCCCCTTTCCCTTCAGGTTGGCTTTGACCAAGCCAGATCATTCTCCTCTCGATTTCACTGGCGGAGTAATTGTCCACCTGCCCTGTTTGCCCACTTTGCGCAGCCATGGCGGCCATGGAGGAGTTGGAGATCCACAGCAAGGTAAGGGGATGTGACGAAAATGACGCACCTATGGAACCCTCGACTAATCAGTGAATGTGGTCGACGTTCTTCTTTCTTTGTAGTCCTACTTTGTTCGTTGGGTTAATGTTAAACCTGGTCACACGATCTCCTGGAGCATTCAACCGCATAGGAAGTCTCTCAACTTTGGAATCTTCAAGCACCCGGGCCATTCGGCCGTCCTGGGATCCAACAATTTGCCCCCTGCCGACTCGCACAGCACGGACTCGAATGAAAACCTGCCAGCCACCGCTCTGAATGCTAACTCCCGACAAAATGCTTCCACGCCGATCATTGAACGACTAACGGGCATCGGATTAAAGCAAATTCACTGGATTGGCAAATGCGAGGCTGACAAGATTGTCAAGGGCACCTACGACGTGCCTGCGAATGAGGGTGGAAATTACGCGCTCGTTTTTGATAATACCTTTTCTAAACAGATCTCCAAGACGGTGACTCTCGTGCTACTTACCTACCCAACAGCTTTGTCCCCACAGTCGGCACCAGTACCCCACGCAGCGATTCTACCCTCTCGTGGAACCGACTCCTCAGAATCTGGAAAGCCGCTGGCTTCGCGAAGACGAGGAAACAGCTCCGCGAAGATTCTACCGCCATCTATCAACACTGACCCGGCCTCAGTTCACACCGGTATATTACAGAAGCGACGAAGGAAGCGTCACCAGGGCTGGGCGAGAAGATTCTTTTCTCTGGATTTCACATCGTCTACATTGTCTTATTATCACGATCCGAACTCGTCCGCCTTACGCGGCTCCATCCCCTTAACCTTAGCAGCCGTCGCGTGTAACGAGAACTCGCGCGAGATTTCAATTGACTCCGGCACTGAAGTTTGGCACCTTAGAGCCAGCAATGACCAAGAATTCATCTCATGGAAGCGGGCTCTGGAACGAGCATCCTCCTCTAAGACCCCGGCGGTGGAAGAAAGCCATCCCGAACCCCTGCTGCGCGTACCGTCACAGCGTGTTCTCACCAATGCTGCGGAAGAGCGGGAATGGGCGCAGGTTGAGAGCCTCGTGAGCAAGATATCTGGATCCAGGGATGCTGTACGCCGGTTGGCCAAAGACACCGACCCAAAATACTTAAGCTACGGTGCTCCCGAGCGGCCTCGCGGTCGGTCACCAAGCCCACATCCCGAGACAAATGGCGATGAGTCTCTCGAGACGCGTGAGAAGCGTCCCTTCTGGAAACGGAAGGCCAGTGGAAGTTCCCAACTGGGTGGAGTCAAACGCACGACGATGACACCCTCCTCCACGCAATTAGTGGTGCCAGGCCCCTCCGGAGACACTGCTTCGCTCTCAGGTGACCGTAAACCGAGCAGCATCACCAGCCACCCAGACCAGATGGAAGAGATACATGACCATCTGATGGCCGTGCTACGCGATCTAGACAGTGCCGTTACCGAATTCTCGACCTTGGTTGCGGAAAGCAAACATCGACGTCATCCACCCGGCCTGACAACTCAATCGCGACTCAGCATGGAATCGGATGTGTCTCAGGAGTTCTTCGATGCTGTCGACGGGGGAAGTTCGTCTCCGCTGTTAAAGATAAAGGGCGATAGTGACGACGAAGGGGCAGATGACTTTACTGATACTACTGCCCGGCAGGCGGAGGATAAAGTCGTGGTGGACGATGCGCCGTCGGACAGTGACGATGAAGTCTCTGAAACTCCCACGCCTCAGGGCGATCGATACGCCCCGCTGTTTCCTCCAAAACCCAAATCACTCACTCCTTTGCCGCTCAACAAAGTTCCTCGTCGTTCGAACATCCCCGCTCCGACAGTCATGCCTCCCAGTTTGATCGGGTTCCTCCGCAAGAATGTCGGTAAAGACCTTTCCCAAATCTCGATGCCAGTGTCCTCTAACGAGCCGTTTTCCTTGTTACAACGTGCGGCCGAGGTGATGGAATATTCCATGCTTCTAGACCGTGCCGCCAGCGCTTCCGATGCAGTCGAACGGCTTATGTATGTGACTGCCTACGCACTCTCATCACTGTCCTGCAACCGGGTCAAGGAGCGGTCCATTCGGAAGCCCTTCAACCCCATGCTAGGAGAGACATACGAGCTTGTCCGCGAAGATCTCGGGTACCGATTCATTGCAGAGAAAGTTTCTCACCGGCCCGTGCAACTGGCCTACCAAGCTGACAGTAAGGATTGGAGTGTTGCACAATCACCCATGCCAACGCAGAAGTTCTGGGGGAAATCTGCAGAGATTGTGACCGAAGGAAAGATGAGGTTAACACTACATACGACCGGTGAGCATTTCAGTTGGTCCAATGCCACATCTTTCCTGCGCAACATCATTGCAGGTGAGAAATATTCTGAGCCTGTCGGCGAAATGTCGGTTGTGAACGAGACGACTGGGCAGAAAACCGTGTCGGCCTTTAAGGCAGGAGGTATGTTCTCCGGCCGCAGCGAGGAGGTCGTCACGAAAGCACTGGACTCTAGCGGTCGTGAACTGCCTCTCGGGCTAACGGGTACCTGGACCACCTCACTCCAGATGACTAAGAATGGCTCTGCCACAGCACCTGTGTGGAATGCCGGGCCGTTGGTATCCAACGCACCGAAGCACTACGGCCTCACTGTGTTCGCAGCCACCCTCAATGAGATCACCCCGATCGAAGATCACAAGCTTCCACCGACGGACTCGCGCCTCCGCCCCGACCAACGGGCCTTGGAAGATGGCGACGTTGACCGGGCAGAGGAAGTTAAGGTCAAGCTGGAAGAATCTCAACGTGCCCGCCGCCGCGAGATGGAATCAGCAAGTCAAACGTGGAATCCAAGGTGGTTTACCCGAGTGGACGATGATCTTGCCGGAAATGAAGGCGAGGTCGTGTGGCGTCTAAAGTCGGGTAAAGAGGGATATTGGGAAGAGCGGTCGAAAGGGACTTGGACCGGTGTGGTTCCAGTGTTTGAAACGTAACGTTTTTTGGAATTAACACATGGATGGATGTCCGTTTCGTATATAGAGTCATGTCATTATAATCTGGGCTGCAATGACCATGCGTCTCCGATGACTAGCTATTTATATTGTCATACAGCGTCCTTCTCAAGACATGAAGACAATTATACTACGTAGATGATTCACCTAGGGTAGATGTTATGGCTACATATTGCAGAAGATGCTATCGAGCTGAAGATAATCTTCCATTAAGTAGTCTACTAGATACGATTGCTTGCAAATCAAAGTAGCCAAGGTAAAAGATGAGAAATATACATTAACGGAAATGATTGAGAACATAGCCAACATGATTGCGCATATTCGTATATGATGTATGTTTAGCGAGTTGACCCGAAACGATAAGACAAGCTGACGCACTGAAACTAATAATCCTCGTCCGACTGTTCATGGACAGCCCATCGTCGACTATTCCGCGACTTCGCAGTCTTCTTTGCTGCGCCCCGGTCAGCCGGTGTGTGCTGGCGAACCATGACCGGGAGACTATCCAACACTGCTCGGTTGCCCTGATAGTAATGCACCGCAAAGCCTCCCTGGAGAATCCGTCGGAGTGAATTCAGCCGAATCCATTTCCACCATCGGTCAATGTTCATCACACCCTGGCGGCCGATCTTCACAGTTAGCTTGCTACCGTAATGTCGATTGGTGTCTTGATCGATAGCTGTGTTGTACATCGGACCTCGACGAGGATCCTCAACCGTGGTCAAAATCGAGACAAAATTGCTGTGTAGGTTCTTTTTATCTTTCTTGCTGATGCGTTTGTTATGTACCGTGGCCAGTGACTGGAGTTGCTGCTCAAGCTCGTGAGTATTGTGGTAGGCATCGTAGCGCTTAATCAATTTAGGCCCCTGTCGGTCGTCCAGAGATCCATCGTCTGACTCGGGCTCGCTATCCTCGTCATCGTCATCCTCTTGGGGGGTGTAGCTCTTCTCGTACAGTAATGCGATGTTTTCACCTGCAGCGATTTGGACAGGTGACTCACTGCTGTTTAACTGGTCCATGAAGATTTGAATTGCATCTTCGCTTTCACCTTCGAGGTCTTCGATTTCGACCGCCAGAACACCCCATTCCTGAAGAGCCGCGGTGACACTACTCGAGTCATCGGCAGCATCGATTGACTGCCCATCAGAAGCTGCAATGTCTAGGAAGAACGTCATCTGGTCTAGAATCCCATCCTCTCCTGCACCCCCGAAGATAGTGCATGCGCCTAGACAATGAATAGCGGCAGCCTTTACAAGGTTGGATGTCGAGTCTCGGATAGTACGAGTAAGAATAGGTTCTATATTTTCATAGATGCCGTTGTCGACCGCGGTGATGACAAGGAGCTCCAGCGCTCGCAAAGCCAAGGTAGTCTCACGCACACTAGATTCAAATTTGACACTCCGGCAAAAGGCGCCCAAAAGGTCGTCCACGCTGTTTCGAATACGCTCCTCGACATAGTGACACTTCAACAGACGACAGAATGCAGCGTAGCATTCTTCGCGGCTCAGTACGCTGCTACGTTTGCGATCCAGGATATCTTGGATGACATCGCCGAGTTCTTGAGCCCAATTGTTGTTGTCAACCTCGGGGTTATCGGTCAAATCGTCCAGCGAGCCAATGCTGACGAGTGGATTACCATTAGTAACGTGCGATCAATTATTATTATTTTTTACTCCCTTCTTAACACCAATGACATCATTCCGCCACTAGCGAAGGGAACAAGAACACAGAAATTGTAAATGGAGACGACAAACTCACCTCAACACGGTGTCATCACTGAGGTTCCCAGCGTCTTCCTCGTCGGACGGATGCCTGCTTGCATTTCGAGAAGACTGGTGGGAATTTTGGGCAGAGTTTGTGCGTGAAGTCCGGCGAGAACCTTCACGCGAAGCTGCTTTCCGAGAAATGGTTTTACCACTCTCCAAGACCTGACGACGAAGATCAGGCATGTTTAACCGTGAGATTCAACGATCGTTGTTAGAACTAAGTATGCCCCGTAGAAGGGCAAAAAAGGATGATGAAGCTTTGGAAGCAAAGAAGAGAATATGAATAGAGGCCGCGAGGGTAGCCGTAATATGCTGCAGTAGAATAGTGTCGGCCAAAGTAGGGCTATGCGAAAGGTATGGAAATAGTTGACAGTAGGAATAACTTCTCGGAGACAAAGTTCATGGTAGGATACGTCTTCAGGTAGGAAGATACAAAAGTATTTGAGGGCTCAGAGGGTGGGAGACATGAAGAAATGAAAAGAAATCTTTTTAAATCCAGCAGGCGGCGATTACCATATCTAACAGGATGACCCCGTGATTTTATTTTATTTTTATTAAGTTGGTTTTTTTTTTTTTTTAATATTAATAAAAAGAAATAATTTTTCTTTAACCTCCGTCAAGTTTACCTAGGCACTTGAACTATCCACCACAGCCATTCAAATACTGCGTACTACTACTACTAGTAGTAGTAAGAATCCCCTCCCCAATCAGCTGGCCCTGCGTTATCCCGTTCGCTCATATTCAAGGCACACTCCAGATCTTCCATCTCATGGCCGCTATTACATCCATCCCCATGCCACCAATGATTCCTATGGTTATCTCCACGTGATGCGGGGTCTGGCTTATCTCTCGTCAAAAAGTAGTTGGGTTCGCCCGGCAGCTGAGGCATTCACCAGACTGTTTAGTTATATGGAGTAGTACGAAGTGGTCAACTTGCATTCCCAATAATATGTAGTCTAGAGAAGCCATGGCTGTACATCTCCTTTGTAATAGTCCATTACCCTGGGGTATCTATTATTGATATTTTCTTTTCTCTTTTGCCGCAGACATACAAGAAGTTATCCCAGGACCGAGGTCTAATTGCGCTCCAAAACCAATTCCAGTATTCTCCGCGCTTTGTTCCCCTCAAGATACTCTCTCCCTTCTCTTCTCCGATCGTCGTCATCGTCATCGTCACCAACCTCTAAATCCACTTGTAAGCTAGCCTCATATGCACTCATCACGGTCTCTTCATCAACCCTCACTCCCCCTTGAACAAGTACTCGGATACACTGTGCTAGTCGTGCAATTTCTCGCCTTGTTTGCGGCGGGATCTCATCGTTTTGGCTAGAGTATATAGAGCTCGACACCATCTCCTCCATACGGGTAATCGACACACTGTCCGTGGTGGAAGACGCGGCAGCAGTATCGTCAGCATGTTTCGAAATCCAGATATACCCGTTAACCCCAAGTATGACATCCACATCGCCACCTCCATTGGCGGTGTTGACTGTCCACACCTGTCTCCGAGACCGAACTACTCCTCCCGTGCCTGATGCGCCCATGGCTCCTGCAGGGATAGGTCCAGACCCAACTCCTCCTTTTACCATCGAACTTGAAGCTCCACTACCACCCGTTCCGGTCACAGCAAGAAAAACGCCATTTCTGAGTTTTCCATATTTCAAAGATCGCGTATGTAGTGAAGCTGCACCGTCAGAATGTACGGTCTGAACCTCCGCCACTACTAGGTCACCTTCACTGAAGAAAGTCCTAATCTGTAGTTCATCGGCGCTCGTTCGCCGACGTAAAATACCGCCCGGGAGATTGATCGCAGATAGTGGGAGCTGTGCAAGGAGTGGAGCAGCAACATCTACCTTCCATCGTCTGGACTGAACTTCAACAATGCGCCCCACGACAAGGTCACCTATTTCTGGAGTATAACGAGCGCGAAGCGGTTGTACGGAAAGAAGTTTGTTGGTCTTCTGAACAGTACCGGCGACCGTGGCAATTATGGAGGTCGAAAGGGGATTTATATAGGTACCATGTCCTCTGTATGCCTGTCAGTGTGCCCATGAAGTACAAACAGTAACGCATCTAAAACCCCGTATGGGACCAACCAACCTCATCCATTGTGGATCATCCGTCACAATTTCTCCAGGGGTAACCACTCCTGACGTAATATCTGTTCCTTCCACTAAGCGAGGTCGTTTGCTCGGTCTTGAGGTCCTTCCTGTTGCTAGATCTACTCCTCCGTCCGAGTCCACGGACATGGAATCCACGTCTGAATCCGAGTGGAATATGTCGACATGGTCGACCACCGGGGGAAGAATTGTAATAGCCATATTCTGAAAATTCTCAACTGCCAGATGTCTGGTTGTCAAAACATTTATGAAGTATGGTATATTGTGACATGTTGATATGGAAGGGTTCTAACATATGATGGTGAGAAAGGCTTTCTGTGTAGGAAGCAAACATGACAAACTTGGAGTGGGGACTCGGTATTTATTTTATGCACAAGGGCCTGTAACCATGATGAATCATGGATAGACAGTAAATATCGGGTTCGAAAACCCATCATTCATGTCCAATTTCCTTTACAAAAGGCGACGGGGAATGTAAATATATTAATGTAATATAAAATTACATAAAAACATAGAAAGGAATGACGAAAATTGTAAGAATAAGAATTCAAGAAAAATTGGGGAGCATAAAAAACATGCAATATACACTGTAGAGTTCGAATATGATGCTATCATGTGCTTTATTCAGCGGATTGTGCCTTGGTCCTATACATGGTCTTTATTAGTATAGTATTTGCGATATGGTGTCTCGTTCCGGTCTCGTTCAATTTCAGTTAGGCATCCTTAGCTCAGAAATTCACCCTCAAGAACAAGAAAGTGAGGACGGAAGAAAGAAAATAGCCAAGTCAACTATAAGAACTGAGAGGTAGGACAACGAAAGTTTTTCTCAATAATGGAGATATAAGAAAACAGGTCCAGCCATGGCCCGCAGTTTTGACACAGAACGGATAATCATAACTGGGCTCGGGAAATGTTGAACACCATTTCCGGTATCATTCTGATGGGCTGGTGCTATCCATCTTTGAGGACTTCCTCAGTAACGCCCATACAAATCAATGCAGTGGGAGAAGAAAATACAAAAATTACAAAAGCCAACACTATTAATACATGTATAGGATGAAAGAAGAAAGCTTTCAGGCACCTACCCCCGATGTTCTCTTAGATGAACGCTTGACGACCCCAGAGCTGCCATCGTCTTTCTTTTTCCGACTTGACCGGCTGCTGCTACCACCTTTGGATTTAGAACCAACGTCTTCTTCGCGCTTGCGTTTGCCCTTGGGACCTCCTGTTCCGTGTCCAGTATCCATTAAAACACTGTCGTCATCGTGGGGATCTTCGTCTTTCCGTGACTGGTTGGGTGCTGCTTTCTTGGACGTGCGCAAATTCGATGGTCGAGAAGCTGACTTCTCGGAAGCGTTCTCGTTGTCTTGTAAGAAAATATGTGGTTGGTTCCTTCGTAACCAATTGTAAACCGAGATTGGATTTCGCAATGCAGTCTCTCTTTCACGTTCGACGAAAGAAAGTTTCTCAGGGATGCGACTCAGTTGTACGAGGGCTGATGTATCACCTAATTTGGCGTCGGTAGCTAGGTAATACTCATTTTCGTGTTCAGGTGTGAAGAACCCAAGGCTATGTTCAGAAACAATATTTCCGGATTGGTGTTCTTCTGGTTGAGGAGGCGTATGGGGGATCCTTATCAACGAGGTATACTGCGTGCGTGGCGCAAAGGCTTCGCTCCGTTTCACAGAATTCTCCAAGTCGCAGTAATGCTCAACCGTCATGTCGTTAAGTGTCAGCTCCACTTTAGCATTTCTGAGCATTGAGCTAGCCACAGAAGGATCATTGTGTGAGGGCGATAGTTCTCTTTGAGGAGTTGGGGGGAAGAGATCATCTCCGGGAGCACTCAGATCGTACCGTAGGTCCGGTGAGATATATAGACTGTCGTTAAATTCTAGAAGAGTTTCTAGTAGCTGGCTACACGGTATTATTATATGAGCCATACGTGAAGAAAAGATAGACTGGGGAACGCACTCATTCTGTTCCTGTATTCTCTTTGAGAGATCCTGGATGCGCAACTCCTCCCGGATCAGCGATTCGCTCTCTCTCATTCCGAGCTCAAATTTTACTTTGAGCTTCGCAAACTTCTTTCTGTGGGAGACAGATTAGCATACTGCACTGGATAAAGTCATGAACAGATGTGCCTACTTAAAAGACCGGTATGACTGTTTGGTAGGGGCACCTGCGGGAGCATCGGGGAGGCTTTCGGCCACGGACTGGGCATCATCTGCATCTTGTGACATGGTGTAGCAGAAGTAACGGTGTTGAGTTTGACTTAAGAAGGCAAATACTATCACAAACACGCGAGTATAATAGTGTATTGGAGTTGAGTAAGTTGAACAATTCCAGTAATAACCTTGATCGCGCATTAAGCGGTTATGGGATCTGGCAGTGTTGCCAAGAGTCCCTTGTGGACCAAGTGATCCGGGCGGAACGTTTCTGCCCGCCAAAAGAAGGTAAAAATAAAGTTACTTTCCTCTCGACAATGAGCGTTACTTATTCTCCTACAAAGTACTTTCAGAACATTCATACCAATTGATTGTGCCACAATCTGACTCGGTGCTTGTTCTGTTGCTAATAATTAACGCACTCTTTCTCTCCTCTCCTCTCCTTTCCTTCTTTCATTTGTCGCTTGGGTTTGACAAGCAAAATGTCGGCAGTTACTGAAGCAAACCACAAAAAGCGGAAGTTACCAGAGGTATCCGAGATCGAGATCGATGTCTCTGCTCCTGAACCGCCTTCGAAAAAAGCTTTGCGTAAAGCAAAGAAGAAAGCTGCCGAGTCTCCACCAGAGACTACTACTAGCGAACAGAAGACGGAAGTCGCTGCAGACCATGAAGAAAATTCTAAGAAACGCTCAGACTACGGCATTTGGATTGGAAACCTAGCGTTTTCTGTTGGTAAAGATGACCTACGCAAATTCTTTACAAGCAACTGTTCTTTCACGGAAACTACGATCACTAGAATACATTTACCGAAGGCATCGGAAAAGAATGGTAAAACACAAAATAAAGGATTTGCATATGTTGATTTCTCCAACCAGAAGGCCACTGCTGAGGCATTGGGACTGAGTGAACAACTCCTATCTGGACGCCGTGTGCTTATAAAAGATGCAAAGAACTTTGTCGGTAGACCGGAAAAGTCTCAACAAGAAAATCAGAAGGCTGGCGCTGCTGGGTCGGCCTCTGGTAACCCTCCCTCCAAGCGTATATTCGTCGGCAACCTTGGCTTTGACGCCACAAAAGAGATCATCGAGGAACACTTTGGAAAATGTGGGTCGGTTGCACATGTACAAGTAGCGACATTTCAAGACTCCGGGAAATGCAAGGGCTATGCCTGGGTGACATTCGAAGACCTCACAGCCGCAGAAGCAGCGGTGAGAGGCTTTGTTATGGTTAATGAAGACGAAGAAGATGAGGAAGTACATGGGTCTGACTCCGAAAATAACAAGAAGCCGAAGAAGCCGAAGCAAAGAAGGGTATGGGTAAACCAGATTTTGGGTCGGCGTATGCGGATGGAGTTTGCAGAAGACGCAACAACACGGTACAAGAAACGTTTTGGTAAGGACGGCGAAGGCAAGAAAAATCAAACTACAGATATTAGTGAGACAGAGCCCTTTGAGGACCAGGATGCAACCGGAATACAACCTCAACGATCGCGATCCGCAAGGACTATGCATGGAAAGACGGATTACTCAAGATACGACAAGGAAACCGTGCAAAAGCTTAGTGGTGCCATTGTTGAGTCTCAGGGAAAGAAGACTACGTTCGATTGAAATGGCCAGGATTTTTCTCTTGAAAGAGACGAGAGAATAGTTTGTGGCTAGTAACTAGTAAAGATGTTGTTAGTGCCCAGGAACTCCTCGCTAGGAGAAAAACGAACTACAGGTCCGAGAGTTGTTCATGATCCCAGCTCTTCACATCCCTAAGGATCTGCTATCGTTCGGGAAGACTTGAAGTTTTGCATGGTAACGATCAACAGTTTGCACCTAAGCGGGCGTTTGTTGATCCAGCTGGCGAATAGATCTCCAAATTATTGATACCCAAGGAGCAGCAAACCGTATCTAAACCAAATAGCTGACATAATAAGTTTCTATAATAGTTATATAGATTGGTCTTCTTTCCAATCCTTCTAGAGTAGCTTATTAATACGTATACATCACCAGCCACAACAGCGTCGATAATGGCTGTGTGGGTATTTCAACAAACCCTCGTAGGATTCGCTTTGCTTTTACCTTTTGTTGCTGGTTCAACGGTTTATGTAACTGCCAGTGGTGTATAACTATTGATCTGGTATTCATCAGTAGCGTGGTAGTTCTTCAAAACTATCATACATTGAATTTCTCTACTTCCTTCTAATGTCTCGTAGATCCCTCTTAGTTCTAGAATCGCTGATGTGGTTTGGGGCGCTAACCGGATTGGGAAGGTTTGACATCGACCAGAGATGTCATGGCTCAAGGCTCATGCTCAAAAACCACCAAAGTTGTTGCGTCTTTTAGACTATCCGCCCTTTTCCTACTCCTCGTGCCCTCGCTTCTGAGGTGCATAATTTTTTTTTTAATATTTTCCATCACGCCTTTCCTGCTCTACCCTGTGAAGAAGCATCAAACTTGTTTCCATTCCGTTGTTGTCGTGCACAGTCTGGCCCACCTTTCCCTCCAACGCCGCCGGTCTCGCCGCAATCTATCCCAGGTAGCTGCGACCGTTCCTCGACCCGTTTCCAGCGTTTTACAACGCAGATAATCCTCGGATACAACCATTTAATAGCACTAAGATTTCCTTTCTTTATTTTCCCCCGCTTGCATGGCTTCCCGTCGTCACAATATCGGTGCTAGCCGGCGAAAGAGGAGAGATGAGGAAGGAGAGGATGAAGGCTCTATAGATGGAGAATTGGAGGATGATTCCTTGAGTGATGGGTCTGGTATCAGCAACCCCGATGACGATGATGCCGATGGTGAAGGCAGCGATGACAGCGATGACGATGGGGTATCTACGTACCCGCAGGTGGGTGCCAACGGCCGTCGTCGAGTTAATGGTCGTGTGCCCGAAGCAAACCAAGAGTTGGCACGGCGCCATTCTGCCTCACCTAGGAAACATCCCCTGATGACCGCTGTGTCGGATACGGAGGCCATGATGAATGGACTGAAATTATTGGACGAATCGAGCGACGTGATGGAGGTACACTTTGACGACTTGAAGGGGGAACCCAACCATCAGACCGAAAGAGCACCGTCTGCCCCTCCTACAGAACCAAAGCGAGACAAGTTCTTGGATAGAAAGCGTCGTGAACAAGAAAGACACATAAGGGAAAAGGACGAAAGCCCAGTGTTTGTACCTACCCGAGGTAGCTTCTTTCTACATGACAAGCGTTCTACGGAAACAGTGACAAACGGCCACAAGCCGTTCAACAAATCGAAATCAAGGCCGTATGGCCTCATCGTGGATGGTAATGTTCGCAGGTATGATATGATGCCTTCGGCCGCTCACTTAATTCACCTTGACGGCAACACAGCAGCACTTAAATGGCAACGTATCTGACTGTTTCCAGGACTTCTTCCAAACCAGTTGCCAGCGAGGGACTATGGACACATGATCTTCACGATACAGTCGCTGGGGATGAGCTATCTGTCTCGAAGCCCTCTACCACATCAGCTCTGACATCTATCATACCCCCGAAACCTGTTCCTACGGCCCCTAGATCCTCACCCCCCAACAGGTCTTTTTCAAGCACTACATTAATTGGAAATGTGCCTGTCGTAGTATCCCTACCGGGCATGGAGCGTCCGGTCCCTTATCCTTCTGTTTCAAAGAAGCAGCACACACGTTTACCTCAACATCGACCCCCTCTACGTCGAGACAAGCCCGTTCGAATCTCACTACCAGGCCAACCTCCTAGGTATATACTACCTGCGACAGAGAGATCTTTCATTTTTATTCCACGAGCTTTACGACCTAACCAACAGACATTTCGAGGTCGTGGCCGTGGCGGATTCTACGGAGGACGGCGTCCTAGCCTTTATGCAAACTCTACCTACACATCGAGTATCACCGTGAGTCGAAGATCATCATTCGGAAAGGCGCCATCTCAAGAGGGATATAACTCGCCGGCGGGTTCAGTTCTCTCGAGGCACACTATGGTCACAACAGAGAACGGCAAACCAGTGGTCCGCCTTCCTCCAGCTGGTAGGCCACCTGGCAGCGTTGGAGCGCCGACAACTGCTGGACCAGCAGCTGCTCCGATTACTGTACCGCAACCTCTTCCTCATCCTCAACCACCAAATCCCGTCTTTCGGGAGAGCCGTCCGGCTCCGATACCCATGCATCAGCCTCGTCCGCAAAAGGCAGTCTCCCTCGCCGATATTGAAACGCCGGCGAGATTCCCGTTCAATCCTCCCCAACCACAGCAGGAACAACCATTCCATCATCAGGTCCCTGTGTCTGCAAATGGTTCCGGTTATGGTCCTGATGCCTCTGGTCACCCCCCTCCTCCCGCTCACAGATCCTTAACGCCAACCTCCCACATACAAGATCGTACATTTCATGCGCCGTCTCATATGCCTGCATACCAACAGGCGTTCTGGCCTGCCTCCTATCCTCCAGGCGCTATCTACTATCCTAGCTCGGGAACGGAGTTTCCACCATATAACTCCGCTGTGGGACCAGGGCCATCCGTACCGCCTTTACCTCCTGGACAACAAGCTCCATATATGATTCCCGCTTCCCATGGCTCGACAGAACAACCGTCACTGTCAGGCACCGTTGCACACGAAGCTGGTGGGACAGTATACTTCTACGACACCACGCAAATGCCTCCTAATTCCTCATATGCAATGCCTGCTGCACCTGGGGTTAGTGCAGTTATGGATATGGGCGCGCCTCCAGTTCCATTCTATTATTATCCGTACCCTCAGGGGGGCGTCTATTACCCTGCCCAGTGAAACACACAATGCCCATGCCATTGCGCGGACCTTTTTTCTTCCTTTTTTTTACCCTTTCTTTCGTTTCCTCCGCTTTTTCCCCCTCCATTTTAACACAAAATATCATTCTCGTCTTCGTTCGTATCATCCCGTGTTCAATTTCGTTTGGAATTCTCGCCTTTTCTTTACTTTCCTTCTTTTTCCTCCTTTGTTTTCGCTATCCTTACTTTGTGGCGATGCTAAATGTTTACCATTAAAATCTATGATGACCATTCATATCATTAGTAGCTTTGAACGATGTGCTGTCTGCTGGGGCTTTTTTTTCGCTTTCTTCCTTTCGGATACGGTCTTGTCGGTTATGCTCCTCCCATCCACTCTGTCTTAATCGCCGTTAGATTAGGATTTCATGCATATTTTCAGCGTTTGTTTTTCATCATTGTCTGTTGTCAACGGATCTATGTCGGAAGATGTCTCACGTTTTATAAGGATACCATCATTTTCATCTGAAGGATGATACGACAATGGTTATTTATTTTAGCTGGTGGTTAGCCGTTTGTTCTGCAACGAGCCGACAGATACTTCAGTCGCACCCGTACAGGGATTGATTTTGGAGTGATGTGTGCTATCAAGGCTTTCTGTAGTTTAACGCAACTTCGCATGTCGATCCATAAATATCTCTATCCAATGTAGGCCGGTGCTATTGACGTTTGTACTAAATGTAAGCATGGGTGCAAAGGGAAGAAAGGAGTTGAGGAGGAGGCCAACGGTCAGTACTAGCAGGCAGGAGTAGAAGTAAAACAACGAAGAATAACTACGTAGCTTGAATGGAGCCCTTTAAAGATCACCCATTCTATTGGCAGCAAGCCGATCTGTGTAAGGAAGATGTAGTGACATGTACATACCGTACCTCCACAGGGTAGTAAAGCTAGGCATGTATGTCTACAGGGTAGGTGACGTAGTAGTTGGTATATTACATACACACTCCGTAGTACTAACTACTACTAGTAGTTAATGGAAGTGCCAAAGATTAACTAACTGAGGTTCTCAGCAGCCATCAGCCAACCACCAACGGGGATGCCCCGGAAGCCTACTGGTACGAAGTAGGCTTCACCGCCCCCCGCCGAATGCAGCAAAGCAGATGACCACCTACCCCCGTCAAGGCGTCGCCCTTTAATCCATCGATTCCTCTCCTCTTCTTCCCTTACTTTACCTACCTTACTTCACTTCCAACAAATTTATTTTCATCATCATCATCATCATCATCATCATCACTTTCTTCCACCTCCATCCCACAATCATCCCTCTCCTATTCAACCAACGCCATCCAGGTAGCTCGATACTTATCACTGATCTATCCTTTCTCATCACTAGCGTGCCCGCTTCCTTATCTCTAGGGGCATGTTTGGCATCTCAAGTGATTTCATCGTCTAGGGAAACTTGAAAGCATCATGTCGACCTCTACGTCCCAGGCTACTTCCGTCAACCCGAATACCTTAATCACGGTGAAGGTGCTTTACAATGACAATACTCGTCGCTTCAAAATCCCTCTAAAAGAGCTTGAAGCTCGTGTTCTCCCCCAAAAGGTGCGTCTCCACCCTAGCTCCGACCGGAGCTTACAGTCTTCCCCTGTATGCTGTAGATCTTCTTTACTTCTTGGAAATTTCCACTTTTAAAGGCTTCCCTCATAGGGGTTTAACCTCTCTGGAAATCAAAAGAAATAATTAAAAGATGTTTCCCACCCCGAGTTGCTAAATCTTCCAGCCTCATTACTGATGTGCTTCTCGTATGTAGCTCCGCCAGCTTCTTGGCATCCCGAGAGATGTTAACGTCACTCTTGAACGCTTGTCTGATAGTGCCGGTTGTTATATCCTCCTGGACAGCGAAAACATTGCTGTCTACAAACAACTCTACCGTGCTGCAAAAGCCAAACTGAAACTGCGAATTAAAGTTACGGAGGTTGACACTACTACCTCTCAATCACCATTACCCGCAGAAGATTCCTCTGAGCTCCAGGATCAGGTGAGATACAGCTACCTTCAAACAGTATTAAGCTCTCCGCTCCCTGAAGGCTCGGCTAAAGCTGTTGCTGAATCGCCACATGATGCTGCGAAGCCCACCGAAACTGAGCCCAGGGCCATGCAATGGTCTAATACAGGTGTCGTAGCTCCCGAACCACAATACCAAGACTTCAGCTTGGGCCAGGATAACCCCAGCACCCCCGTGGTCTCGCATAAATCTCCCACAGGTGTCTTTTGCATTGACTGCAATCATTGTGGTCTATCTATTCCCAATGAGCACTACCACTGCAGTATCTGTGATGATGGTGATTATGACCTATGTCTCCATTGTGTAGACTCGGGTGTTACCTGTCCAAATGAGGATCACTGGTTAATTAGACGCATCGTTAAAGATGGCATTGTCACCAACAGCACCACAGAAACTGTTGCTCCTCGAAAGCTCCAGACTGATGGTCCCGAGGAATCACTCGAGAAGGTCGAACAGAAATCAGAGTTTGTCCCAGAATCCATCTCTGAAGACACTCCAAAGACTTCACCGGTTGTTGTCGAAGTCCCTGTCCACTCCGAAGCCCGTATTTGCAATGCTTGTCTCAAGGGTATGTTTCTTTCTCTTTTTCTTATCCCCCTCCCCTCTATGTAGCGGCTCCTAAGGCATATTATCCATATACTAATTCGAGACAGAGTTTAACGAAACTAAAATGGTCACTTGCCTTCAGTGCAGGGACTATGATCTTTGTATCACATGCCTTCTGAAGGATGCCCATGGTCATCACCCAGCTCACAACTTTTCTCTTCTTCATGACGGGCCCTTCTGTCTGAAGAATTTGGTTTTGTCGCGCTGCAAACCTGGACGTCGCTATCAACATGCCGCCATCTGTGATGGCTGCGAGAAGGTGGGTCATGTGACTTGTACATTCATGACTGTAAACTAACACATCTTTAGAATGTCGTCGGTGTGCGCCATAAGTGCCTCACCTGTCCTGATTGGGATTATTGCTCTGAATGTTTTTCAAATGCGCCAGAGACTCATCCCGGTCATCGATTCGCTCCACTTTATGAGGCCATATCTGAACCATATCAAGCTCATGAAGTCCACTACGGTATCTTCTGTGATGGGCCCCTTTGCAAGAACAAGGTAGTCCCTGGATATATAACTGGGGTCCGTTTCAAATGCTCTGTGTGCTACGATCTCGATTTCTGCGCCAGTTGTGAGGCGCTTCCGACCAATACGCATAACCGAACTCACCCAATGGTCATGCTCAAGACTCCTGTTCGCAATGTTACTATCAGTACAGTCCAGGAGGATAGATTCGGAGGATCCACAGTTGCCCTTGGCGATCATGCTCAAAGATCCCCATCGACCCAAGCCGTCAACTCGGTGGAACCCGAACGGTGTATCCCTGATGTGCCCGTTAAAGAAGAGTCTGGGTTATCACAAGACAGCGGGTCCGTGAAGCAGGAGCGTCCACTTTCAAAAGAGCAGCCAACCAAAGCTGAGAACTCCACTAATAATGCAGCTTCCGGATACGACGCTCTATTCGTGCGTGACACTGTACCTGACAGCACCATTATGTCGCCTAACCAGGTGTTCCGTCAGACCTGGACTCTCTACAACCCCGGCCCGCTTGCGTGGCCTGCTGGAAGTGACGTGCGCTTTGTTGGTGGTGATTCAATGTTCAATGTCGATACCAACCACCCTTTGAGTCTAGACTCTATCTCTGCTGCTATGGAAAGCAACAAGTTGTCAGAGCCGCTAGAGTCCGGCCAGAGTACCGATTTCACTGTAACGCTTAAAGCTCCCAGCCGAGTAGGTACTGCCATCTCGTACTGGCGACTGAAGCTCCCAAATGGCATGCCTTTCGGTCATAGACTGTGGTGTGAAATCCAAGTACGGGAAAATGCACCCTCTATCAAATGCCCATCTGGCTTGGAGCCAGAGGGAGAGCACGACTCAGAACATACAGAAAGTCAAATGATCTTCCCCAAACTGGAGAAGGAGTCTCCTGACGCAAGTGCCCATGAAGGGGATATTGTTGCACCAGTGGCTCCCTCCGTGTCCAACCCGTCTGAGCAAGATGTCTTGGAAGATGTGGAGAGTCTGTCGTTGGGGGATCATGAAACGGAGAACGGGTTCTTAACGGATGAAGAGTATGACATTTTGGATGCCAGTGACCAGGAATATATGGATGTCAAGTCGCGTGAGTGATTCTGTTAGGCCTTGCTATCGGTGGCTACCATGAAGGTCATGCACTGATCTCGACGGATCTTGTCCTATGAAAGGAGTTGGTCAGGTAAGGATGAAAACAATTTGCAGTGTGTTTGGCAAAAAGAAAATCTGAAAGCCAGTTTGGGATTATCATTTTTTTTTTCTTTCTTCATCCATTGTCTAATTTGATTTTGCATGCGGCTATTCAAAGGATAATAATACTGGATCTCCTCTAAGAAGCTGTTCTGGGACTGCCTAACATGGAGGTCGGAATGACAAACAGAAAAAATGAATTAAGTTTTCTCGGTAGACCATTCTCTCTCTCTCTCTCTCTCTCTCTCCCTCCCCCTCTCCTCACCAACCGTGACGATTCCTTTCTTTTTTTGTTTTCTCCACCCTGTTCCTCAACTACTGTGTTCCACATTCCGAGGTTCTTTTTCGGCTCAAAGTAACAACGTCCTGTTGATTTGTCAGTCATCTCAGTTACGCTCCACTCCCGTCTTTGGCTGTACTCCGGAGTATGGACAGTAGCAGGTATGCACACCGTACATTGTTGTTGATCCCTTGGAGGGGCCGGTAATCCATATAAATGCTCGCCATCCCTCCGATACTCAATGGACGTGTTCATCGAAGAATCGCACCTGCCGAGTAGTATCTTCCGCTCCTTCCAACCATAAGCTATATATTTAGATGATCTACCACTATTGCCGCCTTTCTGTTCCTCTACTGACATCTCATCCTTGGTGCTGTTCAGATAAACCCCCAAGTGGTACCGCTCACAGACGACAGAGGAACGTGTACCACCGCCATGGGGAGTTTACTCAATCTTGCTATCCTCACCATTTTGGTGGCGACGTTCTACGGCCCTGTATACCGGCAGCTGACTGTGTTGGGAGTGCTCCGGAAAGCCACGGACGAGGTAAGATTAGCGGAGCAACAGGCCTTCTACAGAATTGAAGACACGGTGCAATGTGAAGATCTACATTACTACACGCCTTCCCAAAAGATTTTCACTGCCTGTGAAGACTCCGTACTGCCCCGATTCAAGTGGTTTCCTCCCTTAGGGAATTTCGAAGGGCCGGTGGATTCGACTGGGTCCATCCATGTCATTGATCCTAGGGTGAGCTTGTCCGTATCTTTCGCTCTCAAGGTGTGGAACTGAAGCGAGTATACCCTGTCTAGACCATGAAGTCGACACGTCTAGCCTTTGAAAACTTCGCCGGTCCCTTAATCACGCATGGGATAGAAGTTCTGAAAGACCCGGACAGTTCCGATGCCGTCTATATCTTTGTTGTGAACCATTTGTCAAACATGGCGCATTACCATTCTGGTCCACATTCCCAGGAAATTCCGAAGGCGCGCTCGCAGGTTGAGCTCTTTCATCATGTTCTTGGAACTAACACGGTCCGGCATGTGCGCTCCATCAGGCATTCGTTGATCGTTACCCCGAATGACATTATTGCTGAGAGTCCTCGCTCCTTTTATGTTACTAATGACCACTTCTACCGTGAGGGCTTCAAGCGTCAAATCGAGGATCTCTTCCCTGCAGCCAAGTGGTCTAGCATTGTGCATATTCAACTGGACAGCCTTGAATCAGAGCAGGCAGAAAGCGGCGTCGATGCTAAAGTGGCGTTGACTGGATTACAAAACAACAACGGGCTTGGGCATGGCCAATCGGAGGGGGAACTGCTCATCTCTAATGCCATCGGCGGTATAATGTATCGTGGCCGGACAAATCCTGAAACCCGCAATATCTCTATCGTGGACGAGGTTCATTTCGATAGTTCTATCGACAACCCGAGCTATTATGCGGACCCATACCGGACTTTCTCTGATGATGCCAGTGGCTACGTGCTCGCAGGACTACTGCGACCCATCGACCTAGCTAAGAATCATGCCGATCCAAATGGTAAGGACGGTGTTATGGTGTGGTATACACGTCCCAAAACCACAAAGGAAGATGGGAGTGCTGTAGAATGGGAGACTCGCTTGATATTTGAAGATGACGGAACGAACATTAGGTCGAGTAGCACAGCATTGTTAGTCCCCATTGAGCCGAAGCCCCAAGAGAAGAAGAAAGCGTGGCTGTTCGTAACCGGGTTTGTCTCAGAAAGTGTTATTGCTGTTGAAGTCTTGCTGTAATGCTCCAAGGGCGAGTGCCCTGTGATGACGAACGGGTTACGGGGAATGTCCACTAAATCAAACCATATGGATTTCAGAGCCGTGGGGACACGAAAGCAGATTGATTAATGGAACATGACTTAGAGGATAAATGGCTAGCTAGGAAGATACTTCAAAGGTGCAACACCATTGTTCGAAGTTGATTCAATTCATTTGCTTCAAAGCTTTCATAACATCCTCTGTCTTCATTACGTCGGCGAACTCGCCTTCTAGGCTCGCCACTGAGACGGCATGGACCGTCTCAGCATCGAAGCCCCCCTTGGCCCAAGTTGCCGTAGCATCAGCAACAAGTACGATGCGCCCCCGATCCACGCGGGCCTGGCTATGCATGCCATCTTCTGGGCTAAGTGTCAGGGGCCCGTCGGGATACCGGTCCACGACCCCTAAGTTCGCTGCCATGCGTACCGTGGTCGATACACAATGGTCCGTTGTAAGGCCGGCAAAGAGAACCTGCCGAATCCCTCGGGTACGAAGATGCACTTCCAGGTCAGTCCCTATAAAGCTTGAATTGACACACTTCCACATAATCACTTCAGATCCGTCCGACGCCGGCTGGGCGACATCGAGCGGCTGGATACCGTTTCCGGGGTCATCGCGGTGGAGAGGGGAATTTGGTGTAGTCGATGAATGGAAGACGTGAATGATTTCCTTGGCGTTCCCCCCTCCAGTTTTGTTCTTAATGGCGGCTCGGAAGGCCTGGATGAGAGAGAGGATGTTGTCCTCGTAGGACGGATTGGAGCGGGAGGTCCCCCAGTAAGTTGGGTGGGTGAAGGCAGCTTGGTTGTCGATGAGCACCAGCGCTGTGGGGAGACTCAAGTCAAGAGACATTGTTTATATTTGTGTATATGTATGCACATACATACAAATTGTATGATCCCGGAGTGTTGGAAAGGTGAGATAAATCAATCAATTATAGATAGTTAATAGATCATGGAGAGTGAGTCATTGCTGCCACCTTTGCCATGACTAATATCACGATTACATCGAATTCCAAGATCAAGCATGTTGCGTCGAAAGTCGATGACAACATAGTACTATAAGTAGCATGACGGCCTGCCTCGGCGCCTGAAGAGCCTGCCTTCTATCCTTAATGCCCTAGGCACCAAACACGCCGTGGGTTGTTTGTCTCTCTTGGTATCACATCAACCGTCGACGAGCAATCAATTCCTTCTCCCCTTCAACCCCCTCCCCCCTTTGCATGCGCTGGGAGAATGTCATCCTCTCTCGGTGCCCAGAAGGCCCTCGTCACCCGGTCTCTTCCGTTGTTCTCTACCCCCTTTTCAGCTCTTCCACAGCATCAACTTCGGCGGCGCGATATCTACCTCACTTCCCGTGGCCACGCTTCATCTTCCAAAACTCATACTCGTCCCTCATCCTCCGCCCAGCCAGCCACGTCCAGAGTCCCTTCTACATCTTCAACTGCAACCACATCTCTAGCCAACGATGTCAATCCGCCACCCAGCACTCGCCCGGCCGATCTCGACCTTCCAGACCCGGTTTCACGCTCCGCCGCAACAGCTGATAAGCTAAAACGTTATATCGCAATGGGTCGCGCATATCTTTCTTTCTACAAAACCGGCCTCAAGAATGTTTACCATAACTATCGCGCCTCATTGCCTATCCGTCGCTCGCTCGGTCTTCCCGCTTACCTCCCTATCTCTCCTCCGCCTGCTCCGCCGTCGTCCAGTTCTCAGAGCAAGAAGAGCGCTGCATTCCGCAAAGCAATCGAGTCTGTTCAACTCAGCCGCTCAAGCTTCCAATTGGTTCGTCGCGCTGCCTACGATGTCCGGCGCATGATCCCTTTCACTCTCATTCTCATCGTGTGCGGGGAGATGACACCCTTGGCTGTCCTAGCCTTCGGGAATGCCGTCACGCCGTTCACCTGTCGTGTCCCTCGCCAACTTGAGAAGGACCGCGTGCAGCGGGTGGCCCGGAAACGCGCCGCCTTGGTCGCGCAGCAGGCAGCCACAAGTGGATCCGTTACGCCGCCTGCCGCGGGATCAGATCTAGAGCTGGATATTCTGATCAAGATGTATACGAATCTGGAATGGATCGAGAGTGCGAGTGCCGAGGAAGTCCTGCGCGCATGTGCGGTGCTGAATCTGGTGAAGACACATACGCGACCTTCCGGGTTGGTGTCGCTGTATCGGGCGAGGCTCCGGCGGTATGCAGAGTACCTGTCTTTGGATGATCAGTTGATTAGACGCTGTGGGGGTGTTCGAGCGATGGAAGGCGTAGAGGTCAGGATTGCAGTGGAGGAGCGCGGTGGTGTTGGTGTGACGCAGGGTAAAGAGGGCTGGGATGCGGAGAGGGAGGAGAGACGCTGGCTAGAGAAATGGCTAGAGAGGAGGTAGGTTGATTCATTCAACGTATTATACTGTAGATTCAATCTGTCTCTGTAAACTAGTGGGTCTGTTTTATAAATACCGATACAAATATTTAGACATAACCTGTCTCGTTTACCCTCAACGATGGGTTACTTATCAAATTATAATCTAGACTCTCGACATGCATTGAACGATCACCATAGCAAGCCTAAGTACTGTTGAAAGGAGAGAGAAAATGGTGTTACTATAAAACATGCCATTGATTGATGTTCACCCAGACCCCTACATAACGCTTATATACCGCCACAGATATCGTGTACCCTCATGCAAAGGATTGAAAAATGGTATCGTGCGCTAATATCCCGATATTAGAACAAACCGTAATAAGAATAATCGTAGGAATAGCAGCCGTGGCTTCTTGGTTTTTTTTCTTCTTCCTTCAGTAAGCATTGGGCCTTCCTGCCACCTGTGCTGCGTTACGGACTTGCTTAGCCCAGCGTAATCCGCAACTGTTGCAGAGGTCACGCTCCCCACTAGGCCCCCGGCGCCATTCGGGTGTTTTTTTGGTCTGGCACATAGCACAACTTTTCTCTACCGATGCGGTGCTCTGCTTGCGCTTTCGCTTCTTTCTGCGGGTAAGCAATTTCTGCAGCTCATCGGACAGCGTTCGGTTCTGCTTTTCCAATTCCCGAAGTTCAACCTGCCAGCTTGAACCCCTTGTTGGCACCAGCTCTGTGAAAAATGGAAGCTCTTGGACCTGGGGGTTGGCTTGTTTACTGGCAGCCGAAAGGTTTTGCCCCGCTATGTCAGAAACACCTGAAACTGATTGCCGATGAACATTAAAATCACCCAAGTTTCTGTTGGGCGGGGGCGCCGAATTCGACTCATCATTGCCTCCCTGCGGGGGTTTTGGGAAACTAATGTGGGCCACAAGGAACGAGGGTCTAATGCCTTCCTTGGTATCTCCTGGGTATAGGGTGGTCTGCGCGGGCAGCATATGACCCTTCTTGTGACGGATTTTATGGCTGAAAGTGGCCCGTTGGCCCGTACGAGCCACTCCCAGAGCCTTCTGGGCCTCCACCCGCAAATCCATCAGATCCTGCAAACTCTTGCCAATCAGCTCATCAGGCGTACGACCCAGTACTGGGCGCGCCTTAGAGGTCATGAATAGAACAATCCCGGACTTTGACAACTTAGCCCACACATCAGTTTCGGCCAAACTACCTTGTCCTATGCTCGCAATATGGTCGAGACAGTATACGAGGCGAGGCCGTCCGACAAGGACCATGAACTGCCGCCCCCGTTCTCCCATGCGCCATGAACCATGGCTCTCAAGCCAAATATATCCGCTGCGTTTCTTCCGTATTCTAAACATGACACTAACCGGGTCAGTGGTGGTGCAGGCCCGTAGGTCGCGGATGACTGGTCCAATATCACTAGGATGGCAGACCGTCGACAGCGTCTTGCCCACAAGTTCAATCGGCTCGTACTCTAGTACTTTTCGGCAAGATGGGGACACGTAGAGAAATTCGCCTTCGAGCGATAAAGCATGTATTATGTCATCTGTGTTCTCAACTAGTACGCGATCCAGGTAGCTTCTATAGGTTAACGTTGAATTATTGAGACTCTTCAGAATGGTTGACACTTGGTCGGTCCTGAACCAAGTGACTAAATCGGGGTGCGATCGATATATATCAGGAGGTGGTACGACATAATTTGGCAGCCGGTTCCGTTGGTAGTTGATCGTGTAAGTACCATCTGTATAGCTTTGTCAGTTTGATATGTTGGACACCATCAGGCTTGGGTCCTACTCGGATTTCTCCTCGTGACGGCATCGGGCGTCTCAACAAGATCAACCTGAAACCCCACGTAGAAGCGATAGTCCTGGGAGCTCCAGCGAATTGGAATCATTGTTATTAGGTTCATAAATGGCTGTCCACCCTTCCGGTAGTTGATGAGACTGGCTTGGATCTCCGTTCGGTCCTCGATTGTGGACCGCAAACGCGAGGTGGTTTGGTCATCGACAAAAGTTCGTTTCATGCCTTTTTGGACAACGCCCTCTGGCCCTTGAAGAAAACGGCAGTTTTGGCCCACGATCTCCTGTTCCATATAGCCTGTAAGTCGTTCAAATGCTTCAGAGACATAGATGATCGGGTGATCATTTTGAGTTATATCGCAAAGTACAAACGCGCACGACAAATCAACCGCGCCGATATTGATTTTAGGATTCGGCCTCGACACTACTTCGGCCTACAAAGAAGACCAAGGGGTGAAAGTCAGACGCTCCAACATTCTATGACGCTTGGCTTCAGGATTCAAGCGGTAAACCTACCAAGACGCCCATAATATCGAAGCCACTACTTGAATAGATGCTGGCATATTGTGAAGTCTCATCAGCCGCCGACTTGGGATGAGGTGGTAAAGGAGCTTTCAGACGTTATCCCTCATTAGTCATATTTCAACGTACGCGGACAGAAGGGACCCATTTGCGTAGGAGTAAACCTACCCTTCGTTGGGGGTGGCCTTTTAGGTTGAATGAAACGATGAGAGGACGCGGGACCCGACGACTGAAACCCTCGGTTTCGCCTACGTTGTGATGCCTGACCTGCGGGCTGGGGGATATTAGTAGAGGGTTGTTCGTTAAGCGTTCCCGTTGGCTGTGCAGGAGTGGTCAGTTCTGCATGGGTGGGTGGAGCCTGATATGTATTCAAAATGGGTCCGTGTGTCTGCATAGTAGAGTAAGCCACCGAGTGGTTCAAATTCATGGGCTGCGATGGTAAGCAAGTGTTGTGAAAAGATAGTGACTGTTGTCCCTGGAAGTTTTCTAGCGGCATGGTTGGGAACGGGGCTTGGAAGGCATTGTAAGCAAACGGATCGCCTGTATTTATAGCCGTAGCTGCTGGACCTCCAAGAGTAGAAAGTGGATCATATAGAAGCATAGCATTAGACGTTCTGTTTCCGAGGTTCTCAGTGGGCATGGGATGCTCCGGTAGATTCAGGGACAGCCCAGCCGTGTGTGACGGGAAGACGAACAAGGCACTATTAGCAACTAGGTCTGGTATCTGTGATTGATAGGCAAAACTAGCTGCGTGCATCTGCTCCGGCGTTGTGAAGGGCATCGTCGCCTGAGCATAGTGATCACTAGATGATGGAGGATAATCAACTCGACGGTCGGATGCAGGTACTGTATACTGCGCATCATAGTAGCCGTCACTGAACCCTTCCATGCTGTGGCTAATATCCTTGAAGACAGTGCCCGATCGATTCGATTCGACAGTTTAAGCCAATGAGCACAGCGCATCGACGGAGGCTGGTCGATGCGTTAAGAGATGAAGGCCACCGCACGCACTCTGACGTCTATATAGAGCCCAGATAATTAAGAATCCCGATGTGCAAGCACCAGTGTCAAAGTTTTTTTTAGAGAAAAGGGAGAGGAGGAAGATTGAAAGATGGAATGAGTCCGAACGAATTTCGCACGCTTAATATGAGACAATTTAATGATGATATATTACACTAACAGGGGGTGGAGGCAAAAGCAACGAGAGACCCAAAGGATTGATTTGGCATCAGGCAGTGACCTATGTCAGAAGCTAAAGGCCCAGTAATGGCAATAGGAAGTGAAATTAATCATATACGACGACTGTTGACAGGGACGGTTTTCTTCGACCGTCGATGTCGACATGCAAGTGCGGGCCGTAGCAAGCGGGATCTTACCAATAGGAGGGGCTTGTTGAGCCAGCAACAAAAGTGATGTGTCAAAAAAAAATTAAAATATATATAAAAAAAATAAAAGATCGAAGACCGCCCCAGCAGCCTTTTGTGATGGATCACTTGGGAAGATGGAGAAAGAGAATGGGAGGAGAGAGTGTGTGTGAGTGGAAAAAAAAAAATGGAGATCAAGATAGTAGAAAGAAGGATATTTATTGAGAGAGTTAAACCAGGTTCATTTGATATATATGTATATTATACATGTGTATATAGATAAGAGGAAGAAGAAAGAGGAAGGGCAGGAAAATTAATACGATAAATACACACAGTCAGTATAAGGTACAAGACCAGCTCACGTGATTAGGAGTATTTTCTCGTTTGAGAATATCTTTCAGAGACCTGGTAAGTTGGAGTCTTAAGATTCTTCTGCTCTGTTAACTCAAAGTCAATCAAATTATGTCGTACTAGTACCAATGACCGGGTCACTGTTAAATGTCAATCCACTCAGTGCATGTTATTGTAACTGGGGACAATTCACAACAGTCTCAAATTCAGCATCATTATTGGCTCCTTTCGAAAAATCAGTTGTCACAGTCCAAATCCTCCCCGTGTGTTTTGTGGATATCAACTATCCAGGTACTTGCCTCATACTTTCTTGATATACTACTTACTCTCCGTTGAACCTAATTCCACTAAATAACGTGTACTATACCGGCATTGCATTGATATCAAACTTTATTAATAAACTATAGTCCACCTTAACTCTTGCCCCTTGAAACATCGTGCACTTACACCCGATTACTATTCCTTTCTTCGTCTCTTACTTTTAGTGTGTACATCATATTCTCCAAGTTCATCATTAATGATGTTGTCATTCGTTTAGAATTAGTTCAACCGCTTATCTTGGGCCCATTCAGTTGGATCGACACAGCTCATTTGCTCCCCCCTTTCTCTCTCGCTTTTTCTTTTCTTTCTTTTACTCCCAATGCCCCTCTCCTGACCGAGAATCAACATCGACGAATCTTTCATTAACCCTGTCTCACACCTTTATCAGCACAACTCGTCTTCCCCAATATCTCAATTCCTCGACCGATTGGGCTTATTGTTTTACACCTACTCTTGGCCAATACCGCTCGCCACGCAGATTGACCCACTGTCGCAACCCGAGAGATGGCGGACGCGCCAAACAAAATCACCATCACTATATGTGGAGATGGCGGATGTGGTATGTTGTGCAATATATGACACTTCCTTTTTCTTGCCTTCTGAAACTCTCCGCACCGGAGATTGAGATCCGCCACATGCTCACAACCGGAATACGTTGGATATTGTTTGTCGTCTTGCGCCATGAAGCCTAGACTGATCTAGTACGCTACATAGGAAAGTCGTCCATCACTCTTCGATTAGTACGCAGCCAATGGACTCACGAGTAAGTCTCTGCTTGACCAGCCTTCCTACATCGGACAGTTTAGTACAACAAATGAGTGCCTTGATCAACCGGACTGACCTCGTGCAAACATGTCTAGGTACGATCCTACTATCGGTAATCCACCACCCTTATCCGCCTATCCTTGATTCGACAACATGGCCCTTCTAACATCGAAATTGTTTGTTGGAAACTGTAGAAGACTCATATTCGGTGACACGGACGGTCGATGGTGTTCCCTACTTCTTAGCGATTACCGATACCGCTGGTCAAGAAGAATATCGCGGACTATGGGCGGCATCTAACCTAAAATCAGACGCTTTCCTTCTCGTCTACGATATCACCAATGCTTCTAGTTTAAGCGCGCTGGATTATTTTATGGAGATGATCGATATCGAGGCTGAACAACGGTTAGAAGACAACCAGCGCTTGCTGAAGGAATTAGGAGACAGCGCACAGGGCTTAGAAGTGGGAATGCCTCCCCCTGTCAAGATTATCGCAGGAAACAAGTGCGACCTTAAAGAAGGACGGGTTGTCGGTGCCAAAGAAGGTCTGGAATATGCTCGGAAACATGGCTGTAGTTTCATGGAAACAAGTGCAAGAGAGATGGTGAATATCGAGGAAACATTTGCCCGTACACTTCATCCCTTCCCAAAGTATTTCTGTGTAGGGCCTAATATTCTTATAGTTTTAGTGCGTCGTGTGGTGGAGGCCCGTCAACAGCATTACCAGAAAGACATACAAGCCACCCATTTACCACAAACTTCAGCGTCTTCACCTACGAAAAGTTCCGCCGCTGCTGGTCAAAATAAAAGCTCTGCTTTGAAGTCATCTAACGAGGAAGGCTCACGTCTTCGATCTTTCTGCTGTGGAATATCCCGTGGAAAGGAACGATCAAGTCAGGGCCAGCAACAAACAAATGGGAACAGGGACTTGGTATCGGGACACGAGGCATCATCAAAATCGGCCACGCCGCGCCTGTGGAGGCGTTTGAGTTGCTGGTGAACTCACAGAATGCGCTAGTACACGAGCCTATCCTCCTTTTCGCTCCTTATTATTATTATTGTGGGTGTACTTTCTTTGCACATGTTCTTCTATCGTCATATACCCCTTCATCTTCGTCAGCTTGCCACATTGTTAGTTTACTGCTTCTGGCACAGTTCTGTACAGCTTTCAAAATGTATATTATAATTTTTTCTTCTTCTCCCTTTTCTTTCCTTCTATACCTCGTTATTCCATTCCTCTACCTAGCTGAAGCTTCTTGGAGCCAAGGGTAACAAGATATTGAGGCGAAAGATTAAAACGGAAGTGGGGAGCAATGTTTAGGAATGGCGCACGCTGGGGTCATGCGAGCTTTCAACTTGGCATACAGAAAACCAAGGAACAATACCACCTTTGCACAACCCTAACACACTCGTTAGTTAACATACATCTCAGGTGAATCCAGCCAGCCAGAACATATTCTGATGAGCGACAGGAGGAGCCATTCGGTTAAGTGGTGGGCCACTTGAAGACCGCCAAATGACGCCCAACATGCCATCGTTACAGGGCCAATGTAGATTGCTCCATTAAGATTCACTGTATAGACCTTTGACTGTCTCGAGCCAAGGTAAACCTGTGAACTTGGGCTCAATACAACATGACCCAACGAATCAGGTGTCTTATTCTAAAAGTCCTTGGGTCATTGACCGTAAGGCCAAAGTCTATCTTTGATAGGATCAAAACAATGGCGCAAGGATGAAGTCAAATCTGAGATTTTTCGAGGCCGATCGCCGAGAAAACGGCGATTGAAAACGGCGATTGACATAACGTGATACAGACATTATTATCTAACTATCTTGAATGTGGTAAAATCTCCCCCCGTTCATTTTTATTTTTTATTTTTGTGGTTTATTAATTCCTCTCTTTTTGCTTTTCTTTTTTCGGTCTAGTTGTCACCAGCGCCTTTCACACTTTGGTCAAGATGACATGGACCCAACCCAAAGGGAAAGGGTGAGTCTGCGAATCATCATCTCTAAATTTCTGTGTTCATGGGTTCTCACATCGTGTACTAACGTCATTGACTATTAGTGGAACAACTAGTAAATAGAGATACGGCACCACGATCCGTTAGCATGTTCTTTCTATACATGATCTAGGTGGATAGCATAGTGGGATCGCTAGTTAATGAATGGGGTTAAAAAAATTAAAAGAAAGAGAGGAAAAATCACGATATTAAATAATGATACAATTTGTTTGATTTTTAATTTGATTTGGTTTAAATATTATTATTATTATTATTTTTATTTTTTTTAAAAAAAACAAAGAAAAAAAAAGCTGAAATCAAACAGAAGTGGAAAATACCTCATTCAACCTTAGGTGATCTGTGCTAGACCAACTATTTCTCCCGATGGAGCTATCTATGCAGTGTGCGACAAGTGGCAATGATCGTTTGGGGGCCCGTCTTCTGTTAAGCTTTTAGGAGAATCATCCGAGTTTCCAGGGTTGGGCTCGTGATCATAGACGGGCACTAAATGGCCGGAGGGAGAACATTCGATGCATGGGTTCCAAATGTACTCCGTACACTCTAAGACAAAAATGACCAAATCCTCCGGTTTGAACTATTCGGCATGCGTTTGCCGAGAGAAGGTGGAAACAGTAATCAAAGAGAAACTTCTCCTGTTGTGCCGTAATGCCGCTTAATGCAAAGGGCGGAGGTCATAGTACCAGTAGTACAGAGTACAGTATTCTCGAAGGGTTTATGTATGGTATTGTAAGGATACCGATATGTCTCCGTGTGGGGGGTGTATCCCATGAAATCAAGAGGTGTAAAATCTGGAAGACAATCGTCAGAATGTCACCAATCCCTGAGGACCCTAACCTGCTCCAACAGGTTCTAACAATTAAAGTCTGCTACAGACAACACTACTATCGAAACCCGACGGAGAATGGAGATCTAAATGCTACTCGGATATACGGAGTCTGGTTAAGAATACAGTCCGAACTTACAAGAACTGAACCTTGGCATATTTGGAGCAGAAGAGGATAAAAAGAAGAAAAAAGAATTTTTTTTTCTATGTTGATGTAATCAACACTTGAGGGTTATTGCTTATTTAGGAAATTCAAAACATGAGCTAGGGAAGATGGCACCTCCGAGGTCCGAGCCAAGGCCTCCGACCCCGAGTACAAGACCTCCCGCTTTACCCGCACTTCCGCGCTCCGAAGGTAAGGTAAATCGTATCCGGTTTAGTCAACTGTTGCTATGTACAGTAAGATACTAGGTACTGACAGTACAGCTGGTAATGTATTAGATATCACTCAATATTTACAATACAGAAAGATATGTTTCTCAACCTGTTCAAAGATGTTACTCTTCCTCTTGGAAATATGCTGTTGTTCAAAAAGCTACTGTAGTTGAAATATCCCAATATATAATCCAGCTCGTATAAATGAACAGTTTATTTGCTGTTTGACCAAAAGAAACCGTGGGAGGCTAGGTATGGACTGTACTGTAAATTACAAAGCTCCACCGCATAACCTACTACTGAACTAGGACGAGACCAATGATCGCCTACCCATCCCATACTTTGCTCTGCCTGGAGTGCGTCAATAAGACGGAGTACATACGTTCCTTCGTCAGGCTTTAATAATATTAATTCGAAGTAAGAACTAGATCCATTACAAGTAAATAAGGAATTAATTTTTTTTTTTAAAAAAAAAAAATAAATAAATCAAAAAAATCATAAATAGAAAACCTGAGTAATCACCCAGTAATATTACCCATCGCTCATAGCCATCATCATCCATCAATCTACTCCGGACTACAGATTAGTTAAAAGCAAGTTCAAACCCTCCAGAACCCATACTTCCTTCGGTTTCTGGACAGTCTTATATCAGCGGCTACCATATAACTCTCACATACCTCCCCCATAGTCATTGCAACCTTCGCCGTTCCACTTCTCGGTTGCAACCATTCTGGCCATTACTCATTACCTCGTCTTCCCATGCTACTGACGCCTCGCATTGGTCCTTGATTTTGTCCACCCGTTGGCCTTTGCAAACCTTCTGCCTCCTTCTCCCCGACATCGTTATATCATCGACCAACCTTAACGCATTGTCGATCCCTCGACTACTACTATTGCAACACCCCAGAACGCGAATGAAGAATAACTGGAAGAATCTCACGTACAAACCCGACTTCTAATTTCCAGTAGTCATAAGATTATACTTTTTCTTCTTTTGCTTACAATTACCCTTTTTTATTTTATTATTATTGCTATTGTTATTCTTATTCTTATCGTCTCCATCCCTCTAGCCCTCCTCTTGGTCTTCTACTTTGTACTTTCCGTCCTCCGCCCATATCTATACAGCTATACTACACAATGACAGCACGCCAATCATCACCTACATCAGACAACTCTCATTCGGACAGCAATGTTCGCAAGAGGGTATGTAAGGCATGCGATCGGTGCAGGCTGAAGAAATCTAAGGTAAGCAAGTTCGAGGCCCAAGCATCAGCACGCTCTGATGCACTGACCGGTGCAGTGTGATGGAGGCAACCCATGTGGTCGCTGTAGGACAGATAATGCCATTTGTGTCTTTGGCGAGAGGAAGAAGGCTCACGATAAAGTGTACCCTAAGGGGTGAGCTTGCACCTGGCATTGATAATTTTACGTGTGGTTTCTCCGCAGGACTTGATCGCTAACCATATCCTACTCGGGTGTAGATATGTTGAGATGCTCGAGCAACAACAAGCATGGCTAGTCTATGGGCTTCAAGAACTATATCGACGCACCAGCGAAGGCGAAGGGTGGCCTGGGGAACCGTTGAAATGCGAAGCCAACGGCCACCCTCTCACTCACGACCTGCTCACCCGATTGGGCGCTTTGGACCAGAGCAAGGGCGAGCGTTTTGAGGAAAACACCGACTCTATGCAGCAAGAACTATGGAAGCAGAACGCAGGGCATATGCAGCGCCAGGACTCGTCAGACGGCAGTTCAGAAAGTGCACAATCACCCATTCTTCCCACCCGTTTTTCAGACGCTTTTACACGACAACCACTTACTCCACCTGCTTTCAGCCCTCCTTTGCGGCAAGGACCTACAATCAAGACGGAGCCTCAAATTGTGCCAAATACACCTAGCTTCATTCCGCCGATGGCTATGCACGGGGACGTGGTCAACCCTCTCGCATTACAAGATCCGCAACAATGGCCGAACAGCCTAGGTGGTTTCGACGACATGGACCTTATGGCGACTGCCGATTACAATAACCTGTCATTCGATGACCCGGTCTCTTCTCCAATGTTCAATCGCCAAATTCCTATGAATTGCATATCGTATATGGATGCAAAGAATGACTACGAAGATATTAGTCAGTTCTTGAATGCGAATCCACCGGAAATAACGTCTAGCTGAGCCGCACATATCGACGGAGAGTAACATGCTAGCGAAGCATGGCTTTCTTCTGCCTCGACGCTACTTGCATACGCCTATGACGTGACGCATGTACATTACACATGTTTTTCTTCGATTTACTAATGTCGTGGTTTCTTAACTGATAATTTTTCTGGGCGGTGGGTCTCTTTATGATAGGGTTTGAAGGGTCCATCTCACTGTACAGTCTTGTTTATTTATTTCGGGGCTAGTAGTGTCACATCGTGAATGCGACGACACTCGAATGCGATTTGACACAAAACACCCCTTTGGTGCTCTGGAGTTGGTAGGCAAAACATTAGCTGGGTTTATGGAGCTACGGAGAAGATTATTCTTCCCATTTTTATTATTATTATTCTTTCTTCATGTCTGTATCGAGGGCTGGTTACCACTTTAGTCTTGTGAATGGTCGACTATTCCGGCGTCCCGTCTAGGATGTCTTACATATCAAGATATAGAACCGTGAACCGTGCAGTTCGGCTAATATAATTGTCGGATTATCTTCACATACTCCGTATATCTAGAATTGGGTCGACTATCTCATACAGGCCAGGAACAGGTGGAGTGACGTCGAGAGTGGATGACTAATCG